TACATGACCCGGAAGCAGTACGCCGGCTCCCTCGGCCAATAAAGCGAGATGAGCGCCGCAACCCCAGAGTCGGCCACGACTGGACCTAATGGTCAGGGGTCGCGTTACCTTTACCTTAGATGTGATCATAATAATAAAAAGCTTCCTTAGCTCTAACTAGACGTTCAGCTAAGTTAGGGAGGGATCTGTTCCTGCCTCCTCTGTATCATTTACTGGAAAAAAAGCAACACATCAACACATGAAAGAACAGAGTACAGCGCTTCAATTATTAAGCAGCAACCGAGCCCTTTCAATGTACCCAAGCCAGGTTCCTCGCAGACAAAAGCAATGGCAGGAAACGCCCTCTGCGAATAAAGCGCATGGGGCGCACGACCAATGCGGCATGCACATTTCAGACTCTGGCCATAGTTAGGGTAAGTGGATAAAGAACATTACAGAGCAAAAGGTGCAGAAAACAGGGCTCTGCTGTACGTAGCTTAAAAGGTGAATTCAAAACAGAGGAGGAGGAAAAAGGGGGACCCATTAGAAACCCAGACGCATGAAGAATGGGAACATAAGCAGCTGTCTTTGGCCCATCAAGCCCACAGGGGATGTTTCCTGTGCTACCTGGAGATCGAACTGGAGACCTTCTGCATGCAAAGCAGATGATTTATTACTAAGCTACAGTCGTTCCCCATCACTCCATCTAGCTAAATATTGTCTACACTGACTGGCAGCAGCTCCTCTGGGTTCTTGGTGGGGGTCTCTTCCAGTCCTGCCTGGAGATGCCGGGGATTGAAGCTGGGACCTTCTGGATGCAAAGCAGGTGCTCTGCTATGGAGCCATGGTCCTTTGCTCTGAATGTGTGGAGGAACAGTTCTTTAGGGCCAGGAAACTGCCTTAGAAATGCAGAGTTGTATGGAAGGAGAGCAGAGGCCATAACCCATGCAGCTTCCTTCCCTGTGTCACTGCCCTCCTGCCGCAGCCGCAGGTAGCCCATCCATGAACGTCCTGGGACCACCACCATCCAATGACTTTGCAAGCAGAACTGGGAGGAGATAGGAATATAGGAATCTGCCTTATAAATGAGGCAGACAATCTGTACAGCTAGCTTTCTTGACACTGACTGGCAGCAGCTCTCCATAGTTCCAGGCCCAGCTCTGCCTGGAGATACCAGAAGTGAATGCAACAGCAGGGGGAAAAAACCTATTAATTTCAAATTCTGTAGCATTTTGTGTCCAAAGCACTTTTTCTTTCATTTGGCTCCTTTCTCCTTTCCGTGATTGCTGAAGGGCTCCAAAACCTTTGCCTGCTGGTCCGTGCTGGCCTGCCATCATCATAGAGAGGTCACATGACACCCCCCCCAAAAGCATGACATGGCAGCTTTCTGGGTGGGAAGCGATGATGTCATGACAACAACATCCATCATTGTGCAGGACTTCTCATGATGTCACCGGCCAAACTCTAGAGGCTCAGGGCTTAATTGTTTGACATAAGATAGTCAACATATAATACTAGTGAGATGAAAATTTCTTTAAGAAAAGATATTTTCCGGAAGTTAGAGAAGGTTTAAGTGTGCCCAGAGCTTGAAATAATTTTGCTTTAGACGGTTTTCAGCTACGGAACGTTTCTGTAAGCTGCTCTCATCCCTTCTGCTCCGGGAAGGCAAAGCTTACATAATGAGAGTGGTGTATCTCTGATCTAGCACGGATGGTACTTCTAAAACTAACAAGCTGCTTTTGTGCTTCTTTTGATGAACAGCTTGCACCAAATTTAGATGAAACAGAAATGGTGCCTGCTTTGTTTATTGTGCACCTGCGGTATTCTTAGCTCTCTCTTTTTTAACATTAGAGGTCTGGGTGCGGCAACCCAGGCCTGGGGGGCAATGGTGGCTTTGGACCCCCACCCACCTGCCAGGCAAGTCCCTGATTTGGTAATATTTTTCCCCTTTCATAACATTTATATACCACTTGGGGTTTTTTTCCAAAGCACCCTCAAAGGTGATATTGAACTGTGAAAATACCGTTCTTGGTTTGCCTGGATGGAGGATAGAAAAAAAGGTGTAGAAACCAGCTTACTGTTTGATTGGGGGGGGGTTATTTACATGCATTGCTCCGCCCAGTTTAGCCTCTGGCCCCACCCACCACTGGTATGTGACACCCACCCACACCTGCAAAAGTTGCCAAGAAAGAAGTTCCCCATCATATTAAGGTTCTCAGCCACCCCAAGCTGGGAGCCCCAGCAGGGCTGGAGCATTTATGTATTTGCAAATGATATTCTTGGACATCTGCTTGTCAGGATTTCTCAGCTGTAGTACAGTTCTGTCACATCCCATCAGGTTCCAGGGAACGAGTGCACGACCCGATTAAGTCATTTGAAGGACAGAGCTGAAGGGGAAAGGTTTCCTTAGCCCCTGACAATCCTCTATGGATTCTTAGACACACAGGGCAGGGCAAAAGCAGGCAGTTGCAGGAAGCTGCTTTATACAGATTGGTTCACCCAGTTTAGTACTGCCTACACTGACTGGCAGCAGCTGTCCAGGGTTCAAGACAGGGGTCTTTCCCAGCCCTGCCTGGAGATGCCAAAGATTGAACCTGGGACCTTTTGAGTACAAACTAGATGCTCTACAGCTAAACTATGACCCTTCTCTGCTAAAAATGAAGCAAGAATCTAGTGCTCATGATTCTGAATGAAGGGATCATTTAAAGGAGAAACCATTGGATCCCTTAGGGACTGCCCACAATGACTGGTAGGCAAGGGAACATCGCCAGCCCTACCGTGAAATGCCAGGGATTGAAACGGAGACCTTCTGCATTCATGGCAAATGCCTGCCACTGAACTATGGTCCTTCACTCGCTTGATAGACCTAGCCCAGTTTTGCCCAAACCGAATGACAACAGTTCTCTGGGGGTCTCAGCAAGTAACCTTCCCAGCCCTGCTTGGGAGATGTTGCGGGTGGATCTTGGGACCTTCTGCATACAAAGCAGATGTCTACCGCCTGTGGTCCAGCCTTTCAGGCGCACCAGAAAATCAAAGCCCACGACGGAAGCTTATTCTGACACAGCTCAAAAATAATGCTGCACTTCCAAATGACAAAGTGCCACCTAGTGGTCATACCACCAAAAGCCACCAGTCCCAGGTTTTCTCTCCACCAGCATCAATTAAAAAACAAAAAAACCCACCCAAAACCAAGATTTAAAAGCAAACGAGCTAGAATCCAAGGTGGTTCTTGAAGAGCAAGCTTCACTGGCTCTTAGAAGTTGACTGCCTTTAATTGGAGAAGAAATTATTTTATACCCAATCAGGCCATGGATACCTATCACAGTAACTGCAACTCCCACCATCCCTGCCCATTGGCTGTTCTTGCAGGGGCTGATGGGAGTTGTGGTTCAGCAACATCTGGAAGTACAAAGACCTTTCATCTAGGTATCTATGGATTGGAAGGCAGAGTCCTTTTACCAGTCCTACCTGGAAATGCCAGTGGTTGTACCTGGGACATTCTGCATGCAAAGCAGGTACCCTAGTACTGAATGACAGGCAATTTTATTTTGGGACTTGATGCAGCAAGGGCAGCTGTAAACTGATGGGTTGTTTACAGTATTATTAGATTTGTATTGTTAAAAATGTTTTAGTCATTTCTGTATTGTTGGGTACCACTTTGGTATTTTGTTGAAGTATGAACACTTTCATAAATAAGTAAAACAGCACAATGGCAAATCTGATTTACTGCATAGGTTCCATGATATAACCAGCCCCAGAATCATGCGTAAGGATCCTGGCTATGCTTTCCTAATAGGTTTGACCCCCTAGCACAGAACTGAGTTGCCTTGCAGATCTTGTTTTATAAGGTTGTTTTTTAAAAGATCTCTCCCAGTGGTGTGAGTTGGACTGATTTTTGCTGAGACACTCTCAAGATATACTCCAAAGTGCAATTACCATCAGCGCCCACCCCATTCCTCCTCTGCTCCTGGAAGATGCAATAGATTTGCAGCTTAATTTCTTCCTCCCACTATACAGGAACCATAGGAGAGCACATTGAAAGGCAGGCAGCTCACAGATTGGTAGTCTTCATTGGTAGTCTTTCAAGGCTGCTAAATGTAAGGATGAAGGGTTGTAAAAACTTATTGTATAAGAAGTGACAGAATTTCAAATTCAAAAACACTCTTAAGCCAGGAGACCTGAATACATTCTTCTAGCTTGTGTCTACACCAGTCAAGGAATAGAGACAACAAAAGCATGTATAACTGACACTGCACTAAGCACAGGCTCCTCTATCTAATCAACACCGTTAGCATGCTTGTGCTATCTGCTGTCCAGCTTTGCAGAGGTCTTACCTGCTAAGCATGGTAGAGATCAGATAAAATAGTTTCTGATAAAACCTTCTAGCAGTCAGCCTGGGCAGCTGATTTTCTGCAGGGAGCACAACACTCCAGAACAGAACTGTAGCAGGTCTGGTACAATCCAGTGTGAGGGTTAAATTAAAATGCATCTGATGAGCCCAGCGGTGTGCTTTTATACAGCTTTGAGATAGTAAGGACGAAGGAGCTTTTGAAGCAATTGCTGCCTCTAAATACAGGAAACCATGTACCTACAATGGGTGAAGAACCATTTTCAACCTGTGGTCCACAGAGCCAGAGGAAGAGGGGTGGGGCAATGGATGTGACCCTTACCTGCGTAGACTATGCTCCACCCATGCAAAACATCAGGAGATCGTGAAGGCAGGAAAGAAGCTTCAACACAGTTGCATGATACTTGAGGAAGACCCAAGGGTTGGGCAGAGAATGAAGGGGCCTGAGGTTTCCCCAACCGTTCACCATGCAGGTGCAGGCTGTATCTTAGCAAGTGCACTTCACAGGCCTGCTCCAGTCCTTCTCCACTGGCAGTGGCCCTGGGACTTTGCAAACCACAGTGTGACACAGAGCTCCTTGGTGAACCCAATGGCCTCCACACACCAGGGAAACCTGAAGGATGCTTGCCCTCCTACTGGAGTCACTGCTGTTGCGAAGACATGCTAAGAGGTGTTGCATTTATAAACATTTGGAAGTTTATTTAAAAAACATCACAACCATTAACATTGTTACAGATTTTAAGTTTCCTTCCTCCTGGGTCTTCCACACAGATTTACTGAGCATGCTCACAACAATGGTTTTCTTATGGGTTTTAGTTTAAACAACCATTTTTTAAAAGGAAAAAGTAAGAGAGAGAGAAAAAGAATAACTCAGCACACTACCATTTAACTTTGTTTTAATGTTTCTCCACAAATGGTGAAAAATACTAAGTACAGACGAGGAATCATCATAATGTTGTGGTCAACATTATAAATATGGAATTATAAATTTAAAACATTTTCTGGTTTAAAAAATAAATCTGGTAGTAAATGCAGTCCTGCAAGGGAGAGGGGGTGGCTCGCCACTAGTAAGGCCGGTCTCTGCGGTCTTGACGATGTTCTCCCCTAGCAAAGGAAAGAGAGGAGAGGGGGTGGGCGTCAGACTCACAACCACATACCCAAAGGCTATTGCATCCCAGGAAGAGGAGGTTTCAAATAAGAGCCCGTGGCTGCTACTAACAGCCTCCTCCTCCTCCTCCAGCCCAGACCTCTTCCCTCCCCTTTGTCAACGCCACTCACTTCCCCCTCCCCAAGCCTTACTTGTCCATCTTTCCTGGTCCTCCACGCCTGCCGCCTCTGCCTCCCATTTGCTCCATAAGAGGTCCAGGTGGGCCCCCAGGTCCTCCTCGCCGACCTCCTCCGAAGCCCCCTCGATCCATGCCCCGGCCTCCTCGGAATCCGCCTCTGTCTCCACCTCGGCCCCCTCGGAACATCCCTCCAGGGCCGCCGCGATCCATCAGGCCCCCTCGACCTCCTCTCATGCCACCGGGGCCGCCCCTGCCACGATCACCACCTAGTGCAGAAAGACAGCACCACTCAATCGAGCAAAGGGTTGCTGGGAAGGTGGCAACACCAGACAGGCAGCTGAAGGCTTGCCTCGGAAGCGCAGGCAGCAGGACCCAGACATGCCGAGGCCCACAAAAATGACCAAATGATGGCACACGTCTGTGTTGCATAGGTGTGAATGTGTGTGCTACCACCTTAGGGAGTCCCTACTGCTTAAAAATATGGCACCTGTTCTTACAACATGTGACAGCAGCAGCAGCAGCAGCAGCCACAAGAAAAGCTGCAAGCAAAATACCATACAGCAAATGCCCACTTTCCATATCCTTCTCACCCTTTCTGCAAGTCCCCGCAAGGAAGGATATCCTCATTTTAATGTGGTTCCCCATAATCTGCCCTAACGGCTGATCATTCCTACTGGAAGCAACTGCAGGAAGAGGGTCAATACAAGAAAAGACCCAGATCGGTGTTTCCCAAAACTGGGTCTCCACCTGTCTTTGGACTACAACTACCATCATCCCTAGCTAGCAAGACCAGTGGTCATAAGTTGATGGGAACTGTAGTCTGAAAAAACAGCTGAAGACCCAAGTTTGGGAAACACTGACCTAGATTCACACACCAACCATAGAGGAAGACTGAGCTGCTTCTCCTAATGCAACTTAATGTTGGGCTTTAAAACAGGCTGGTGATTCTTAAACTGAAGTTACTGCTCATGGGCTGTGTACAAGTTAGCAGAGAAAAAACAGCTTTGGGGTCAAAACACTTTAAGGTTCCAACACAGAACTTGGCATGCAGCCCTCCTCCCACCTGTAATCAGCTTCCAAGTCAGGCTTGAAGCCTGGTGGAAGCATGTGAGAAGGTAGGCTGTGATGACAAGAAAAGAAGAATCAGTTTGCGTAACTCAGCGTGAGAGTGTAGGAAAACATCCATAAGCGCCTGCATTGAGACAGAGTAAACAGAGCAGAGAGCAGCTAGGCCACTTTGTACCAGATTCTATAGATCAGGGGTGGGTATGGTGTGCCCCCCCCAGATGTTGCAGGACTCCAATTCTCATCAGCCTCAGCCAGTGGGACCTAGTCAGAATTGATAGGAATTGCAGTTTGGAGGGCTACAACCTTGGCTCTAAATGATGTTTCAAACAGCCACTTCTAAGGGCAGGCAGGTGCCGTTTGTTTTCAAGATTAGCACATAAGGACAACAGTGCCTACAGGGGAATTAAAGTTGCAACTCAAACACACCCATAGAGGGGCACCAATCAAGACGACACCATTTGCCCCTGCTCAATTACTGACTCAAAGCATCTTGCAACATGGCATCACACCTTTCCTGAAACTGGCCAGGGCCTGCCATTTGGAGTTGCATGGCATTGGGCAAAGTCCCCTCCCCAACTTCCTCATCCTGCAAGCTTGAAACTCGTCCCCATTAAGCCAACTGGTGAATCAAATCAACAGCTTCTCTTCATGACTACTCCATAAAGTGATAGGGGTTCAAATTGTGATGGATGGCTCCCCATAGCCGAGAGGCCCTCCAGAATTTTGTGATTTAATTTAACAGAAAGTGATGCTTTCCTGCTTGTTGTTTCAGCGTAGTGTTTCAGAATGTTCTTTCTCATATATATATATATATATGGACCACTTTGAGCAGGGGCAAAAAGAGACGCATACAAGTGATTTCAACAGACAAGCCATTGTATGCCCCATGTCCAGCACCTGCCAGCCTCATTACCCATTTTGTTCAGCTTGGGAAGGTGAGTGAAACTGAAGCCATGCAAAAGAGATTGGTGATGGGAGTCAGGGGAAGGGGAGAGTGTGCCTTATTTAAACAACCCTTAACATTCCCTCCCCCCGATCTCCACATGCAGCTTGCACATACATGGCTGTGAGCATTGAACACCATGTGCTCTCCCGGGCAGACTACGACTGCTGCAGGATAGGGGAGGAATATTACCAGGATACAAAATTAACTTGTCCCCGCCAGCAAGTAGCTCGATAACTTGGCTGCAACGGGGTACCAACACTGCACCACACTCCCCTTTGCATGGCCAAGCCAGAAACCATGTGCCTGGCTTTTGGTCTGACCAGCCCCCCATGAGCCATGGGTGCAACCCCTGGAGACCCTTGGGCTTTTTTTTTTTCATTTTGGGCACACCGCTCCCCATCAGCCACCCCACTCCCAGAGATTGTGCAGAGTGATCTCTGCCCAAGGTCCCACGAAAAGCTGGAGCCGGGTCTGATCAAAGCAGCTCCTCTACCAAATGTGGCGCCACCCCAGCATAAACCTTGGTAAGGTCAATGTGTCCACAGTCAGTGCTTCCAAGAACCAACAGTGGCCATTTTATGACGACTGTGAATGGCGCAGCATCACCTCCCCATTTCACTCTGCTGGAAGTGTATACACAAACGAAGGAAAAATATACCACCTGTACAGTTCCCTTACCACTATTTGTCCCGTATATGAGCCCTCTAAGTGGCAGCGGTTTTCCAAGCAAGAATCCAGGACCTTGTGAACATCACATAAGCAGAGGTCAGTGTCACATATTCCGACTCCCACCCCAGCTCGCGGACAAGAGGAACATACCTGGAGGTGGGAAAGGTGGAGGGAGGAAGCCTTCCGGTTTAGGAGCCTTGCACTGGTTGCATTCTGTTCTCCAGGCAAAATTCTGGTTTCCACACCCCCTGGAAAAGGACCAGTGTTTAGTGAGAGATGCCAAGTGCATTTCTTGGCTGAACATGAAAAAACAACCAAGGCTGGGGAACTGGGGCGGGGGAGAGCCAGCTGACCACAATTTCATTCACAGCTGGGTGGGGAGCACAAGGCAAGCCTCTACCCAGAGGCAAATTCATCTGGACCATCTTTTGAGGATGCTGTTCCATGAATAACTAAGGAAAGGCAAGTCAGCGGAAACAGGCTGCCTAGCCTTTTGGGCCACACAACTGATCAGGCCGAGCAGGAACACGTGCTTACAGGGAAGCTACCAATATTCTAGGTGAGCTGGTAAGTGAATTACTGAGGTGGTGGCTGGTACCCAACAAAAGGGCCTGGGAACTATGTCCACACCCAAAATATTACTCTAAATAAATTGCCTAACTGCATCCTGGGGTAACTACCAAGCAGGAGTACACCAGGGCAGCCCAGCCAAGATCTATGTTAACTCTCATATGCACAGAAACTTGGTGAGGGCAGAGAATGAAACACAGCGACTTACGGGTTGGGGCACTGCCAGTCTCCTGCTCTATGCTGGACATTTCCTCCACCAGAAGGGTTTCCTCTCGATCCTCGTGGTCCTCTTGGGGCAAAACCGCCACCCCTGTCGCCACCTCGGCCTCCTATGCGGCCCATGGGACCACCAGGACCGCCTGGGCCCCCAGGACCTGGGCCTGAAAGAAGACACTTGGTGAGTTCATGAGCACACCACAGAGCCCTTGGGGGCTAACAGCGCTGGCCAGCATTAGCCAAAGATTACCTCCACGGAGTGGGGGAGGCATGCCACGTGGCTCACGTGGGGGCATCCCTCCACGCATGCTGTTCAGTGGCAGCTTCTTCCGGGTGAGAGAGACTTTGAGCTTGCTGCCCTGGAAGTCTTTGCCTGAAACACACAAAGCAGAGGTCTCTCTGTGAACAAGAGCTTCACTGCTGCAGAGAATAACCCACCTACAACTGGGCAAGTAGATCTAAGTCACACTGCCAAGGCCTTTGGAAGGAAGTTACAAACTTTGCCGCTTCCATAACTGAGGCTAAAGTAAAGAGAGGAGTATGCAACACTCAACCGCTCCTCCAGCTTCGGAAATTTCAGTAGGCATTGTTCACACACTTGTCCCACTGCCCCAGCCATGCTGCACTCCTGTGGAAATCATGGCACACACCCCAGTATACACCACTTGCAATCAAACTTGATGTAATAAGGCACACTGCATTTGTTTTAACTACATATACATTAGGTTGACTTTTTCTAACCTTTTGAGCTACTGAGCATCTAATATATCAGTGCAGAGCTTCCCAAACTGTGTGTCGAGACACATTTGTGTTGGCTGAAGTGTAGGTGTGTTGCGCAAATGCTCCCTACACGTCTCTCGGGGCTGGAAAGGGGTTAATTTAACCTCTGGTTTGCTAGTAAAACTGAATTATTGTATCACGAAATGATGCATGCCTAAAGTGTGTCACCAACATGAAAAGTTTGGAAAGCTCTGTGTTAGTGTTTAAAGCCCCAAAGAACCAAGGCCCCAAATATCTGAAAGACCACCTTCTTCCCTACTCAGTAGTAGCCCCTAAGTTGTGTAACTCCTTTCCCACAGAGGTGCCTCTGGACCTTCATTATATGGCGAATGCTCAAGATGCAACTCTTTACCCTGGCTTTTGACACTTGAGATGTGTATTTTTAGGACCCACCTTTCTGTAATTTTAAGCTTTTAATACTGATCAATATTGTGTTTTAATATTAATATTGTGCTTTAATAGTTGTAACCCACCCTGGGACCTTAAGGTGAAGGACGGGTAATAAATTGCAGCAGCTGTAGCAGTAACTGTAATATTCTAATTCACTCACCATCAAGCCATTCTACAGCTGCTTTGGCAGTCGGTGGGTCATCATAGCACACAGTAGCATCTCCTTTTGGCTTCCCTGTGTCCTTGTCAAGGTAGATTGTTATCATGGGTTGTCCAGTTCTTTTGTTCATCTAAGGGGCAATGAGAGAAGACAATCATGCTCTGGACAGGAGTAAATTCCAAGGCTAGACCACCCCCACCCCAAAGTAAGATGCTTCAAATAATATGCTAGAAAGGCAAACATTATGTGACTAATCAACATCAAATTTCACTAAAAAAAAATCCCACACTGTGCTTTACTAAGGCTTAGGTGGTCATGCCACACATTTATTTATATTAATTAATCTTATTAGTCACTTGTCACCCAAAGGTATTCAAGTAACTTACAGTAAAGAAAAATATGCAATAAAAAATACTGTAAGGGGAAATAATACATTAATATTTCATATAACCAAACATTTATGGAAACCCCCCCCCAAAAGAACACACCACCCATATAAATAATAGTGAACAATATTAACAATACTGAAATAATAAACAAAGCAATACTTTGACCCACTAATTAGCAAATAAGCAAAACCTCAAAACACGCCTCCCTAGTCCAAAAATCATTCAGATCAAACCAACAATTTCCCCCCTTTAACCTCCCCACCCAGAACTCTGGTGTCAAGGCTAGTGGTTACTATCAGTGGTTTGTGTGTCCAGTGTCTTCCAGGGATGGTCTGGAATCTCTCCTCTCCTTTCAGGGGGAGGAGAATAGAAGGTATTCTTGGGACAATGAAAGACACATGGGAACACTTAAAAGCCAAATCACAAGGGGGATTTGTATTGCCTCCCCCACAACTCCATCAAGTAGCAGGACAGGCTGCACCTTACACATCGTGTTACTTACCTTGACAACGCCACACTGTTTGAAGAAGTCTGTCAGATCCTCTAGGGTCACATTGTCAGTCAACCCCTGGACATACACTGAACTGTTGTCAGCATCATCATCTAGGTCTATGGGTGGGCCTGGGAAGAGAGAGGGGAAAAAATGTGTCACCGAGTACAGGCCACCCCAACAGCTACTGGAAGCAAACATTGCCTCATCCCTTCCTCCAAGAGGGTTACTACCCATTTTCCCCAAGGGTAGGAGGTCAGAGGATCCAAGTGAGGAGAGGCATCAGAGGCGACCACAAATAACAGCTGGCTACCAAGACCGGCCAATACTTCTGGACTTCCAGTCTCAAAGAATGCCATTTAATTGAGCTTCAGCCAGTTTAAAAATGCAGACTCAATAAAACACAGAAAAGGCATGACCAGCTCCAGGACTGTGTAGGGTGGCCCTCAGCAAAAGGACGCACCCTTAATAACTACTGTCCACAATGAAGGCAAAACTAGCAAGGGGCTGATCCGAGAAGTGTCTGACTCTGTCAATCTCCAACATTAAGATGAACAAGCAGCATTTTACTTTAAGCGAGAGAAGACTGCATTCTGCTGAGGGTGACTAATGACATGGGACCCATTCCACAGATTTAAACAATTGTCTGAAATTACCTAAATCGAGATCTGGCCCTTCATCCATGTGTCCTGCCGTCCAGGAAAGAGAAATCATAGAAGAGATTGTTAGTGCACGCCTTGCAAGCTACGCTACTGACACACACACAACTACCTATTTACAACCGCCATTTGATGGCATGTGTTAAAACTCAAATTGACCGCACTGCAAAAAAACTTGCAATGCACACCCTTTATGCATTTGCTGCCGAGATCAGCTTGCTATTTTAGCAGCTTTTTAAACCATCACCTGGTATTACACTTGGTTAAAGGGGGCTTTCTTGGGCCAATCAGTGCTTGTTTACCACCAGTTACTTTATTTTTAAAAAAACCAAAGCCGCTTAAAATGATTTCCTTCCCCAAATTAAAGGAGTAGTTCCTCTCATCATCACCCTTTGTTTACCCTTCGTTCTGTAACCGTAGGTTAAAACCTTATAGACCCCTAGGCATTGCCGGCAGTACCCATTAAAAGTCTTGTTGCATATGGAATTTTAACGACTTATGAAACTAACAAATATTATGGGCTTTTTTATTTTCTGGTTGCATTTTTTTTAAAACACTATCCCATTGTAATGCTCAAAAACTTACCACCAGGCTTATTGAAGCCACCTCGCTCTCCAGCGCTGCTGGGGGGATAAACGAAGAAATGAAGGCCTTTCCCTTTAAAAAGCCAGTACCGCTCGGAGCCTCTGGGGCTCACTGGGAAGAAGGGCACTGGCTAAACATATCCAAACAATGCATCTGTCTGTCTGTCTTTCTTTCTCTCTCTCTCATCTCGTCACTAGGCCTTTCTTCAGGGCAGCTTGTTCAAATCTCCTTTACACACACGCAACCTTTGCTTGCCTGAGTTTGGATGCCCCACGGTGGCAGTTGGACCCTTTTTCACGGCTAATGGTATTAACAATGCAATACTTGGCCCCCGAGAAGGAAAAATGGAACTTTTCCATTTATTTATTGGCTTATCAAAACACACAAAGATTTTATGTCCACTGGTCAACTCCCTCCTAATTTTGCATACATAAAACTGCACCCTCAGCCTCCTGCGAGTGAGGCCAGCAAGCCAAGCTCCTGGGCGGAGGACCTTTAACATTAACAGTTGAGGGGGGAAAGGAGAAAAAGAAGATACAGCAATCCCTAGAACACAGTTCAGATGACAAGTCACTAAAGCCATACATTCAGGTCACTACTGGATTTAACAGTCTCTGTGGAAGGAGAACTTACAGAATATACCAGGGTACAAAGGCCTAAGGGTGCAGCTTTGTGGATACAATGCAACACAACACAACAAATCAGTGCTTTAGCTTTTAACATGGGGGCGGGGGGGAGCCGGATGGAGAGAAGCCACAAAACGTAATTTATGGGCAAAAATGTGCCCAATTAATAAAGTGCCACTAAAAATGGCTTTTTGGGTGCATGTGGAAGAATCATCTGGATGGAAGTAAGAAAGGAGGGAGAAGGACCGCTAACTGTTAGCAAGTATTGCACCTTTAACCCATAAAAGATTTAATATACACAATTCCAAGCTGTTGCATGCAGCTTTGTCTCTTTTCCCAAAGTATATATACCATATATGTAATGTTTCCCTTTTTTAACACATGTTTTTACACTTTAATTTTACACAATTCTAAAGTTATTACACCTCCCCTCTCGTTTCAATACCAAACATGAAGTACTATATGCAGTTACCAAAGTTACAGAAGGTTTCCATTTATACAATGAACACATTTGGTTAAAAATATTCTATGTATATTTTTTCCTCTCCATATGGACACCGTGTCTAGTCCCACTTTTCATTATGCTGCCGGCTGAGTACTGAGTACGGGTACTTTTTAAGTACTGAAGTGTATACAAGGCTCTCACTTTGTAACCTGTAGCATATAAATGCGACAAAGCATGTTAAAAAGTTTCCATGTTTAACAGCCAGTGAAAATATAAAAAAATATTGAGGCAATGAAAGAGGGCACGTTAAGAACATTGGGCTCCTTACCTGCAGGACAGACACTGAAATGCATCACCACACCATGGAAGGGGACATAGTTCCCCTACCCTGGCCCTTGGTGGCCAAGTAAGTGTTTCATAGGGCCACCCTGGGAATGGGGTCTGCCTAAGGCCTATAGCAAGTTACATTCCCTCCCACTCCCCCAATGCTAAGGCCACTATATACGAGTTTTTCATTATGGGTGTGAAATTGCCCTACTTTTTAGGGAGGTCTTTAGAAAAAAGATGTGGTGATAGCAATTTCAAGTGTCTGTGTCTACTTTAAAACACATCTAGGAACACCTAACAGATGAAATCTTTATAATAGAACTAAGGAGCCCTTTTCCATTCAAGCCAATTTGAAAGGGTTACTCTTCAATATGTTAAAATGGCTTGGTCATTAACTGAACAGCTTTTGAAGCAATAAAAGCAGTTGGACTTCAATAAAGAATTCAAACCATCTGGATTCATTTTAGTAAAGCTATGCAGAGTGTCTCTTTCGCCGGTCAAGACTGTTACATGCAGTGGGACTGGAAGGCAACTGATCTGTCAACTGGACCCCGTGACATCTTTTTCTGCCCTCCCATCCTCCTAGTCCAAATTTGTGACCATTTTAGTTTTGGGGTTAGCACTCTGCATAGCTCTATATACACATGGGTAGAACACACACAAGGACACCCTTCATTACTGAGCCTCTCAGTTGACCACCATCTCTTCCGCCTTAGATAAACCAGTAATGGAAAACAAGTACTGACTAAACAGGCTTCCCAAACCAGATTCCACCATCAGTTAAAATGGCTGAACTGGTTTGGGACACCTGAAAGCTCCAGCATGGAGCTGCGTCCAGAATTGTAAGCGATTTTTAATTATTATGATGATTATTATTGCACCATGTAGGGTCTCTCCTCAAATTCCAAACCAACCTGAACAAACGCGACAGCTACGCTAGAGCGCTCTGGGCTTCAAAGAGCATCTTGACACAGCCTATTCAGCTTTGACATGAGCTCAGAGAGCTACTGCCAAGAGAACACACAGCTAGGGCAAGAAAATGCTTTACAAGAGCAGCAGACACCATGGTACATACCTGTGATATCAAACACCAGCAAGGAGGAACGAATGACATGCGGACCTCTCAGAAGGGGTGTGTGTGTTCAACCCAACAATTCTTAAACCCACAGAGAGTTTCATCTCTGTTCATCGTGGAAGGGAGCTGAAAGTTTCACAATTTGAACACCCAGCACTCTCTTGCCTCCAACCCTCAATTAACTGCAGGTAAAATGTATCCTGCCCCTAGTCCCCATTAAGAAAATGTTTCCATGAATTAATTAGTCATATAGATTACTCGCTGTTAATTAGATTATCTCCATGGAAAAGTGGTTTGCATGGACATCTTTCAGCCCTTCTTTCCATTGCACACCCTATGGGGTAAAACCAAATTAGGTGAGAGGAAGAAAAGGTTTGCTCTTACCCCATTCCGCCGCGGCCTCCTCCTCCCCGCCCACCTCTGCTCACGCCTGCACGGTCAAATCCCCCTCTTCCCCTGCCCCGGCTATCAGGGCCGCTCAAGCTTCGGCTTTCTCCGGGGCCCGAAAAGCCTCCCGAGTCCTGGCCATACACCCCCATGCTGCTGGGGTGGTCTTGACGGAATGAACCTAAGAAATAGTCAACATGGCAATTTTAGCAAAGCATTCATTTCCTTCCTCTAGAACATTAACATGCAGTGACCCTCAATGGTGAATTGAAGCATTCATTAAGATAGTCACAGGTATGCAAAATATCAGCTGGAAAATACTTGATTTTTTCCCCAGCTGGCTTTTACACTTTACTTTACTCTTTCCACCCCAACAGGTCAAACCAGCAAAGCACACAGAGGCATCTTTTCTACCTGCTTCATGGGGGCAGATTTTTCACATATATTCTGGCAGAAATCCAACCATATGTTATATATTATTTGTAAGGTGCCCCAAAAAGGCTTGATCTGTTTTTAGCAAGAATAAATCTAAATTGACAACAAAACATTGACCAAACTAATGAAAAGAAATATGATAGAAAACTGTGTGACCAACACTGTACTGTAATATGTTGCTTTATATTGTTTCACTATGACATAAAATGAAAGCATTGAAAAATATTAAAACAGAAGAAAAAGGAATCTGGGGAAACTGTGCCCCTGCAGATGTTCTTCGGTCACCAACTCTCATCACCCCCAGCAAAGATGGCCATCAGTGGGGGTGATGGGACAACAACACCTGGAGGGCCAATGGCTCCCCAGCAGTGCATTTTTTAAAAAAAGGACAAATATGAAAGACAGGCTAGCTGAAAAGCAGAAACACAGCACAGGTTTTGAGGTTGTTGAATTTTTAACATCTGAAAGCTTCCCAACGCCACCCTTAAATCAGAACACCTTGATTCAAAAGTCCTGATTGCCATCTTGGGGTTGGTAAGATTTATCTGAACACACACACCCCGCCCCCTATTAACACTCACTTGGTTGCCCGTAGCTGCTGCTCTGCTGACTGTACTGGCTGGGGGTCTGGCTATAGGATCCAGTCGGAGGTGGGTAGCTGGTGGGGGGCTGCTGCCCATAGCTACTTTGTTGCCCATAGGTGCTCTGTTGTCCATAGCTGCCCTGCTGACCATAGCTACTCTGCTGAGAGTAAGTGCTCTGATCATAACTACTGGGCTGCGAAGAAGAATAGCTGAAAAGATACGTCAAAGGACAGGAAAACGGCACTTAGTAAAACACAGTTTATTTCCACCCATACAAGTGCAAAAGCCTAAGCAAACATGCATAATTTGCCCTTGCCCAGGCTGATCTATAACTACAGAAAACCAGACCAGTACACACCACTGGCCACAATAAAATTGACAAAGCTGTGACCAACCCCCCCCCCCAAACCCTAATACCTGCACATTTGCAGACTAGAATGATGCATACTATTAGTACTTTGCCACCAGGTTGCAACAATGTGGGAAATCAACCAGGGGTCAGCAACCTTTTTCAGTTGTGGGCCAGTCCACCGTCCCTCAAACCATGTGGTAGGCCGAACTATATTTTTTTGGGGGGATGAACAAATTCCTATGCCCCACAAATAACCCAGATTCATTTTAAATAAAAGCACACATTCTACTTATGTAAAAACATGTGGATTCCCGGACCGTCCATGGGGGGCGGGGTTGAGAAGGCGATTGGGCCGCATCCGGCCCCTAGGACTTAGGTTGCCTGCCCCTGATCAAAACACTACTAGTCTATTGTGTTTTTGCTGTGGCCACGGATACAGCCCCACTATTGTTTTTCTCTGATGCCCATATTTGCTGGAGACTGCTTAAGTCTTTTGCCATGGTAAATGGCAGTACAACTAACCAGATGGCTGGCGGGAAAAAGGCAAGAAAGAGAAGCAGACCAAGTTGCACTGATCACTGTAGTGCTGCTATGACTGGACGGTCTGCCTAATGCTTTCAATGTCACTCTGAGGAGCAGGTCACCAAGGTAAATCATTATCTATGGTATGCCAATAGATATTAAGAATTGTAACTGCTGCTCCTCTGCATTCCATGGTGATGTAAGTCGTAAAAAGGAGTTGACGTTTCTAACCATCCTCTAAAGTAGGGAAGGAGAATTTCCCCCCGAGGACCACATTCCCTCACAGACAACCTTTGTGGGGACTGCCTACCAGTGATGGGTGGGGCCAGAGGCAAAGGTGGGCAGAACGTATGTGACTCAACTCTGCACCATAGGCACACAAGTCAGAAGCTTCCACACATGCATACATTCCTCCATCCATGCAATTAATCATGGTTTAAGGTTTTACACGGCTCAAGGATGCAAAATGCACTCAAGGAGGGTGCAGGGCAGGTGTGGGGTACAGTCTGAGGAGCTGCAATCAGCACCTGAGCCTGAGGTCCCCCCACCATCACCACACAAAACATCATCCAGTCAGATAGCATATACATAACAGATAATATATACTGAGAATTCCAGTAAACTCACCTGGTGGGAGGATAGGATGGAGGTGCAGTAACTGGCTGCATAGGGTAACTGCCAGGGACCTGGTAGCTGTAGTTACTCTGTCCATATCCTAGACTGGGCTGGCTGTAGCCTGATGTACTTGACTGAGGCTGGGTAGTCTCTGCAGGCTTTGTGCCATCCTGGGCTCTAAAAATTAAATCCATCCGTGAGGATAAATCTTTCAGAAGCTCCTGCCTGCCTTTCATGTCAGGCACTGGCAACCTTATGTACTGCCTCTGCATGTTAACACTTAACTGCAGGTGGAAATTACATCTCAGAAGATTATTCAGGCATTTTGCCTTCAGGATTTGCCTTAAACCCTAGGCTAAGATTTGAGTTTTGATAACAAATATAAAAACTATTTTAATTTTATTTATATCCCCCCCTTCATCACACAAGGCAGGTCACCATTTTAAATGCACTAAACTTATAAAAATTATTATCGATGTATGATTCAAACATTTAGTGCAATCCATCCATTGACTGCCACAGAAGCCACAACGGTGCTTCATTAACAGAGGGGAAAGAATCCTACTCTGAGTGCCATTTAAATGTCTTGCCAATCAAAGCACCAACAGCAAAGTACACCAGATGTGTTTTAAGGCGATAGTGCCTGAGTACGTTTTGTCTTTTTATCCAGAGTGAAAGAAGAATACATGGCTATTATTCCACATGGCGCTTCACTGAAAGAATGTGAGTTCTGTTTCATTCAAGCATTACGTGGAGAGGAGGGGAATGTGCCTACAAACCACAGAATTATCAAAGCTGTAGGGCAGAAGCCAGACAAGAGGATGGTGTTCTCAAATAGAGTTCTTTCCCTTACCCAAAAGTACAAGAATGTATATGTTAATGCATCATATTTTATTTGTATGTTACCTTGCAGGTGCAGTTGTTGCTGGCTGCTGCCCATAGGTGGGGTAGGCAGGCTGGGTGCCATAAGCAGATGGGGCAGCATAAGAAGCCTGGGTGGTGGTAACTGTGGCGGTGGTTGTATCATAAGCAGCAGTGCCGTAACCTTGGACAGGCTGGCTATAAGCCTGGGGAGCAGTTGGGGCGGTATAGCCTGCAACAAAAAGAAACCTTATTGAGAAGCTTACACACTTGTGCTTCTCATCACTTTTGATTACTCTGTCTAAAGCATTTATACTAAGGACCCTAGTGAAATGTTCTATGAAGTCAAGGAAACCTGTAAACAAAAATGCTTTGTGGGAGGGTAGTGCCTCATCCTCATTAAAAATACCAACAGAGAAGGGGGTAAGTAATGAATTTTTTATTATCAGCTTAAAGAGAGCTACTTTCAGGAAAAAAACCAAATATCCAGAAGCCATCTTTAAATCCAAAATATAGTTAAAAGACTAAAGGAAATGTCAAAGTACTAGGATGATTCCAATAAAACTAGAGCCCTTGCACTTCACGGAAGAAATAACGCAAAAGGAAACCCATCACAAGCCACTGTCAGTGTACAAAGATTGAAGCTTTCACATATTTCAACCATTCCATGACACAAGATGGTTCCCAGAATTACAGAATGGACAGCTACTCTTTGTTAGATTTAAATTTATAGTTATAATGGCTATCAGCTAAGTGGGGGAATGGCAGACTGACTGGATTTTTCAACCTCATTTCAAATGTAAATCAGAGAGTATACTTAGAGCTCTTGAAAATTTCCACATTTGTACAGGTGGATAATAGTTTTGAGAACTAATTCTCAAATGTTACTGTGATACTTGAAGCAGAACCATATTGCACATTATCTAATATGATGTGCTACTATCACTTCCGAATCACTCCCAATTGCAGATAGGGCCACTCTTTTGAACCCTCCAGATAAACAACAAAACTTGCCTTATCAACCAACCAAATCAAGGAGAAAGATTTAAATAGCTCCCATTTCTGATAAGCTATCTTAAGACATGCAGGGAGCTGGGGCGGGATTAAAAAAATACAGCCACTTTATGCACACTGCTGCAATCACTGTGGCCCGAAATCAAAGTGAAGGAGTTTGACAGCAGCCAAATCGCATGCCCATATGTGGTCATAATGCACAAGGTTCTCAGACAAAATAATATAATGCTACAAGGCTCTATTCTCCTTCTCTGCTGCTTTGAAAAGACAGCAGTACTAGATAACCATCACGGTGACACTCCCTCCACAGTGACTATTGTAATGATTCTAACATCCAGCCTTTAGAAGCATATTTCAAGCAACTGGCACTGAACTGTACTGAAAGGTACTTTCTCAAAATGCTTATGAAGCATTCTTCGAAGGCTCCAGGTGAAGTGGAACACAAAAGAACCAAAAAATGAACTGGCAAAACATGGGTAAGGATTGTAAACAGAGTAGCAAGCTTTGTGCAATCAATAACAATTTTTTGCAGCTTTCAGAATGGCTTTCAGAATTAACTGCAAATGCAAGTTATAAAGAAAAGAAGGTAAAATAGATTTACTCCATATGCAGATCTCTTAGTAAATTTGAATTCATGACTAGTCATGTTATAAATCTTTCAAACATATATGGAGCAGTCTTTTAACCCACAATGTACGAACATTGATGTCCACTTTCAGTAAACTGAAGCCTTAAATTGTTGTTGGAAAATGTTTTTTGGGGAAACTGAATTATGCAATAATTGTTCTCACTGAACCCCAACTTTATTTACTGTAAGAACAGAAACACATGCTATAATTTGGCTTCTGAAACAGTAGCACTGTTCGTTATTCATTAAATATTGTAGTGCATTTTCTTTATTTAAACATTTACTTTATTAGAAATTCAGTTAGACATGAAGGAACAAGTGGCTGCATCCTAAGCATATTGTTGTAAGTTTGGGGGACGGCCAGACTCTCCATAATCTTTATAGATTCTGTAAAGAGCTTGAATTTGAACAAACTCAAATTCATGAAGCAAGCTAAGTTTGGTTAATTAAAACTAAGCCAATTGCTGTTGCATTCAGTTTAGGATGCCCAAGCAGCTTCACATAGTTAACCAGGGATAACATGACAGATAACATGACAGATATCCCCTTGGGCCTGGGCAGACAGAGGTTCCCAAGGGTGTTTGTGTGTCAGGAGAAAGTAAGAGTGTGTCTTTGGCAGGAGACTTAGGCCTTTACAAGGTATGCTGGGAAGATGATGGGAGAATGACAGAACCATCTTGGCAGGCTCAGAGAGATGCCTTGGATCGACACTTAACTGCTGTGGGAAACAAGCCCCTCTTGAGATGACCATGCTATAAGATCTGGACTCCCTCCATCTAAATTCAGGTGTAAATATGTGAATAAATCATATTTCTTAAAGCTATGACAGCTTCTGCCATGCCTTGCTTCTCAAAGAAACACAGACCCTGAGTGAGTGGCTGGAACCTTGAATCTTGCCACAGTTTGGAAGAGATTGGAAGTGGTGCCCAACTTTTGTAACAATGTATTTAACAATATGGAATTAAAAAGTTAGAGGAGAAATCGACATTGGGGAGAGGGGAGTGGTCATGTACTACTTCATCTTAGAAATGATATCCAGGATCTGGTGAACAAAACCACAAGCTTCATCAAGGAGTCCTAGGGCTCATGTTTTCTAACAGTTGCTTCTAATGCTTAGAAATAACTGAGGATGTACTTTCAAAATCAGTTTGAGAGATGAAACAGGAAATGCTGTCCCAAGGGGGGAAATCAGAAATCCCACTGGGCACTGCTCAAACCCTTGGGGATGCCTGAAGGGAGCTCCTTGGACCCTGTCCAATATATGGACCTAAAAAATCATCATGCAGACCCAACATTTGTAATGAAAAAGCTAATGACACTAAAATTCCTGTGGGACAATTAAGGTGAAAAAAAGTTGGACCAACCACAACATGTTGCAGTGTAGCAATGTGCTGCTACTCAGAATTTTGGTCACTACATTATTCTGCTTTATCTCCAGTTAGACTGTGATCCATGCTCACTGACCACACTCATTATTCATGTGGCTGGTTTGGGGTTCTCTCCTCTCAACTTTGTTTACTTACTTACAATATTTGTTTTCCCCAAGACTGCTAGAATCCCATCCCCCTTGTGCATCTGAATATTCACGACCTATACAATAGTCACAGAGGAAAGGAGTGGTATGTTCTAATACTGATGTACTTCATCTTTGTGTAACCAGTGGCGTATTTAATAGACAAACCTAGCTATTCCCAGCATTAATACAGTTCCACCCACCCCCAATTTTTCCCCCTTCTTGGGTTTCTGAACAAAGCTTTTTTCAAATGTTTCCATTTCCTTCCAGAGTCTTCAAATCTATCTGTAAACTCAGAACTAGATTAAACAACTGACTCCTCCATTGTTACGCTACCAACTTAATCATTAAAAACAGAGATGGGCCAGTAAATTGCTGATTTGAGAAAAGTAAAGCAATTCTTCCAACTGTGTATTTGATATACCTGCATAAGCATTCAGTCATCTTGGTATGCAAGGAAGAATTAGATCCTCTTCCTGCTATGCCTGAGAGAATTTAGAGAGCCTACTTTATATATCAGGTATCTACTTTGCATGCTCAAATGCAGTGCCTCCAGGCAACACCTTTCCTCCATCCCTACCTCTTACTTGTGCAAATGTAGAACTGCAAGAAGTACTGAACTGTTTGGGGAACATATAGGTCTCATAAATATATGCCAAATTGGAAACATTCTAAAACATCTGCATCGTTAACTACAGTTATTTTTACTGGCTAAATGTACAACCCAAAACAGTTTCACCATTTTGTTATTTAAAACCTCTATCTGCCAACACAGTAGTTATTAGTTTTAAGCACAAGGAAAAAACATGCTACTTAAAACTGTAGCCAGGATGCTGTTTGCAGTGTTTTTGCATGCACTTTAAATTCAGACCATAGATCAAGTGGTTGCTGTACAACCTTCAAAAGGTAGGTCTATTTTTCAGACATCAAAATAAAGCATCAGGATGAACAGAACTTCAGTTTTAACACAGTTTAGCACAAGCAAAATAATTTTCAGAGCATTTATGACAACACTGAGGTAAATGTCTGAAAGAGGAACCAATAACATGGAACATGCAGATATGGTGGCTGCAACAGCTGAATGTGTCTAATCATGCTGTTCACCCTTTAGGACACCGGGAAGACAGCTGAGTTTGGTTAGCTTGAATCATCTTTGTTCATAGCTGTCATTTTAATACATAAGCTTTAACCATACAACACAGTAGTCAAAAAGAGCTTATGAATGGCACCCTTTCTACAGCAGATATGCTGCTGCAAAGTAACATGAGCAGCAAACACTGAATGGGCCTGTGCCAACCATATTGCAAGTTTTGCTGCTAGAATAAAACCACCTAAAGGGTTAACACCATAAATTTAGACGAAATGAACAGCATTTCCCATGCAAAATTGAGCAGGATATTCAAACCTGTACTGGTCCCTTCTACTGTGGAAAGCACAAGACAAGAAGTAGAGGGCAGACTATCAGAACAGGCAAGCAGTCTTGTGAACTACTCATCCTTGAGCAATAGAAAGGTTTAAGAGAGTCTTAGTACTGTCACAAAAGGTAGAGTGCCTCATTCCCCAGGTATGTTAGCATCTTGCTAGCAGCATTCTTCAGCAATGCCTCAATCTCCATGTGAACCAGTACCCAAAGTGATCCGTAATATTAAAGTCCAATTTGCTTTACAAAAAGTTCCCACCCTCACATTAATTTAAAGTCTCCAAAGCACAATGAAAAAATAAGGAGAGACTGGGTGGGAAAAGACACAGGCACACTTACCAGTTGGAGGCTGCCCATAAGAACTTGCATATGCGGTTTGCCCATAAGTAGCAGTTGTCTGAGGCTGGGTATAGCTGGCATCCGTGGGTTGCCCATAGGTTCCATAGCTTTGTTGCCCATAGGCCTGCTACAAAGAGGGAAAGGGTGTATTTTAACTTTGGGCTCTACACAAGAGATTTTAAGAATTTGATTTGGACAGAAAAAGTTTGTAATCATATGCAACAGAAATGAGACAGGGGAAACCGCACGTCCTGTATCAAATATTTTCCTGCTCAGGCAAAGCAGATTCATAAACCCACAAGGTGCCAGGGAAAGTGGAGACAGGTGTATAGTAGAATTGTCAGTTAACAGCTAGTATTATTGGCCATCCCCATGAGTCTAATTCACTGTTTTGTCATCCATGCTGTGTACTGACCAGCACCCAAGCAACATGACATAGGAAGAGCTAGCTAAAGGACAACAAAAGTTAATTGAGATACCTCTAGCACCTAGCTAGAAGTTAACAAAATTAAAGGCCTTGAAGCCATCAACTGCTGCTTCTCAGTTCCTTTACATAAACGGAGGGTTATATTATTCTCTCCTTTTCAGGATATGATGCAGCCCCTTTTAAAATTTCATGTCTGTGCTAAGTCCCTTAATACTTTAATCTTGCACGGCAACTAGCATGTTGCAATTAAGGCAGGTCTGGCAGCCATCACACAGCAGCCCCGTGTTTTGTTTCCATGGCTCAACACGATGGGGGCTGCCCTTATAGGCTGTCACCTCCCACAGGGCTTTGCTGCATTTGTCTTCCTAGGGCTGTGTATACAGGCAGGCAGAAGCAAAATGCATTAACAAGGGAGCAAGAGCAGCGAACAGCCAGCTTTCCACTGCTTGCGCCCAAGGCTATGGCTACTCACTGAATGAGTGCATACCCTGAATGAATACTTGCAGCAATAGAAATATACTTTCTAGCAGCTAGTTTTAAAAGCCCCAACAGAAAATATGGGAGTAGATGCAATGCCATTTAGCAACTTTTTCTTTTGCAAAAAGGTTGTGGTTTCATTTGCATTTAGAGGGGAAGTGGCTTCTTGGTTCTTTATTACCTGGGTGGTCTGCGCATATCCTTGCGCTGGCTGAGCAGCATATGCAGTGTAGCTGAAGGGAGGGAAAGAAAGAAAGAAAGCTGAAGTTGGAGAATACAATGACTAATGAAGGCAATGCCTTCATGTATAACCTTCAAAACAGCAGTACTAAAACAGTTTGTTATTAAAACTCTGCAATGTCCTTAAAACATAAAATACATTATAGGAATTCTAAACCAAGTCTTCTTTTAAGAATAGACTATATTTATCTTCAAAGAAACTTAACTTACCCCTGCTGGGCTGCTGCTTGGCTGTAGGTACTATAATCTGCAGGTGGTAAGAAGACATAAAATCAAGCTTAAGAGGAGATGGGTGGGGGAGGAATCACTCAACACCTCTAAACATAAGCTCGGAATCTAAGGTTACACCCACCCCCTTATGTTTGTCGTATTAAAAACTCCCCTGAGATGCATCAGCTTGTGATTCCCTTTCACCAAGAGAAGCTGGACCAATTAAAAGCAACACTATTGCAGACACAAACACAAGTACTGTAGCTGTTGTTACCGTGTGGCTTCCCAATGGAAGTCTGAAATCTGTTGTGCATTAAAATCCAAAATTGGCATCACTTCTACAGCTTCTTCAACCTAACCCTTCCCCACCCCAAAATCATCTATGACCTGAAATTCCATTTTGGAAGTTACAATTTCTTAGTCCTACTCAATGCAAAAGCCTTTTGAGAGGAGCCAGAGACAATGCCTTTGCTTATTTACAGCCAAACGTCACTTAATATTCTCCACTCCAATTGGCAAAGAGTCTACTTTCATTTATTTTGCTACCAAGCCAGGTTGTCAACATTGAGATTATTCAAATTGACCAAGCTTTTCCTGAAATTTGTCCTAAGATCTTTCTCCAACACAAGCAGCAAATTTTACTATACACAATGTTGAAAAAGGAAGCAAGGCAAAGCATACTATATCTTGCTATGTATTCCTACTGATATAGTAAATGAACACTTTTGACCTGTCTAACGTGCACAAAGTCTAAAGTTGTATTACTATAGGAAAGTAAGAGAATTTGCAAAACTCTTCACTCAACAACAAAGGAAAGGTCTATGAGAAGATCCATTTTGTACCTTTTAATTTAACTGCATATCAATTAACACAATTCAAGTCTATAACTGTTTTTTTCCTCTATCCAAACCTTTATTCCCTGTCTTGTAATTCAAACTGCACAAATATTACAATTAAACATTGTGACACACCATCTTAAAAGCTAATATTTGCAGAAGAGTTTTAGTGACGTAACTTATAAAATTTATTTTGTACTTAGTTAAAATGGGACCAAGAAGGCCTAATCCAATGGGGGCAGGGAGAATTGCATGATCACACTTGAATGAAATTCAAAATAAAGAAAACCTAAAAGCTGCAACCTTCTGTCCTGTCCATAACTGACTTAAGAGTTCATCAATTCAGCTATGCACACTGAGTTCTACTTTAAAAGCCACGATGTAACTCTGTCACTTATGAAAATGAGGAACTCTGTGGGCAGTTACTGACATTCAGGCAGGAGCTTACTATTCCAATCATACTCCCAGCAGACTGAGATTTCAAAGTGGTCACAACTATGATTTGTAAAAATTATGCAAAATAGCATAATCTGATAAAACTGAAGCCTACTCTTCATCATTACACAAGGGAACAGAACAGCAAACATTACTTAAGAATGCCACGTAGGGCATTCATAAACCCATAGCACTTATCCTCAGGAACCAAGCAGAGTACACGGTTTGTGCCACAAATTAAGAGACTATGGCTTCCAGTAGGAATGAAAAAAAACATTTCAACGTGTTAAAACAGCTGCTTCTCATGTGATACTCTTATTGAAAAATTGAAAAAGCTTTTGATACCCATCCAATTTCAGTGGCACTATGGATATGTAAGCTGCCTATTCCACCAAACTGCACTATTTAAAAAGCTTGTTTTCACAGTAAGTCATCTTTACTAAATAAATCATTGCACTATTGAACTAGTGAAGACTGGGGATTCTGTTTGGACATACCCCCAAATCAAGCACCACCAATACCACCATACACACCAGTAAGTTTAAAATACAATCTGCACTGTGCTTTACCCATTCCAATTACCATTCTGCGATCTATCTCCTAAAAGCATTTACACAGCTGCAATCACGGCACAAATTTTACAATTACTACATAAATGACTGATGCAGCAGTCACATGCCAGAAGGCACAATTTCCAACTACCCTAGTCAAGAATGGTGCGTAATTTTCTAATGTGCTAACAATAGATCTGTTGTATGAGTAATAGGGCATCATTATTGGGCAAAGTCCCACTGAACTCAGGACTTTGCAGTAAACATACTTAGGATGAGACACTAATTGTCCTAGCTCTTGCCAGGTTGTTCCACTTTTAAGATTAAGTGGCTACACTGGCAGAGGAAGAGGAGTGCGGGGGTAGCGTCCCCCCCGGCTGCGTGATCCCAGCAGGGTGCCATCAAGGCTGCCCCCCCCTGCACTCGGCGCCCCCCCCCCCGGTGCTGGAGCATGAAGCTCTGCCACTGAGTGGCTGATTTCCCAATTATAACTGTCTTTAATGGCCAGACCCTAAATGGGACAACACTAAGCCACCTGGAATATGCACATACAAATGCACAAAACTATTCAAGGCTTAAAAAGCAAAAAGTCTACTCTTTCACTACACTACTCTACGTATTTTTAAAATTTATATCCCACCATTCCTCCCAAAGGATCCCTAAAGTAATCAGCACTTGTTAACGTATAATTATTATATTAGATGACCATGAAATAGCAACAGACTTGATCAAATCTGTTAAATAAGGTAGGCCAATATTTGGATAGCCAAGGGTGCCATATTTCCAGTTCAACACACTTTGGGTACAAATGAGGCCGCACAAAGAATGTAAACAGCAGCAGAATTGGAAGGCCCAGTAGTATTGCAAAGTCTCCTTCCAATACTCTCCCCTCCCCTCGGATCCTCCTGTTTGAACTCTAGCTCTCCTCACTCATACCCAGAGAGAGAGAGCACCTTGTCTGAACTAGTCCTTTTAAGTTTTGCATATTTTACATCTGCAGCAAAGGGAGGTGAGGTTTTGTTTTAAAGTATTAATGGCATTAAAGTTTATTTTAAAACAAAAAACCCCAAAATTCTACTAGAGCAGGGAGCGGCAATGAGGTTTTCTGGATTGTATGTAGTGGGGGAATGAGTACAGTGGTACCTTGGTTTACGAACTTAATCCGTTCCTGAAGTCCATTCTTAAACTGAATCCGTTCTTAACCCGAGGCGCGCTTTCCCTAATGAGGCCTCCCACCGCCGGTGCCCTTCCACCGTTCAGATTCCGTTCTTAGACTGAGGTAAAGTTCCCAAACTGGGACACTACTTCCGGTTTTGCAGAGTTCGTAAATCGACTCGTTTGTAAACAGGGCTGTTCTTAAACCGAGGTACCACTGTACTAAGTAAGATGAGAAACTGGTGATTGCTTTTCTTTTTTTCTTCTTGTTCTGGTGCTGCTACTGTTGTTGTTGTAGCAAAAAATGTATTTCCGTACTTTCATCAGAGTTCACAGCATCTCCCACAGATATAACTTATCCCCCATCTGCTTTGTAACAAAACATGTGAGAATAACAAAATCATAGTAAGACAAACTAACAGTAAACACGTATCTTTTTCCATCTCTCCCGTTGGTTTTTTTGTATTTTATGCGGTTTAACATAGCTTAAATATGTTAAGATATTACTTGCACCTTATTTTAATATTCAACACAGACAAAAAAAGAAAAAGAAAAATGAGCTTCACCAAAGAAATTTCACTACCCTAAGCCAAATTCTTCATATACCGTAAGCCTGCAACTTACTTTGGGGTTATGATCCAGGGATCATGCCGAAAGCCAAAATAATGCACAGTATAGTCAAAACACATTGTATTCAATGGTGAGTGGGATTGCTAAACTCATTTTTCCTTGAACCCCACCAGCTTACTTTAAAGCTGAAAGCACACAAGATAAATTTGTTTAAGTTGCAGGCTGTTGCTGAATGTTCTATCAAAAGAAAGGAATTCTTCTTCCCTGGATCAGTCTTTGCACCAGAATCAGTTGGTAATCTCTCATGGCATTTTTTTGTCCCTGTGGTTTTCAGAGACAGACCTGTATAAGCACTTCATTGCTTCCCTGGATCAGTTTTGTTGCAAAAAAATTATTCTAACAGAATGGAAGCCTACTTCTGTACAGACTGCAATGAAAAGTGCACCCTCAGTTGATTTTACTGTAAGCTGCTTTTAAGGACACCACCCTGACAAAAAATGTATACATTGTAATGCATTATTTATGTTTTGTGTGCATAACAATACACATTTTGACCAGGATTACATACAATGCTTTAAACAATTTATAGGTAGCTGATTTGATTTATGAGTCCCATTGATTTCATTTTGGGAGATGGAGGCGAAAAGCATGTGTTCAACTTTCCCCCTGGAATCCACAGGCCGTGTGGCTAAATCTTACGCATCTTCCCTCAGAAGGAAATCCAATGGAATTATTCCCCAAACATAAAAACTGTCGGCAGCATTTTAATGTGCTTAATTCTGTCTGTAATATACCCAAAATGCTATCTTTGGAGAAAATAGGCCAGCTTCCCCAGCCCCGTTCATGCACATGTGGGTGGGTATATGCATGCATGCATCCTTATGCATTAACGAAACACATGCAGTCCACACACAGCAATTTCTAGCAGGGCAGCTGTGTTGGATCTGCTGTGTAACACCCATCGCAAATCTTCTGATACCTTAAGACTAATGAAAGTTATTTTATTTGTGGAATACAGTCCACCTTCATCAGAAGCATACAAAGGAAAAAGAAACTGAGAACAAAGAGTGGTGAAAAGGCAAGGGGCAGAAACGTTTGCAATAAATACTTTGCCCTCCTTCCCCATTATCTGAAAAGCAGGGTGCAGCAGTGAAAAGGAATTCCTAATAATAATCAGAGCAGCTTAGTAATAATATCGCATCTCTTGTGTTCTTTTCTTTTCAATTCTCTCTGTGCGCCAGACATTTTTATCATCATTGTTAATTTATAATTATTACAGTAAACAACGTCATCACTACTCTTCTCTCTCCCCCTTCGGTTGAAGAGCAGAGTAAAATAAAAGACGAGAATCTGTCGATTTATAATTTAATGGGAGGACAAGAAGAAAGGGTCTTGAGGCTGTGAGTAATTAGTTTCTAAATAAAATTAACTGTTTGCCCTCAAGGCCCTCCCTTCCTCACGCGGTTTCCTTCTTTCCATTCGTTAATTTATAAATTGAATCAAGTTAATTATTTAGCGGGGGAGGGCGGGCGCCCGGGGGGGGCCCTCTTGCATCCCGTCGATTTACAAAATAATGTTGTTGTTTTTAAATAAAATTGTAACTGAGGGGGAAAAAGAGGAGAGGAAGCGTGCACTGAGGCTTGCACCGGGGGCAACACCAACAGCCACTTCCTCCCACCCCCACACCTCCTTTTTCTCCTTCCCTCCCATGAGGTTAAACGAGGCCTGGCGCTACCAAGAAGAAGGCGCGGGGGGCCGCCCCTCCCTCTTCCTACTGACCCCCCCCAGCCAATCACGAAGTCGCACGCGCTTCCCGCCGCCCCTCCCCCCACTTAACGGCCGCCCGGCAACCATTCCCCTCCCCCCCCCACAGAGAATGAGAACTTTCCACAAAAGGCCGCGGCCTCCCGCCCCGAGCCCCCTTCTAATTCCCCCCCTCACGGTGGGATCCCCTTTCTCCTTCCCTTCCCGCTCCCAAGGTGTCTCCCGCCGCCCCCGGTTAAGATTAGGCCTCGCCCGGCTCTCCTCACCCGTCGACGCCATTTTCTTTCTCTCTCTTTCTTCCTCCTCCTCCGCCGCCGCCTCCTCCCTCACTAACGTCCTCCCGGTCTTTCTGCCGCCGCGCACTGCGCAGGCGCGAGGTTTTCCACTCGGGTCGACACCACTGTGCGATGTTAAAGCGGGGGGGTGGAGAGGCAACGCGCCACTTCTTTTCTTCCTCTTCTCCGCTTTGTATTTATCCTAAATTCAGGTTGGAGTCAAAGAAGTCCAAAAGAGAGCTAGGGGAAACATGCGGAGGAGGGGAGCGGTAGAGGCTCTTTGCGCGTGGAATAGCGTCGGACGCGCGCAACCCCCTCCTGTTGAGCGGATGATTCCGTCCGGGAGGCTTTAGGGATCCTCGACCAAGAGGCAGAGCGATTGAAAAACGTCAGGCGGGTGTGTGTGAGTGATATTAGGGAAGGGGGCGGGCTCTCTGGGAGGATTGGCCCAGAAGGTGATTGGCGGGCGAGGGGGCGAATAAGCCCCTTTGAAAGTAGAGGAAAATGCCTTCGTTTATCTTCTTTGCTCAACATGGGTTCCCCACCCCACTCCCTACTTTATCCTCACAACAACCCTGTGAGGTAGGCTAGACTGGGAGGCAGTCCCTGACCACCCAAGCCACCAACCGTGTTTGACATGCCAGGTGAACTAGTCCCTGGGAGGCCAGGGCTCAATTTCCCCTCCGCCATGAAGCTCACAGTGTGCTGACCTTGGCAATCACTGCCTCTCAGCCTAACCTACCTCTCAGGGACGTTGTGAGGATAACATTGAGAGGAGGGGAACTATATGTGCCAGCTCTTGGGTGGGATAAGGTAAAGGTAAAGGGACCCCTGACCATTAGGTCCAGTCGTGGCCGACTCTGGGGTTGCAGTGCTCATCTCGCTTTACTGGCCGAGGGAGCCGGCGTACAGCTTCCGGGTCATGTGGCCAGCATAACTGAGCTGCTTCTGGCGAACCAGAGCAGCACACGGAAACACCGTTTACCTTCCCGCTGGAGCGGTACCTATTTATCTACTTGCACTTTGATGTGCTTTCGAACTGCTCACCCCGTCGTGGGGATTCGAACTGCTGACCTTCTGATCAGCAAGTCCTAGGCTCTGTGGTTTAACCCACAGTGCCACCCACGTCCTTTCTTGGGTGGGATAGGAATACAATAATACTGGATTACATCAGTAGCTCCCCACCTTTCCCTCCTATGGACCACTTGAAAATTGCTGGAGGTGTTGGCGGACCCCTAAACAATTTCTCTTCCTGTTGTGAGCATTGTAATACACTGGAGCTTGATCCTGCATAGTTTTAAATAACCGTACTTTTCCGTGTATAAGACTAGGTTTTTTTACTTTAAAATGATGTGAAAAACTGTGGGTCGTCTTATACACGGGGCAATCTCCCCCCTATTTTCTTAAATTGGAGTCCCTAAAAATAGGGGACGTCTTATACACGGAAAATTTGGTATATTTTAACAAACATGCCATGAGTGAAACTTGCGGGCCTCAGTTTGGGAGCCCCCAGATTGCACCAGCCTGCCACTTTACTCTGAGTAAAGATGGACTGGATGCAGCTGCATTTTGTTACATTATCCAACACCTCTTTCAGTAAATATCTAGAAGTTTTGGTGTCCGAATCTAGTTATTTATCATAGCCTTTGGCCTCCATAGCAGTCGATTCAAAGGACGGGGGTCCTAAATTGCTATCAGCTGCAGGAAGTAGCTCTCATTTGATAATTTCCATTTCAAAATAATGCACATCAATAATGTACATTTCAGAAAAATGTGTGCGCATTTTTGATGCTCTTGTGGGGATGGCAAATCACAGCATGTGGATGCAGTCTAGTAGGTAAGGCAATGGTGGAGAAACTCCGGTCAGATCCTCCACAATCTCTGCAACTCAGCAAACACCCAGTGGGAATTTAAAATGGAGCTTGTGCCTGTCTGCCCACCATGTCGTGGCTGGGTCCCCAACATGGTCCCATGGCAGCCATTTTGAATTGTGCCACATACCTCATGGCAGCCATTTTGCGGCTGTCTTAAAATTCCAGATGTGCCCACTGGCTCCCAAAGTTTTGGAAGCCTGTGCTATCTCTCCCACTGCACTCGAGTTCTGAGTCTCTAACCACCTGGAAACCCTGATGACACCCAGTGGGTGTCATCCAGCAACACCTCCCTCCCAATACCTCTCGAAGCTGCCCTGTTCTTCCATCTCGAGTTTCTTCTGTCCTGTTCCTCTCCTTATTTCCTGACTTTTTAAAGCGTTCCCCTCCTTGCACACCTCTTTCTATGTAGTTTCAGAACAATTAGAAAGGGAAGTGTTTATTAAAAATATTGTCATTTCCCAGGAACTCAGGGCCTACATACAGTCCTATACAACACAGTTTGGACACAGGTTTTTCACAACGAAACATCCCCCACAACTTCAGTTTTGGAGACCCCAATGTGATGCTAGCATATTTCTTTATGACATATTTTTTTTAAAGAACAACACCACCAAAATAAAATATTGATGATTATGTGTTACACTATCAACTATACTATTGGGACTGGCCTTTCATTTTCTGGAATGTGTTTGGAAAGGGAACTCTTATTTGACAAAACAGTGAAGACATCTAAAAACTTTTCCAATACAGATGCAGACTTCTAGTGTGTGTGCAGAAAGGAGTTGTTTTCACTGGCTTGTACCCCATGCTAGTCCTGTTCAGAATAGACACATTAAAAATGAACCCAGGTTAGGCATGCCAATTAATTTCAGTGGGTCCACTCTGAGGTCTAGCATTAGGGCTGCTAAATAACTGTGGGGGTTTTCTAAAAAAAAAAGCCCAACAACTTTCGGGGTGTCTTGTCTTCTCTTGGGAGACAGAAGCTGTGTACATGCCTTATACTAAAAGTATATGTCTTTCTCCAAAAAATCCTGGGAGCTGTAGTTTGTTAAGGGCATTAAAGCTAAGCACCCTTAATGAACTACAGTTCCCAGGATTCTTTGAGGGAGGAGCCACATGCTTTAAACATATACAGTGGTACCTCGGGTTAAGTACTTAATTTGTTCTGGAGGTCCGTACTTAACCTGAAACTGTTCTTAACCTGGAGTACCTCTTTAGTTAATGGGGCCTCCTGCTGCTGCCACGCTGCCGGAGCACAATTTCTGTTCTCATCCTGAAGCAAAGTTCTTAACCTGAAGCACTATTTCTGGGTTAGCGGAGTCTGTAACCTGAAGCGTATGTAACCCGAGGTACCACTGTATTCTTCTTCTTTGGTGATCACTTGGTAGCCGAGCAAGGTTGTCTTCCATGAACACGGTCTTAACAGTGAGTCCGTCTCACCATGACAAGGTGATGATCCTGCGAGTGAATTTAGAACACATGGCGCATAGGGCAGTCAGAGGACGCATAACAGGAGCTCCCCATACGGAAATCGGTTTTGCACTGGCATCATGCTCCATTTTGGGAACAACAAAAAAGTCGCAACCCCACCATTATGTGCTCTTTGAGGTTTGCAATCCAAACGCAGCCTGGAGTCTGAAAAAGTGATGCAAGCATAGGGTTTTTTGTTTGTTTGTTTGTTTGTTTTTAAGCCCATTGCTGAGAAATTGAAATAAGCAGGTGATTAAGAACTGAGTGACTGCACTGTTTAGTTGCTTAATTCCTTAACCCACTTCCAGGGCAAAAAGCCCACAGAACGAAAGGTGCTTACTTCTAAGTAGACACAAGAGGAGCCTGCTGCTGGTCCAGGTCGGCCCACCCAGTCCAGCACCCTGTTCTCAATAGTGAAAACCCGCAATCAAGAGTAAAGCCACTCTCCCCTGCTGCGGTTTACAGCGACTGGCATTGCTGCCTCTGCCTGTGGAAACAACAGAACATAGCCATGGTGGCCAGTAGTCAAATTGTCCTCTTTTAAAGCCAGCCACGTTGGCGGCCTCACTGCTGAGTAAGCAGTGCCGAAAAGGAGGGACTGAGTAAACCAACTCTGCACAGACAGGCAAAAAGAACAGAGAACTGAAACTCATTCCTACCCCCCGCTCCCTAAAAAAGAAAAGAAAAAACACCACTAAGGACTTTGCAGAAGCAGATGGGATCTGAGTTCTAATCTTGCCCCCCCCCCCCAGCTCCTTCGTTTCTGGTTTCTCTTTAGCGACGCTCCCTTGCCTCGTTGCAAAAGCATGTGCAAGTCGTAGAGGATCAGCGCCGACCGGCCTCGCAGATCCCAAACTGCCATGTCCAAAATGGCTGCGCGCTGGTCCTTTTCTCCCGGCTGACGAGCTGCCCATCCGGCCGGTGCAAGCCCATGCACGCAGCCAGCCTTGTGCTTGGTAAAAGAAAAAGAAAAAGGAATAGGGGGCGGGACGGGGGGGGGAGTGTTCCCCAGTTTTCTCCAAGCAGTGTTCTTGCCCAGTGGGAAATTGCAAACAGCAGAGATTGAGGGTGAGAGGCTGCAAATCAAAAAAGAAGGAAGGATCTGGCTGCCTTCATCCCCGTCGCGAGATGTTGGGCCGGTGGATCTTGTAAAAAATCTTGGATCAGCTCAGGCATGCAAGCTTTGCTCCCAGAAATTCTCTCCTGCGCAATCGTGAAAGGTGCAGGGATCCTCTTTTGCATATGCCCCCCTTAAGTTATGTCATTTGTGTTCAAAACCAGTTGCAGCTTTTTCAAAATGTCATCTAGTTGCATCCTGCAGCAGTGAGTTCCATGAGTGACTTGTGCATCCTGCATGCTTTTTGGGGGCTCTTCTGAACCAGCTGGGTTTCACTCTAAAAGATAAAGAGACCCCTGACCATTAGGTCCAGTCGGGACCGACTCTGGGGTTGTGGCGCTCATCTCGCTTTACTGGCCGAGGGAGCTGGCATACAGCTTCCGGGTCATGTGGCCAGCATGACTAAGCCACTTCTGGCGAACCAGAGCAGCGCACGGAAACGCCGTTTACCTTCCCGCCGGAGCGGTACCTATTTATCTACTTGCACTTTGACGTGCTTTCAAACTGCTAGGTGGGCAGGACCTGGGACTGAGCAACGGGAGCTCAACCCATCGCAGGGATTCGAACCACCGACCTTCTGATCAGCAAGTCCTAGGCTTTGTGGTTTAACCCACAGCACCACCCGCATCCCTGGGGTTTCATTCTACATGGGAAGAAAAGCTGTGTTCCAGCGTTGATGAGGGACAATCCTCTCACCTATAAGACCTTTAATCGTGGAATTGTGAGGCACCCAAACCAATCGAATGCAGAGTTGGGCGTGCAGTTTGACAATCCAGGGCCTTCCTGATCTTTTGGTGGCTTCCATCAATCAGTTGTGGTCCAAAAAATGTGAGGAGGCAGCCTTGGACTGAGCATAGGTCCATCTAGCTCAGTATTGTCTACACTGACTGGCAGCAGCTCTCCGGGGTTTCAGGCAGAGAATGCTGCCAGCCCAACCTGGAGTTGCTACTGGGGGAATCAAAGCTGGGAACTTCTGCATGCAAAGCAGATGCTCAGCCGCTGAGCTCGGTTGGTGAGGGCTGATTCATAGGATCAGGCCAGAGCAACTTGCCACAGCTCAGTTGCCCTGTGGCCAAATTCATAATCGGGGTAATTCTGACAGGTTAATCTGGGCAGTCAGCAGGAGCCATTTAGTTAGGAGCTACAAACCTGAGGTTCCCCCCGTCGCCCCCTGCATAATCCCGGGAACCGTAGTTTGTTAAAGGCGTTAGGAATTGTAGCTCCGTCAGGAGTAAACTCAGGATTCTTTGGGGTTGTAGGACTGACTCTTAAAGTGCCGTAAATGTGGAAGCCCCACAAATCCCAGAGTCTTTACTAGGTGTACGCTCCTCTTGAATGTTGTTGTCGTTTAGTCGTGTCCGACTCTTCATGACCCCATGGACCAGAGCATGTCACGCACTCCTGTCTTCCACCGCCTCCCGCAGTTTGGTCAAACTCATGTTCGTAGCTTTGAGAACACTGTCCAACCATCTCATCCTCTGTCGTCCCTTCTCCTTGTGCCCTCCATCTTTCCCAACATCAGGGTCTTTTCCGGGGAGTCTTCTCTTCTCATGAGGTGGCCAAAGTATTGGAGCCTCAGCTTCAGGATCTGTCCTTCCAGTGAGCACTCAGGGCTGATTTCCTTCAGAATGGAGAGGTTTGATCTTCTTGCAGTCCGTGGGACTCTCAAGAGTCTCCTTCAGCACCATAATTCAAAAGCATCAATTCTTCGGTGATCAGCCTTCTTTATGGTCCTCTGAATAACTTCTGAATAACCAGTGATTAAAAGCTTTAGCAAACGGATGGCTTCTTGCCTTCTGGTTTTAATATAACCCTGCCACTTTCTCCCTTGTCTTTTCCTTCCTCTTAGGGGCATGCTGATGAAGAGCCTTTGGACCAGGCCATGGGGGTTATGGCGCCCCCCAGTTGCATCGTTCACCCTCATGGTGCTTCTCTGCCTATTCTGGTTGACGGGCGTAGATGAAAGCTTGGCGTTATCACCCAGCCTCCTGCTCACCAGCCCTTTCCAAGGTAAGCTACCTGAGGCTCCTGCCCCCTGGCGTGTTGCGTCTTGCCTCCCGAACCGTTCTGGGCTCCTTGGGTCCAGCACACCACTCTCATCCCACCCCCACCCCCTGGAATCCCATGTGGGTTTTTATTGATACAGTGGTACCTCAGGTTACAGACGCTTCAGGTTACAGACTCCGCTAACCCAGAAATACTACCTTCCCGCTAGTAAGCGGTCCCTATTTATCTACTTGCACCCAAGGGTGCTTTCGAACTGCTAGGTTGGCAGGCGCTGGGACCGAGCGACGGGAGCGCACCCCGCCACGGGGATTCGAACCGCCGACCTTTCGATCGGCAAGTCCTAGGCGCTGAGGCTTTAACCCACAGCGCCACCCGCGTCCCTAACCCGAGGTACCACTGTAGAAACTGTTTATATCCTGCCCCCTTGAAGCAAAAAAAGGCTCCCATGCTGATAACGGCTATGTTGCAGGTTCGATCCCCACATGGGATGGCTGCTTTGCAGGGGGTTGGACTAGATGACACTTAGGGTCCCTTCCAACAGGATTCCAGGGCAGCTGACAGCTGTCAACAACCAGTCAGTACCTTGACAGTCAGACTTGACAGAAAAGGGATTGGGTGGGGGTGGGGAGAGAGAGCATCCGTCCCTGTTTCTTGGTTACAGAATTCTTGGCCATTACGATGTAAACTTGCTTCTGCTAAAAGATGGATATTGATTCACTGGGATGATAATAAAATACCCCCCGCCTCCCCTTGAACAATGGCTAGAAGACACAGCTGCTCTTGCAAGTTACAAATGGATGGCTTTTAGATTTGTATATGGGCAAATACTGTATGGTGATATTTGGAATGCCTTTATGTAAAAAAAATCACGAGGGCTAGTTAATAATTTTATACTTGTTAGAATAATTGTACACGGCGGCCCATTGCGGGTGCTTCAGCTGAGATTCCTGCATTTCAGACGGTTGTACTGGATGAACCTTGAAGGGAACGTTCTTTCACATGTGGCGGACTTGCAAAAGGATAAAAGAGTATTGGGAAATAACCCATAATGAATTAGAAAAAAAAGTTTTAAAATACTTTTCAAAAGATAATTCAGACGGAAATTCCCAGGTGTCAAAAAAGGTTCTTTATGTATGCCACTACTGCAGTCTGTGTTTTGTTAGCCCCAAAATGGAAAACGAGCCAGGTCCCAACTAAAGAGGAATGGCAACTTAAGCTGACAGAACATGTACAGCTTGTGGTCTTACCATATAGAATAAGAGAACAAGAAGAACTTACGTTTAGAGAAGATTGGAAAATATTTATTGAATACATGGGGGGAAATTGTGTACGCTTGAAAATATTGGCAGCATTAAAATAAATCCAACAGTGCAAGTAAGTTTTGATGGATGTCATAATGGAATACTGAATGGTTTAGTTTATGTAAAATATGCAGGGATTTATGATTTGATGCAAAATGAACCATGGAGAGAGAAGAAAGGAAGTCATTGGTATTTTAGGTAAAGGTAAAGGTACCCCTGCCCATACGGGCCAGTCGTGACCGACTCTAGGGTTGCGCGCTCATCTCGCTCAAGAGGCTGGGAGCCAGCGCTGTCCAAAGACACTTCCGGGTCACGTTGCCAGCGTGACGAAGCTGCTCTGGCGAGCCAGCACCAGTGCCGCACACGGAAACGCCGTTTACCTTCCCGCTATAAAGCGGTACCTATTTATCTACTTGCACTTAGGGGTGCTTTCGAACTGCTAGGTGGGCAGGAGCTGGGACCGAGAAACGGGAGCTCACCCCGCCGCGGGGATTCGAACCGCCGACCTTACGATCAGCAAGTCCTAGGCACTGAAGTTTTACCCACAGCGCCACCCGCGTCCCCATTGGTATTTTAAGGCTGTTTAAATGAGTACAGTGGTACCTCGGGTTACAAACACCTCAGGTTACAAACACTTCGGGTTACAGACTCTGCTAACCTGGAAGTAGTACCTTGGGTTAAGAACTCTATCTCAGGATGAGAACAGAAATCGCATGGTGGTGGCAGCGGGAGGCCCCATTAGCTAAAGTGTTACCTCAGGTTAAGAACAGTTTCAGGTTAAGAACGGACCTTCGGAACGAATTAAGTTCGTAACCAGAGGTACCACTGTATTTTAAATTGTAAAACAGAAAATTTAATAAAAATTATATATATAAATAAAAGGATGAACCTTGGGGTCCCTTCCAACTCTACAATTCTGTATCCATATACAGTGGTACCTCGGGTTACATACGCTTCAGGTTACAGACTCCACTAACCCAGGAATAAACCTCGGGTTAAGAACTTTGCTTCAGGATGAGAACAGAAATCGTGTTCCGGTGGTGCGGCGGCAGCTGGAGGCCCCACTAGCTAAAGTGGTGCTTCAGGTTAAGAACAGTTTCAGGTTAAGAACAGACCTCCGGAACGAATTAAGTTCTTAACCCGAGGTACCACTGTATTGTATTTTACCACAGTTTCAAGCACTCCCCCCTCCTTTTGACCTCGTCTTGACTTTTTTCCACTTTCTTTCCCGACCGAAAATTTTCAATAGGACGAAGAATAATAATAATAATAATAATGGCATGTTGTTAACCACCCCCTGCGTTTCCTCCCCGCAGCGTATCGCCTCATGACCTACTGCCTGTGCCTCACGGAGGCTCCCTTGTTCTTCCTCAACCTGCTCCTCTTTCCGCTGCTGAGTTGGCATCAGGAGCGACGCCAGGGCACTCTGCGCTACCTCCACTCTTCGGCACTTGGCGCTTTTGCCTCGGCCCTCCTCTACCTCCTCCTAGCTTGGCTGCGGGGTGCTCAGGCCGGCTCTGCTGTTGGGGGCTACACCCCCGTGCACCTGGCCTTGCTGGGGTGCCCCCAAGGGCATCGGAAACAGGGAGGGTCCCGGAGGTGGGCTTCCCCTCCTCTGCTGGCTGTGCTGCTGCTGGGTCTGAGCTGGATTCTCTCGCCCAGCTCTCCTTTCCTCCTGAATCTGAGTGGGCTGCTCACAGGCCTGGCCTGTATCCTTTCCAAAAAGGTGGGTTGGGGGGGGGTTAACTGCTGGTTTATGGTGCATCTTGTTGGCCCTTGTGAGAGCAGGAGGTTGGTCCGGGTGGGTCCAGCAATCAGGGTCTGCTTAGTCTCTCATTTCCCTTGACGCCGCAGTCTGGGCCGGGGTCTTCTCCCCGCTGGAATTATCAGAGAGACGTCTGGAAAAGCTGCACGGCGGAATCATCTTTAAGACCCTCCAGGGGAGAGGTTCTTTCTTCCACTTCGTCTTGCCCCCGGAAGGACCTGCTGAAATCCTCCCCACCGCTGACCCAGCCGCCAGGAGGGACAGGTGAATTGGGAACCCAAGGCTTCCTTCGTAGGGCTGGGCGGGCGAAGGGGTTGTCGTTGGGGACTTAATAAGAAAGACGATCAGCAGATTTCAGGCAGGGGACATTCCCTGCCCTCTTTGGAGACGCTGGGGATCAAACCTGGGAAACTTCAGATTACGGTCGTACCTTGGATCCCAAACACCTTGCGAGTCGAATGTTTAGGCTCCCGAACGCCGCAAACCCAGAAGTGAGTGTTCCGGTTTGTGAACGTTCTTTGGAACCCGAACGTCTGACGCAGCTTCCGATTGGCTGCAGGAGCTTCCAATTGGAAGCTGCACCTTGGTTTCTGAACGTTTTGGAAGTCGAATGGACTTCCGGAATGGACTCCGTTTGACTTCCAAGGTAGCACTGTATTGGGGAATGATTTGTAATGAAATGAAAAAATTGTTTAAGAGAACACCCCCCCTCTAAAGGCCCAGAGGCGTTTCTTCTGGGTATGATACAGACAGAGGTAGCCAGGGGGCGAAAAAAGCTATTTATGTACCTAACGACTGCAACTCAGATTTTGTTAGCTCAGAAATGGAAGGTGGGAGAAGCTCCAAAGAGGGAAGAATGGCAGCTGGAAAATGATGGAATACGCAGAGCTAGCAGGCCTAACCAGCAGGGCAGCAGAACAAGAAGAATGGGTATATAAAGAGGAATGGAGAACATTTGCAGAAAAATCATTGTAAGCAAATGAAAACGCTAGCAGGATTATTGTAAATTCAACGGTATAGTTTGGATTAAGATATAACAGAAAGGGGGAAACCAGAACAAAGGAAATATAATACAGTCGTACCTTAGCTCCTGAACGCCGCAAACCCGGAAGTGAGTGTTCCAGTTTGCGAATGTTCTTTGGAACTCGAACCTCTGATGGGGCTTCCGATTGGCTTCAGGAGCTTCCTGCAGCCAATCAGAAGCCACACTTTGGTTTCCGAACATTTTGGAACTCAGAACGGACTTCCAGAATGGATTCCGTTTGACTTCCAAGGTACGACTGTACGCAGTTAATTTTGGAAGTACAAGGAACCATGGAAGGAGGAGAAGGGAAGTCGTTGGCTGTATCGTTCTCTATTTAATTTTGGGGAAATGTATACCTGAAAATATAATAAGTAAATATTTGGGTGGTGGGGAATTGGGAACCTTCTGCAGGCAAGTGCTCCACCACTGAGCTTCAGTCTTCTTTGGCTCAAGATCACAGCCTTGCCTACCTTTTTCTCTCTCCCAGGATTCCTCATTCTCTGGAGTCACCAACCCAAGCATTTCCCCCAGCAGATTTCCCTACGCAGCCTCTCTTTCTGGCTTCGCCACCTGCCTCTTACTGGAGCGGAGAAACTGCAGCGCTGGAGCAGGAATGCAGGCAGTCAGTTGCTGCTGGTTCCCGGCCTCCCTTCCCCGCCCACCATGGGGCTTTAGGTGCTCCTTTCTCGGCCCTCCAAGGATCCCTGATGGATGAAGAGCTGCTCCAAGCAGGGATCCAGGCTTCTCTGCAGGATATGGCAGAGGAAGAGGTGAAACTTTCCAAATCTTCGGTTTCTTCTCTCCGGTAAGGGTTTCCCGGGGGAAAGCTAAAGCTTCCTTCCTGATGGGGTTTGGTGGGGCATCAGAGAGATGGATACAGTGCAATCGCATCTCGCATGGGGCTTTGGTTCAAAGAGTTCTGCGTGTCTCTGATTGCAGGTCCCCAAACCCTTAGAGCCAACCCTGTGGCTAGCAGGGGTAGGGGGACATTTGGTAGCAGGTAACCCCAAGGGGAGCAGACAAAAACAGAGCTTTGAAACACTCTGCCTTGCTTTGGAAGGCAAGGCCTGCTCAGCACACCAACTCCAGGAGGCTAGAGATCTCACGCAAGACTTTCTGGGATCTTGGATGGCTCCGTGAGATTTCACATGAGCATCCCAGAGCTGGCATGCTTAGCAGGCCTTGCCCCCCGAGTGAAGCAGAGCTTAAAAGCTCTTTTCGCCCCAGGCAGACAACAGTACATTTCCAAGCACAATTCAAAGTGTTGGCGCTGACCTTTAAAGCCCTAAATAGCCTCGGCCCAGTATACCTGAAGGAGCGTCTCCACCCCCATCGTTCAGCCTGGACACTGAGGTCCAGCTCTGAGGTCCTTCTGGCCGTTCCCTCCCTGCAAGAAGCAAAGTTACAGGGAACCAGGCAGAGGGCCTTCTCGGTAGTGGCACCCACCCTGTGGAATGCCCTCCCATCAGATGTCAAAGAAATAAACAACTATCTAACTTTCCACCCCCTGCCCTTTCAGGCTCCAGCAGCTCCAGAAAATGGGCTTCCCAACCGAGCGGGCAGTTGTTGCACTGGCAGCCACAGGCCACGTGGAGGGTGCCGTCTCACTGCTGATCGGAGGCCACGTCGGAGACCAAGCCGTGGTGACGGCAGAGAGCCGCTCTGCTCATCGCTAGCGACCTCCTCCAGGCACCAGCCAGCGAGTAGACAGAGGTTGGCAAGCCAGCCCGAACGGTGCCAGCGTCCGGGCCAGAAAACCAGCCACGGCCGGTGAAGTTGAGCGGCGATTCGCTGTGGACTCAACTGGGAAGGAAGGAAAGCGAGACCCACCATTGAAGCCAAGGCCATCCTGCTGCTATGGGGTGGCTGCCGTACAGCCCAGCCAGGCTGGTGCATCACAAGGGCAAGAGTGAGAGACAATGCACATATATCAAGGGCTGCAAGTTACTTGGGAAATCCTCCAAAAGGGGAGACCCAGTGGCTTCTTCCATCCCATCCTGGGGATTCATGGAATAACAAAACCAGAGGTTTCACCTGATTGCAGTCATTTTTCCACGTGTTCCATGGGTGTTTGTGGAAACCATCTCCCGAGACGTGTCAGGAGGTGGTGGGAACATGGGCAAAAGCCGCCCCCGGCGGCCAATCCGTCTGGGCTGCCATGCATTAGGCGTTCGTGAAAAGGGGACCTCTCTCTGTGCCTGTGAGCTCCGCCACTCACCTGGGAGTTGTAGCAGGGATTTCAGTTCCGGGGTTCCAAGTTTGACCTAAAGCATCCAGAACTCAAATCTGGGCCTTTCTCATACAGCCACTTTGAAGGGGTGGAGCAGGGCATTCTCACCACATGCAGAACAGAGTCATGTCTGCACTGTATGTTTAAAGCACTCTTAAAACGTTCAAAGGGATAACAGACGACTGTGAATTCTGCATTGCAAGGGGGTTGGGCTGGATGACCCGTTGGGTCCCATCCAATTCTGTGATTCTATAACAGTTCCCAGGATTCATGTGTTGGGGGTGGGAGCCGCAACTTCCACTAAATAATCCTAGGAACTGTTGCCTGCCAAGGTGTTCCCAGTGCTTTTTTTCTGGGGGGACGCATACCCCTAAACATTTTGTGAATCTTCGTACTTTTGTCCATTTACTGTATTTATTTTCCCTGATTTGAACTATAAAATGGTGATTTTCTTGAGTCAAAATGAGACTACCCCTAAACGTTTTTTTTTAGGGGGGGGAGCCCTGGGTGTTCCTAACAGCTTTCAGGGCTGTTCACAAGCTACAGGTGCCAGGATTTTCTGGGGGGGGAGCCATGACTCTTAAAGCAGTAGGAGAGGACTTCAAAAAGTCACATTTGCCAAGCTGATGCCTGATGGACATTTAACAAAATGCAGCAAAGGATCCGTATAGAGAGCATCATCTTAGCTCAGGCTTTGAGGCAAGGTCCTCCACACTCCCTTCAATTCAGGCAGAGGCTCCTGTTCAGTGAAGCTTTATTGACCTGGTCCCTGTTATCAGCCAAAATCCCAGAGAGTACATACATTATATAGAGGCAGACACACATAGATAAACACACACACACATCCTTCTCTCTCCCTGACCTGCTTTGCCCACAAGACTTTGCATTAAGAGTAGTCTGATCGTCTCCCAGGTGCTTGAGGCTTCATGGCAGCACCAGCAGCACCTCCCCACCTGTTCCAACATCCAACCTCCCTTTGAATCGCCTTCGCAGCCCACTTGACAACTTGGGATACACGGCTTGCGTGCCGGATCTGATCCGGTCGCTAAAATTGTACCCGGGGATCCAATCACAAAGAACTTACGCATGCAAATCCTTTGTTGGGACAGCCACTGATGTAGTTCTTACAACGTCCACACAGTTCAGCGCTGGCAACTTCTACCAGGGAAGGGAAAATGTTTGTCCTCTCTCCACAAACACACACTGCTGGGCATCCCGAGCGAAAGTGAAGCCCTAGGAACCCCTTTGACCTGACCCTACCAGAGCTCCCCATTCTTAGGAAGCGAGTGGGGAATCTTTGTTTTCCCGGCAAAGATATCATGATGTCTTCCACAACTGCGGTTGAAAACAGTAGTCCAGAAAAGCCCAGTTTCTCTCCTCAGTTATCCTTGCCCGGGCCAGGCTATGGGGGAAAGGGGGCGATTCAGGGATCGGGAGAAATTTAGTAGAAAAACTAGTTAAATTTCCAGGTCAAAGTCCCAAGCGCCAGAAAAACAGCAAGTTACAGGAGAGGGTGCAGTTGTGCTGTGCAGGGGGGAAATATCCCCATTAAATAGCACCAAGGGATAAACGGCTTTCCCTACGAGACAATCAGGCAGCCGCAAAGAATGCTTAGCGGCTTAATTGTGGCAACAGTTTGTGGGGTGAAGGCGTGGGGTGCATCGCAGCAACCGTTACAGAGACACACAAACACACAACCCTTTGCGCGAAATAAATATGGTAGCAGGCTGTGGGCAAGCAAGCGCCCTCCTCAACACACGCCTCTCCACTGCTTCTCCGTGGGGGGGGGCAGTCCAAAGTGGGAGGAAGAGGGCTGGGTCTTGGGGGGGGCACCCCGAAAGAGGCCTCTCGTGCCCTCCTCAAAAAGGATGCTCTTCGTCTGCACCTGCCAACTGGCAGGCCAACGGCCCCCTCCTCATTTCCTCTCCTCCTCGCTCCTCTGAGAGAGGTGGTGGGAGATCATCTTGTAGGCTGCCAAGCTCTCGTCGCGCTTCCCCCGGTCGTAGCCAGGCATGCTGGTGGAGGAAAGGCCCAGTCCAGATCCCGGTTCCGGTTCTGTCAACGGAGAGGAAGGACAAGCAAGAGTCAGAGCTGAGCTGCTTTTCATCCGCTGCCGAATTTGGCAACCCAAGAACCTCGGTTGTCATTTTGTGAACTTTTTAAAAGAGAAAACAAGTTTCTGGTCCTCATGGTTCCAGAGGTGTGGAAAATGTCTAGGTGGCTCAAGCGGAAAACCCACAGCTGCCCAGATGTTGCTGGAGTCCCATGCATGGGTCAAGGAGGAAGGGATTTATAGTGCAGCAACTTCTGGAGAGCCTGCAGGTTCCCTATCCCTGCTCTAGGAGAACAAACAAGGTGTGGGTGCTCCTTAGGGATTCTGGGGGTCCCTCCCGCCATGCCTGTATTCAAAGTTGACTGCAAGATCCAGTGTCTTCCAAGAGCAAAAGACTTGATTTCCTTAATGTAAACTAAACTAACTGCTGTTCCAAATGAATCTGAAGGGGAGAAACTGCAGAAGGAATCTCACCTTAGAATGAGCCTATCTCAGCCTTGGGTTCCCCAAACATTGTTGTGCTACAACTCCCAGCCACCTTTGATTCACGCTGGCTGGTGCTGGTGGGAGTTGTGACATCAGAGGACACATGGCTGGGGGAAAGCTGCCTAACTGGGTATCTAGCAACATCGCCTGACCGCAGCAGGCAGGTGGAACCCTCACCTGCAGGGGCAGTGTATCTGAATGACGGGGAACAAGAAGCAGGGGAGAAGCTGCCCCCATCGTATGTCCTGATTTGGAGCTCCTGCTTCAAACAGAATGCTGCAAAGTCAGTCTCTTAGCTGCGGTCAGCCAGCGGACTGCCCTACTTGAACCTCTGCACTGGTTCCCTGCTAACATCGTTCTTGGATTGGTTGGTGCATTCCCAGGTGAGTGAAGAGGCAGATCAGTGCTTGAGCCGACTTACTTCAGGCAGACTTAAGCTACAAGGTGCAAGCTGACTTGAAAGGAGACTGCCACTGAGCATGCACAGACTTCCATCGTAAAGGCAGGCCCGCCCCATGCTGTTGGATACCCAGCAGTCTGACAAATCCAATACACCCTCAAGCTGGCGTTAACTTTTGGTGCAAGGCAAGCCATTTTTTTTAACTTCTGAGCTCATGCTTGGAGGGGTGGGGAGGAAGAGGAGCAGTCCCTCCCCACCCCAGCCATCACCAAATGTATCCCCCTTAAGTCTCCCTCCACCCCACCCCAGTGGCTATGGGTCAGGAAAGGCAAAATCCCACATAAAAGCAGCTCTGACTGCAGCAGGGCTATGGAGAGGGGGTATTAAAAACCTGGACATTGTGGACTAGTGGCATGCAGAGTTTGGGATGACGGGGAAGGAGAGAAAGCCCATGTCTGCAAGCAAAGTGGGGGGGGGTCTCCTGGCCATGGGCTCTCTGCATTGGTGAATGCAGCATGCTAGGGAAAGGGGAGAGGGAGAGAGGGGGAGCCCCCCCTCTGTTGTTACCTGGCCAGATGATAGCTTCCAGCAAGGTGACCCTCCTAGACAAGAGCTTCAGCTGGGCCTGCTGCTCTAGGAAGCTTCGTAAGCTAATGGCCTGATGGGAGATTGAGAAGAGCAGAGCGGAAATTCATTCACCCTCGTTATGGGGAAAGGGTGGAGAGGAGGGGAGAGGGAAAGGGGTCTGAATCGGGAATCTTTGGAGGGGTGTGTGACTGCAGGTGGAGAATTTGGGCAGGGGGCTCAGAAGATATAAAGGTGATAATTCTCTGGTCCTGGAAAGACATGATACAGGGTTTTCCACTCTTTACTTATGGGGATCAGGGGCATGTAAAAGCCTGTGCCTTTTTAAAAAGGAGGGGTGGTTCTGTTTCTCAAAGTTTCACGCAGAAAAGGAGCTGTATGCTGGTAGCTAACTTCACTATCGAATTGTAGGGTCATCTAGCCCAATGCCCTGCAATGCAGGAAGAGGTTTTTTTCTTGGAAGGAAATAAAATAAAATAATAAAATAAAATAAATGTGATATAATAAAGCTTCCCATTGGTAGACCTCTGTTCTCTGTAGTGGCTGGGGCAACCCAGTCAGATGGGTGGGGTACAAGTAACATCATCATCATCATTATTAATATTATTATTATTATTATTATTATTATTATTGGAACAGGCACCCCCAGAATCACTAAGGCACATACTGATTCGCCCAATGGCTCCAGAGGATGCAAAGGGAAGGTTTCACCATCCATCACCCCCTAACAGCTCTCACTTTGCACGGAGAAAGCAGAAGTTTTTCCGCCCTCTCTCGTAAACGCTGGAATTCATGGATACCCAATGACACTGATTGCTGGAATATTCAGGACAGAGAAAAGTTCTCATTCAGGCAGCACAGAGCTAAACTATGGCACTTGCTCCTGCAGGAGGTTGTGACAACGCCAACTTGGATTGCATTAAAAGGGGATTAGGCACACTCAGAGGTTCAGGCAATTAGTAGTTACTAGCCGGAATGGCTTCCACTGTCAGAGGCAATAAATTTTTCTGAATCTCAGATGCTGGGAATCACAGGCTGCCTCATAATAGAGTTCCAAATATGGCAGGGAAAATCCCCCTCTTTCTTTGATATCAATTAATAGTTTATGTTTAATCCTTCTCCTGCTTTTCCTAAAGATGTCCCTATTTTCCTTAGAAAAAATGATGCAGAAATGACTCCCGAGTTGTCTGAAGGCAATCCTGTATAGGGAAGGTTTTTAAAAAAATGTTTGATTATGTTTTAATATATGCTGGATGCTTCCCAGAGTGGCTGGGGCAACGCAGTAAGATGTGTGGGGTATAAATAGTAAAACGATCATTATGGAATGGGACGTCCCTGTTTTCATCGGAGAAAGGGTGGAGGCCATGGGAGTCTAAATCTACATGCTGCTCCCAACTTAAAGAGGTATCTCTTCTGAGAGGCAGACCCTCCAAGTGTCCCTGTTTTCCAGGGACAGGCTCAGATTTACAGAAGCTGTCCCGGTTTCTGATTTGATCCCAGAATGTCCCTCTTTTCCTTAGAATGTCCCTCTTTTCATTGGAGAAATGCTGGAGGGTATGGAGTTATGAGACCCCCCAAGCTAAGGAGATGACTGCAACCTTTAGAAGACATCCGAAGGCAGCCTTGTACAGGGAAGTTTTTTAATGTTTAATCTTTTGTTATGTTTTTATATACGTTGGAAGCCACCCACAGTGGCTGGGGCAAACCAGTCAGATGGCTGGGGTATAATAATAATGGAATAGGATGCCCCTATTTTCATTGGGAAAATGGTGGAAGGGTATGGAGATCCCAATCAAGGAAGCAGCCCTGCTTTTCACCTCTCTGCATCCTCCTCAGCTCTAGCACACATCCTGGAATGCCCCTGGAGTGGAAAGGTGGGGAAATGAATTAACGCAAGGAGGTTTGAGCAGGTGGCACTGTGGTCTAAACCACAGAGCCTAGGGCTTGCCGATCAGAAGGTCGGTGGTTCGAGTCCCCGTGACGGGGGGAGCTCCCGTTGTTCGGTCCCAGCTCCTGCCCACCTAGCAGTTCGAAAGGACGTCAAGTGCAAGTAGATAAATAGGTACCGCTCTGGCGGGAAGGTAAACGGCATTTCCATGCGCTGCTCTGGTTCACCAGAAGCGGCTTAGTCATGCTGGCCACATGACCCGGAAGCTGTCTGCAGACAAACGCCAGCTCCCTTGGCCTATAGAGTGAGATGAGCGCCGCAACCCCAGTGTCATCCGCGACTGGACCTAATGGTCAGGGGTACCTTTACCTTTTTGTCGCAAACTGACCCTAATAAATTGATGGTTGCATTAAAATATCAGCTATACTGATCCAGGGTTGTTATTAGCATTTAAGTTGCAGACTTATACACATTTGCCTGTGAGTAAACTCAGCTGAACTGGGTGGCAATTACTTCTGAGTAAATGAGCCTAGGATTGCTCAGAAAGTTGCGCTCTCCATTGAAAGGGAGCGCAAGTGGCTGTTCTCTTCTGCTGCCACCACCAGAGGGCACTCAGCTCCTACCTTATTGGAGGTGTAGCCACCAGAAGCCCACCACCTCCGTTTTCCCACACTGAGCATGCTCAAACTACTGCACATGCTCAGTAGTAGCAACTGAAGCCCTCTGCCCACACTTTGAAAATTTCAGTTCGATACAAGACTACATAGGAGACCCGGGGCAATCAAACTACTTTGACTGCTCTGTTTTATTATTATGGTTTTTTGCAAAGCAATTTCCCCCAATATAATGCAGCTTCGTATAGTCTTTTCACGAGGATAGCATTTAGTCCATACACCATAGCAGAACTGTTTTCACTAATGTAATAGTTTATATGCACTCTAATATATTTGTTTTTGAACGCATCATTTGGCAACAGAAGTGCACCGCAAAATTCAGAGGAGTGCAAATTGCACAGGACAGCTGTGTTTCGGTTCACACATTGGTGTGGACACTGCAAATTAGGGAGGCTTGCCTTGAAATGTGGACTGAATCGTATTTCTTCCCCCACCCCATCCCTGGGGGCTGATGGGAGTTGTAGTCCAAAACATCTGGGGAGGGGACCAGGTCAGGGAAAGCAGACTTGGATCTCACAGCCTCAATTCTCGGTCAAACAACAAGAATAAAAGATGCTACTCTGCAGTAGGAAATTTGGAGCGGTGGGCATTTTTTGACAGAAAAAAACCCTGGAGGGAAAATCTGCCTTGTGTGTGTGTCTAATTCCACTAGATTCCACCACATCAACAGTCCTTGGTTGTGAGCAATATGGCCGTTCTCTGTACAGTCATACCTCGGGTTGAAGTAGCTTCAGGATAAGTATTTTCAGGTTGCGCGCTGCGGCGACCCAGAAGTAACAGAGCGCGTTACTTCTGGGTTTCGCCGCTCGCGCATGCGCTCAAAATGACATCACGCGCATGTGCGGAAGAGGCAAATCGTGAGCCACGGATGCGGGTTGTGTTTCCTTCTGGATGTGAACGGGGCTCCGGAACGGATCCCGTTCGCATCCAGAGGTACCACTGTACTGTATTTCTGCTGCCAGGAAAAGGAGGGTGGTGCTTATGGGATTGTCTGCCTCAGGTGTTAACTTCGGGACTCTGCATATTCTCCTTTCTTTGGGTCGTTTGTGTGGCCTTGAGCAGAGGTTCGCTCCAAGTCTGGCCCAGACTGGGTTCATCTTTGTCCACTCCAACACCCCATCCTACAAACACCAGCCCCACCCTGGTCCTGATTCCCCATCTGCCTTGTCTGAGTGCTTTGATTGGAAAATCGCTTTTGGTTAGCAATATTCTTTGAATTGTTTTTTATTGTATCTCCCCCCTGATTTTATGCTATGCTTTTGAGGGGAAAATATGTCCCACCCCAATGTGTTCCCCAAAGGCCTCCTCTCTCTGCCTTGAACCAAGTTCAGCTGAGTGATAAGCGTAAGAAGACCTGGTCTTCCTAAGATCTGCAGTCCATCTCTATCTATCCGTCTGGTAGCCATGCTCAGAAGCAGAAAAGCTCATCCCCGTACAAGGAAGGAGGGCAATTTGTCTATGTTTTATCTGAGCCTGATGCTGTAAGAGTACATTTTTCTATAAGGATCCCCTGTTTGGAGAGTTCCTTTTCTATTCCTCTCCCATGACCACTGATTGTATGAGCACAAATGAAACTAACACCGGACTGAGAAATCTTTCTCTGCATGTGTTTTGAAATCCATGACACTCTACAAGTTTTTTTAAGTTGTTTAGAGCCTCTCTACATAGCAAGTGACTAGTAAACAACGTTTCTGTGCGCTCTGGTTTCTGTCACGGTGTTCCATTGCACCAGAAGCGGTTTAGTCCTGCTGGCCACATGACCCAGAAAGCTGTCTGTGGACAAACGCCGGCTCCCTCGGCCTGAAAGTGAGATGAGTGTCACAACCCCATAGCTGCCTTTGACTGGACTTAACTGTCCAGGGGTCCTTTCCCTTTTTTTACCATAGTGACTAGTAAAAGTTCAACATATGACAAAAAGTAGTACAGTGGCACCTTGGTACTCAAACGCCTTGGTTCTCAAATGCCTTGGTTCTCAAACGAAAACCTAGAAGTAAGTGTTCCGGTTTTCAAATGTTTTTCGGAAGCCGAACGTCCGATACAACTGTTGGCTATTGTTTCCAGGGCACCTGCACCAATCAGAAGCTGCACCTTGGATTTCGAACACTTTGGAAGTCAAGCAGACTTCCGGAATGGATTAAGTTTGGCGCTTTTGTTTTTGCTATTTATTTTGCGTTTTTGTTTTTGAGGCTTTTTCGGTTAATTTGTTTTTGTGACTGTGTGGAACCCAGTTCAGCTACTGATTGATTGATTGATTGATTGATTGATTGTGTGACTGCAGAAATGGATAAAAGCCCCCCATCCAAACATCAGTGCAGGTAAGAAATTTTTTTTAATTAATTTTTATCATCTGCAATACTTATTTATTTTATAGTACAGTACATTGATTATTGCTTTCATTTTATGGATCAATAGTCTCGTTAGATAGTAAAATTCATGTTAAATTGCTGGGGTTTTTGTATTTTTTAAATTGTTGTTTTAGGGGTTGTTTTTTAAAAGTCTGGAACAGATTAATCCATTTTGCATTACTTTCTATGAGAAAGCAGCCTTGGTTTTGGAACGCTTTGGTTTTGGAACGGATTAAGTTTGAGAACCAAGGCACCACTGTACAGTGGTGCCTCGCAAGACGAAATTAATTCGTTCCGCGAGTTTTTTCATCTAGCGAATTTTTCATCTTGCGAAGCACGGTGTCGGAAAAGTTTTGGAAAAGCTTCAAAAATCACCAAAAACCTCAAAAAAGGCTACCACACCGCGTTCTATGAGTTGCTCCTCGAAGTCAAGTCGCAACTGTATTAACGGTGTTAAGAAAAAGGAAACAAACTTGCAAAAAACGCAAGACGTTTTCGTCTTGCAAAGCAAGCCCATAGGGAAATTCGTCTTGCGAAGCAGCTCAAAAACCGCAAAACCCTTTCGTCTAGCGAGTTTTTCGTCTTGCGAGGCATTCGTCTTGCGGGGCACCACTGTAATGTTTTGAAGTACAGTTGGTTTAGACGTCCCTAACTCAATGGCGCAGAGGACCGTTTCTATACGTGCTGTAGAGGCAAGTGAGGGGGAGATGAGGTTTGTCCATCTGGGAAGGTATCTCATTTAGGAGAAGGATAACTCTGGTCCTAAACCTCCGCTGCCTTGGGGGATATCTTTGGGAGAAGAAAAGGCTATGGAGTAAACCCTACACAAATCCAGAATGGAGTCCCTAAGACGGCTGGAGGGTGCCTTGCATGCCTCCTCCTGGCAACTGCTGCAGCCAAGGTGGTGCCAAACCTATTGCTCTGTTTTCCTTTGGACCACATCAGCGAGGCCAAGACGGGGGTCTTGTCATTTGGGCAGCCTAGGACCTCCATAGGCACTGCCCAGGCTTGCGCCCTGGGGAGGTCACTTAGGTGCTGCTAACAGAAGTTCAGGTTCACCTCTGAAGGTGCACTCCATTGTCTCTTGAGACAGACAGATGCCAACAAAAACAACAAAAAATTGGGGGGTTTTGGGGGGAGGGAATCTGCTTCTGCCAGCAGACCCTGTGCAACCACTTCCTGATGTCACCATGGACATTGCCATGGAGACTGTGCCATGGCTGAGCCGCCCTCAATGCATTGTGCCAGGCCTGCTCCCCACAGGACCCAGAGAGTCAGTCCAGTATCCAGCCAAGGGCGCAACTGAACCCCTGGATTTTGCAAAAGGCTGCAAGAACAGGGCAAACCGCCCAAGCAGATCACCATACAGACCTGGGCGGGGCCTCCCCCATGGTGGGCCCCTTTTTCCTGACCCCTCCTGGCCTGGGGGGGCACGGGGGAAAATTTTGTCCTCCTGTCTGTCTCTACTCACCATGCAGCCCAATCATTGTTTCCAAGATTAAAACCCTCTCAGCTAAAATCTTCAAAGCCTCTCGCAGCTGGTGCAAACCCTCCCCCTGCGGACGAAAGAGAGACAGACACGGCCGTGAAGGGGACGCACGTGCAGGGGTGTGTGTGTGTGCATGCGCACAAATACGTGCAAAAAGGAGAGGGAGGCGGGGGGTGAGCTGAGGCTTGGCATGCCTAACCCTCCCTCCCGTCCGCATTTGTTTCAGCCATCAGAAATGACAACAACACACCCACCCACCCACCCAAGGGGCACAAATGCAAACAGAGCATCTATCAAGTATCTATCATGCATGTGCAGTCCTTTAAGGAGTTTGAGCAAACAGTATCATTCAGCTGGCGCAGCTCGCAGGGAGAGAAAGATATAATCAGAGGGAAAGTGTGTTTTGTCCTGAAACTGGGGCAGCTTCACCTCGCACGCTGGACCAGCTGCCTAATTGCTGCTTTTGTCTGTGACCCTGCCCACCCCAAGCATCCCCCCCCCCCGCAAAAGGGAATGTGGTTTTCAGGCTGGAGAAAGGTTTCTCACCCCTGCATTACACCATCAGAAATCTTCCTGAGCCAGGGCTGTGTTGGCACCCAAGATTCCCTGCCCTCACTCCAGGTGCCCGCCCTCTGCCCGCTAAGCTAGCCAGCTGCCCTCAGGTGCAGCAGAGGATGCTGTCTTGGCATCAGTGGCACTTGGGTGACACCTTCTGCATCGTTGCAGGCCGGCAAATGCCTTGGGGAGACGTAACCACCAGGAAGCAGCGCTGATGGACTCCCCAACAGATCCAGAAGCTCCAGCAAGCGGAGGGTTAACCCACTGACAGGCAGCACTGCGCAGTGGTTAGTGTCGGAATAGGACTTGAGAGAGATCAAATCAGTGACGCTTGCCTCGGCCAGTCTAATCTACCTCGCAGGGTTGTTGTTGAATGAGGAGGGGGAGGGCCATGTAGCTGCTTGGAGGAGAAAGGTGGGCTTTAAATGCAAAATAGATAAAGTCACGGGAGACCTTCTGTTCTGCTTTTGCAAATGCAGAAAGCTGGGTTATAGAGAAGCAGGCTGCTGGGTCCAACCAGAAGCTCCTGCAGGAAGGATGCCAAACCAAAGCAAAGAAAATGAACAGAAGAACCACAATGGCACAGAGCCCCAAATACGGCCGCCTGGGATTGGTGTCGAGAAGACATGAGTTTTCCCTCCTTGCTCAGGAAGTCAGGTGTGTAGGCACAGCAGAAGCACATGCATGGGAGGTTAGTAGCAGGGGGTGGTCCCAAATGCAGCGACCTCGAGGGTGGCATGGAGGTGGAGAGAGACAGACAGATGCAGTAACCAGATTCCCAGAGCTATATCCCAGAGGCCACATTCCCACCATCCCATTTAAAGTGCTTTCATGCCACTCGGAACAGTCAGGGCTTCCCCCAAAGGATTCTGGGAGCTGTAGTTTGTTACAGCGGCTAAGCAGTGTTAGACCCCCTTTTCCCGCTCAGTCCCCAGAGTTCTCTGGGAAAGAGCAATGACTGTTAAACCACTCTGAGGACTGCAGCTCTAGGAGGGGGAGAGGGGTCTCAGCATCCTTAACTAACTACAGCTCCCAGAATCCTTTGGGGGAAGCCGCGACTATGTGAAAGGGAATGACACTGATGTATGGGGCCGAATGGGGCCAAACACACAGAGCGAGGGGAGAACAGTCCCTCTCACTTCCACCAGGAAGGAGGGGAAACTATCCCAGTGAGAGCTGGGAAAGCAACGTCCCAAGTTGGGGCGAGCGAGACAGCTGAACCTAAAAGCAGGAACATCTTTCCAGTTACAAGCAAAGGCACGGTGGAAGCTGCTTGCTGGCGAGTCAGAGCATCTGTCCATCTCACTCAGCGCTGTCTGCAGAGGGGGTTCTCAAAGCGGTCAATACTGACCCCCTCCCTGGAGTTTGGTGGGCCTGTGCCGGGGCTGAAAAGGCACAGAAAAGGCACTTGTGGCCTATACAGTCGTACCTTGGAAGTCAACCAGAATCTGTTCCAGAAGTCCGTTCGATTTCCAAAATGTTCGGAAACCAAATTGAGGCTTCTGATTGGCTGCAGGAAGCCGTGGAAGACCAGTTGGATGTTCTGCTTCCAAAAATAGTTTGCAGACCAGAACAGTCACTTCCGGGTTTGTGGCGTTCGGAATCCAAAACGTTTGAGAACTAAGCTGTTCGAAAACCAAGGTACGACTGTAGTGGGAATTAGGAGTCTCAGAAATCAAGGGCACGAGCATGTACAGAGTGCCAGTGAGGAACCTTTGCATCTAATAAGACGATTCTGCAATGCAATAATACTCATCCTTTTGTTTGTGATTCCTAGCAATGGGGATTAATAAATGTTTGTTACAGATCAATCTTTCTAGACTTTACCTCATTCATGTTGGGTTGGGGGTTGGTGACGACTTCCTAAGCTCACGAAAGGGGTCCATGAAGTTGGGGGGTTGGGAAGCCCGGTCTGCACTGACCAGCAGCAACTCTTTGGGGTTGCTTTTTTTAGACAGGCGGTCTTTCCCATCCACAGGTGGAGACTGAACCAGATGCTCTACCAGTGAGCTACAGCCCTTCCCAAGTCTTCCCCATTAAGGGGAGGGCATCTCTTTAACTCAGATTTCCCCAAACTGGTGCCCTCCAGATCTTTTGGACTACAATTTCCATCAGCCCTGGCCAGTGGCAGAGGTAATGCAAAGCGGACTCCCCCCCCCTTTTGCACCACATGTAACAAGAAACAGAGCAGAGGGCTAAGATCTGCCCTCCTCCCAGAACAAGGGTGGGGAATCTCAGTCATTTCTGCCTGGCTGGAAATGTACCCTTGAAATCTGACCAGTCTCTGGCTTGCCAGGATTGGGGGGGGGGGGACAGGGAAGAAACTGGCCTATTGTACAAAGGTGGAATTTACATGTGTTGCCCCGCCTCTGGCCACGCCCACCACTAGTATGTGGTCCCCTAGGGCAGAAAAAGGTCCCAATTCCGTGTCTCAGAGGAACAGACAGAACACAGGAGTTCTGGCACCAGCACACCAAGGCCCTGGGCAGAGTGGGGTGAGGGGGGTTCAGTGGGGGTGGCAGCCAGGGAAAGAGACAGGCAGGAGAGAGCCCTCAGACAAGGATTCCCAGATACTTCCCCCCATCTCTAGACTTTGAGTCAGGAGATGGGGAACTTTGAGCCTTCCAGATGTTGCTAAACTACAATTCCCATCATCATCACCATCCCTGGCCGTTAGCCACGTTTGCCGAGGCTGATTGGAGTTGTAGTCCAGCAACAACATACAGAGAGCCCAAGGTGCCTCCACAACGGTTCTCTGTGCTTCTTTTTATGGTCTTTGCTTCTGGCCTGGCTGAGCTCGCAACACGATCCCAGATCAGAGCCCGGCTACTTTCATGAGGAATGGGCAAATTCTCTCCATTTCGTGTTTCCTCAAACTGAAGTTCACTTTCCCTGTCATTCTGCAATTTAATTTTTAAGCCCACAGCAATCTGAGACTCGTTTTCACCTAACGCACAGAGTTTTGCACTCCTTTCTTTCCTTACACACGCAGAGTTTTACATGCAATTCTCCCTGACGTATTTCTCAGAAGACTCTTTCGGCACGGAGGGGTATGGCAAATTTAATAACAGTAGTAATACTTAGGCTTTTTTTTTGTATGCTTTCCTCCACAAATATATGCATTTTTCTGGACACTTACCCCAGATATATGCAAACCAAACCAAACCAATTCCCACCCCCCAGTTCCTTAGCATTCATTTGGGCTCACTCTCCAGGAAGAAAATTTTGCATTGCAAAATTTGGATATGTGAAAGTTTTAATGTCTTGTTTTGAAAAATGCACATCAAGGTAGGTTCGCCTTTAAAATGCAGAGAGTCAAGAGGAGACCCTCTATTCTCCCTCACAGAGTTACAATTCCCAGAATTGTCTGGGAACAAGGGTTTATTTTAGGTGCGATTCCTGCACTGCATAAGGTAGGACTAGTGAACCTTTTGAGGTCTTCCAACTCTACAACTCTGTGATTGCTTAGCCACTCTGGCAATTGTAGCTTTGGGAATGGGGAATTTGGGGGTGGTCCTAAAAAACCCTCAGCACCCGTAACAAACTACAGCTCACAAAATTTTTGGGGGGCAAGCCAGGACTGTTAATAGTGATATGATACTGCTTTAAATGGATGGGATGGGTGATGTTTTGATGACTGGAACAGATGTTATTTCAAGGGGCAGCAATGAAACAGAGCACAATACTAAAAAGCTCCTGGAGACTTTGCAAGGGGGGAGACTGGGAATGAGGAAGAAGAAAATATGGACCCACCCACTCTGTTCTTTCAAAAACCCTCCGCTCTGCAGAAATCAGCCCACAACACTTTTCGCAGTATGGAGCCACAATCGGTTGCCAACATCTGCACACCAAGCTGCTCCTAAAAGGCAGAGCTGCAGCAGCTGGTTGAAGAGTTGGCAATCCTAGTTGGGATCGTGCCTGAGTGTTCCCGTTCTCTTGCCTATGGGAGGAGAAAGGCAGCCTCACACGTCCGGTCCTGGTTTCAGATTGCGCTGGCCAGCGGCAAGAAAGCTGTGCTTATTGCTCCCACTGTACCATGCAAAGGAAGAATTCAGTATCTCCAAGATGGGAAGCTTTCTTTTTTAAAACAAAAAACCAAGTTTCTAGTCCTTAAGGCTGTGGAAATAGGCTTAAAAGCCCACAAAAATGTGGACACAAAAGATTTACACAGTCCATATAGATCATCACATGTGGTTTTTCTTGGCAAAGAACTTTGATCATTTTGGTGAACAACAACAAAAATGTTCTGTTCATGCAGAATACGCACTGAGCTCTGAGAAATAAAATGTCTGGTGAAGCAGATTTTGGTTCACGATGGCTCGTGCCACACAATACACCTTTAGGGTAGCCTTCCTTCCCCAATGTGGCCTCCCTGCAGATGGTTCTGGACTTCAACTCCCATCAGCCTCAGTCTTGTGCTGCTGGGGTTGATAGGAGAAAGGTTGTGCTGGGTGGGGCTGATGGGAATTGCGGTCCAAAATCAGTGGGTGCTGGTGGGGAAGCTGCTTTCAAGGCGCCGCGAGGCTCTTGGCTGTTTTGCATACCCTGGGAGATCTCAATAGGAAAGCGCCTTCATTTCAGTACCCCTTATATTTCTTGCACACCCCTAGAAGCCTGCCAGCTTGGCTCACGTCTGAGTAGTGGAAATGGGCTTCTGTTGATGAGGGTACAATAGCGGCAGAGAGCTGGGAATCGGGGCAGATTTTTGCAGGTCCAGCTGGTTCCCAAGACTCAGTGTCCCTTGGTTGAGTTAGCAAGTGTCTGGGGTGGGGGAAGAGGAGAGAAAAGGAGGGTCCCCACCCCCACCCCACCCCACAAGCTTACCCAGGTGCCTTTCTCGCCTGGTTCACCTTTGGGCCCCGGCTCACCCTGAAGCGGAAGGAGAAAAGGCATGAGAAAACAAAGGTTTGGGGCGGTCTGTGGTTATTGCAAAAGAAATCTTCAAATAGGAAATTGCATTAGACCCTCTTCTGCTGTTGTTGGAACCTAGGAAGCTGCCTTACACAGAGTGTAAGGCCAGTGGTCCATCTAGCACAGTATTGCCCGCACTGACTGGCAGCAGCAATCACATGGGGACACTGCCAGACCTACCTGGAGCTGCTGGGAATTGAGCCTTCTGCATGCAAGGCAGATAGATGCTCCAGCTATGGCACTTGCCCCCTTGCTGAATTGTGTAAAACAGCATATAACGCCGAAGTATTGAATTCAAGAGCCACATACTGTAACAGCAGGGAGAATCTTACATGCAACATTTTGGAAAAGCACACAGGGAACCTAGTAAGATGGATTTATTAAGATAATTCTGGGAGCATTTGAGAATCACAACATCTCATTGTCATGATTAGAGATGGAGAAAGGTTTCCATAAGCTGGAAGCGGTTGGAAATTAGTAACCAACCCAGCATAAAGATTTTGCAACCTCAGGCAAAAACCAAATTTCAGTGAGAATTGGAAGAGCTCCATAGAGGCTTATGAGCTCACAGAACTCGCGTTAGTGACCTATGATGTAAGACGTATGTAATACAATAAAAAGCTTCATACGGGTGTGAGGGAAAACCAAAGCTTTTTTCTTTCCAAGGGTAAGGGTAGTGCAGGGAGAGGGGGTAGGCTTGGCCCACCCTGGGAAAGGCAGATTATGGATGCTGTCTTGGGCATGGAGACAGGCCATTATAATAACTGTGTAATGTTAAGAATCCAGTACCTAGAGGAGGCCTCCCCCTGCCAGACTTGAAATTATATTTTGAAGCCTCCTGTATTTGCTGGATCTGGGAATGGATAAAACTAAAAAATACAGATCTATTAGATTTGGAAGGATATGACAATAGATTTGGCTGGCATGCATGCTTGTGGTACGAAAAGGCAAGAGTACATCAAAGTTTTCAAAATCATATTATAACGAAAGTGATTTTTAAAGTTTGGGAGACGTATAAAAGATTATTAGAACTGTGCTTTTTTTATTAATTTGTACGCCAGCCTGGGAACTGAAGAGCTGGGTAAATGAATGAACAAGCGAATGAATGAAAGTCCCATGGAGAATGGTGACCGAGGAAGTTCTCATGTAGTGTAAGAGACATTTCTCAGAATGTGCAGAACTTCCCTGGCTGCTGGAGTTTGCCACTAGCCACCCAAATTTCTCGCACCCACCCTAGCAGGGTATTCTCTCCTCCTCCGCTGTGCCACACTTACGCGTTCTCCATCGAGACCTTGGCGGCCAGGATATCCTTGCGGTCCCTACAGGAGAGACGAAGAAGTAGAAAAAAGAAAACCTGAGTCACAGAATCATAGAACTGTAGAGCTGAGAGGGACCCCAAGAGTCATCTAGTCCAACCCCCTGAAAATGCAGTTCATGGCTATATGCTTCGGTTCTCTTGCCCCACCAACCCTCCAGGGACCTGCCTAAAACCCCTTTTTGGTCTTCATCCTCTGACAACAACAACAACAACAACAACAACAACAACAACTTTACACCATGCCCATCCGGCTGGGTTTCCCCAGCCACTCTGGGCTGCTCCCAACAGATTAAAAACAGAATAAAACATCAAATATTTAAAACTTCCCTAAACAGGGCTGCCTTCAGATCTCTTCTGAAAGTCATATAGTTGTTTATTTCCTTGACATCTGAGGGGAGGGCGTTCCACGGGGCAGGCGCTACCTCCGAGAAGGCCCTGGTTAAAGCAAATGCAGGGAACTTCTGGCCTTCCAGAATTTGCTAAACTCCAACTCCCATCAACCCCTCGCTGGGGCTGGAAGGAGTTGTAGATCAGCAACACACGGAGGGCCAATGGTTCCCCACAGTGCTAAAGCAAGCGGGCAGGATTTGAACCCAGGTCCTCCGGGCAAGTATATGAACACGAGAGCCCACCCCTATGCCCGATCCTGACCTGGAGGGAGGCGCCTGCTTCTTTATATGGCTCTGGCTCAGGGAGAAATCCCACAGGGGTAGTTCCTCCAGCCCCACAGTGCTTTAAGAGCTCTGAGTGCTCCACTGGGTTTGCTGTTCTGGCAGATGGAGGGTTGCCATCTTCCAGCCAGCCACTGTAGATACGCTTTTGAAAACTGCTTGATGTGCAGACGTCAGCAGGGGTAATAACAGCTCTATATCTTGTGGAGAGGAATTCCTAGCTGGCGGCTGCAAATCAAACCAGTTTGATTGGTCTAGTTAAGGACACCGCAGTTTAAGGAGATCGACCAAGCTGGAAGCTGATTTTTAGCTGTAATTCCTGCATGTATCCAACCACACAATTCTCTGGTGCTATGAAATTTGGATGTAAGTCTGAGAGCACGTGATGCTGGAGGGCGGTACTCACTCTCTCTCCTCTCTCTCCAGGGGTACCAGCTGCCCCATCAGCGCCTGGGGTTCCGGGGCTCCCCTGAAAGAAAGAACCGTTGCCGCTTCAAACATGTTCTCCCCAACCCCGCATACGTTTCAGCTGTGCAGTAGGGTTGGCGTTTTGCCCCATGCCAGACTCCCCTCCTCCTTGTGATTTCTACCCTCTGTGGCAAAAATAACAACCACACAACCGACAACTAGACTTGTACACCCCCACTTTGAGGCTAATTCCCAAGCATCCAATATCCTTTCACTGAAGATGCTCCCAGGGCCTTCTCTGCCAGGGCTGAGGCCTCCCAGAAATTGCTGGACTGGGACCCTTAAAAGGAGAGGGACTCCTGTTTATGTACTTATTGTTGCTCTCTCTTGCTCTCAACTGTGGGGAATAAACCCACAGTGATAACGAATGCATTCTAACACTTTTGAAAGGTTAAGATTTCCCCTCCCATACAGATGTTTTCAAAATTCTCCCCCCAAAGATCTTTATTGAAACTTAACATATATACATAATAACCAAAATTCCCAATGATTCCCTCACATAAAATATAATATCTAAATTACAACAGCTGCATAATTATACACTTAATTATGAAACCCACCCCCTACCCTCTACTTCCCTCCACAGCAATTCAACTTCTTTATATTTCTTTCTACCTTTCTTCCCTTGCATTCTATAATAAATTATTTTTGTTAAATTCTGATTTTTCCTTCTTTCTTTTATTGGTTTTGTTATTGCTTGCATTTTTTATTCTAAGCCTATTAGCATGTCATTTTTAGAACAATATTTTGACATATAATCTTTGAAATACTTCCACTCCATTCTTAACTTTTGATTTGATTAATATCTTATAATTGAAGTTAATTTTGCCAGTTCTATATAAACTCTATAAACTCGCCAAAATTTATAGATGTTTTCAAAATTCTTGAATGGCTGTTTTTTGAGCCTGCTCATTCAACTGTTTTAGTTTATGTTAAACTTGAATAAAAATAAAGTCCCAATAAAAAAAAGAAAGGTTAAGATTTAGTTTGGTTTTAGTTGTGTTGCATTTGCACTGTTGTTATTTGCATTATCGTTATTTGCATATATCTGTTTATTTCCAGGAGCCTGTTTGAATGAAAGGCGTACAAATAAACAGCAACATAACACGACGTGCCGACGTGCATAAGACGCGATTAATAATAATAATAATAATACAACAATGGATCTCAGTTGCAAGGGACCGTTCTTTTGCAATTCAAGAAAATCTTTAATAAAAATTATTCCAAGTCGGTTGCAAGGGATCTCTCCCCACCCCAAATACGGTGGCAGCTAAGTGTTACCTACAGTTTAGTCCCAAAATACTGGGAGGTTCCAGGCCCTGGAAAAACACCACCTCCTATTCAAATCATGAGCTCAAAATGCAATTGGACTGTTTCTGCAGTGCTGCCCCTCCCAGAAACCCTTGCCTCCTCCGGTCAGAGATTAAGGGTACTTACATCACGTCCCGGCTGACCTGGGGTTCCAGCTGGCCCTGGAGGACCTGCAGGGAGAAAGTGGTTTCACACCCCTGGTCAGCAACTAATTTTTGCTGCTTTGAGAAGGGAGAAGCTGGGGGAAGGGGCAAAAGCCCCCAAACCTCATTTTCCAAAGTTCAAAGTTCATTCAACCAGCAGCACCCACAAGCCTGCAGCTGTAACTACAACCTTCCCTGAGTTTTGTTGTGGCTGTTGCTTCCCACCCCCCAGGGGGCAGGATTTGGCCCTGATCTGTTGCAACTCGATTTGGCCCTGATCTGTTGCAACTCCCACTTAATACTGTGATAGGAATTTTGAGGTCTTAGATATATGGTAATGTTCATAACCGCATGTACATAGATCAGCACAGGAAGACCGACCTGAAGCCATTTTGATTCCTAAACTGAGCAAATGTTTTCTCTGCAAGGTCAAAGTGGGAAACCTCCCCATTGTTTCTTTCCTCACAAATCCTGTCTTAAGGGCATATTTAAGATATGAATAGGGTGTGAGCCTGTGACCTGGCCCAGTATTTATCATTACAAAAGACTAGCCAGGCTCCCCAGGAAATCTAATCAAGTAACCTGCCAGACAGGAGATAAACAAGGACAGGAGAAAAACATTCAAATTTCTGTTTAGACCGCCTTTTCTGTGATATAGGTCTGAGGGGTGGTCTTAGGTTACACCCCTTCCGTGATGTATGTATGATGTTTCTGGGGGTGGTCTTGATCTACAGGGTGGCAATTTCAAAAGTCTTTATAAAGCCTTGTGCGTCATTTTTCTGGGTTCCTCCTCTCTCCTGCGGGTGAGGGGAGCACCCTGTTGCAACAGATCAATAAAGATCAAGCTTACTAGCTGCTTTGCTTCTCAGTATTCTCTGGTTGGCCTCTGTTATTTTCTCCTACCAATAGGGAACCCACGTAAGGACTCTATATGGGCTCTTGGATACCCCACAAGGGAAAAGGGCAATTTTTGTTTACAACAATACTGTGTGACTCCCTTTCCCAGCTGGGCCTAGCAGACTCGTGCTCTAGTCTAGGCGGAGGAAAACAATTCCTACCACGGTCAGAAAACACTTCCAACCACTTTCCTAGAACGGAAAGTGCAATAATCAAACCTGCCACCAGAGGCCAATAGAACTCCAGCTATCAAATCCTTCCTAAAGTCGTTTGACCCATCAGCCATGGATGGCAACATGTTGTATTGTTTCCTACCAGGACACTCACAGAAAAGGCTGAAAAAAGCACGAGAAAGCTGTTGTGCTGGTTGGGAATGGCAGGTCTGCAAAGACCGGCTGCGGCTGGGTGGGAGTCCAAAACATTCAGAGGACAGATTGAGTCCACGCAGCTAACATGGTCTCTGGGTCGTCAGCAAGCCACACATTTCATTTCAGCAGTCAGATACTATGGGGAGAGGCACTTCAAGCGTTCAGGGTGGAATGGCCACATTTCGCGGACCCGGCTTTTGACAGGTATCTGCATAGCTTCACCATCTGGAATATCTCCTGTGGTTCTCCTGTCTCTTCCTAGACTCCCTTTGGAGAAGGGCCGAACGTGGAGGTAGGGCATCTATCCGCCTTGCAGGCAGAAGGTCCCAGATTCAGCCCCTGATGGCATCTCCCCAGGTACAGCTGGGAATGTCCTCTGCCTGAGACCCTGGAGAGTTGCTGCCGGTCCATGTGGACAATATTGAGTTACCGTATTTTTCGCTCTATAGGACGCACCTTTTCCCCTCCAAAAATTAAGGGGAAATGTGTGTGCTTCCTATGGAGCGAATGCAGGCTCCTTGGCTTCAGCGATAGCAGCGCAAAGCCTCCGAAGCGCAGAGGAAGCGCTCCCTCCACGCTCCGGAGGCTTTGTGTTGCTTTCGCTGAAGCTTGGAGAGTGAGAGGGGTCAGTGCGCACCGACCACTCTCGCTCTCCAGGCTTCAGGGATAGCCGCCTGAAGCCTTCAGAGCGCAGCACGAGTTCCCGCTGCGCTCTGCAGGCTTCAGGTTCCTTTCGCTGAAGCCAGGAGAGCAAGACTCTCCCAGTAAAACTGGGTAAAATGTATAAAGTGTGTAATAAATGTTGGAAGTGTAAGGAGACAGAAGGAACATTTTACCATATGTGGTGGGAATGTAAGAAGGTAAAAAGCTTCTGGGGGATGATCTATAATGAGTTAAAGAAAATGCTGAAATATACTTTTGTTAAAAAACCAGAAGCTCTCTTGTTGGGAATACTGGATAATGAAATTAGTAAAAAAGATGTGAAATTAGTTTTGTATGAAGTAACAGCAGCCAGAATTTTGCTGGCACAGAAATGGAAACAGGAAGAGGTGCCCACGAAAGAAGAATGGAGGATGAAACTGATGGAATACGCAGAAATGGACAGATTGACGGGGAGAATTAGGAACCAACGTGACCAGAGATTCTCTGAGGACTGGAAGAAATTTACAGAGTATATCAAAAATTTCTGTAATGAGCAAATAACGTTCATTAGCTTTCAAGAAGCTCTGTGAAATTACTGTTAGAAATATTGTTTAAAAATATGATGTGATTAAGAGTATTTGAGTGCAATATAGTATTGGGAAATGTGAGACGAGGATAAAAAATAAATGGAAAATTATCAGACAAGCTGAGGGAAGTTCTGGAAAAAAGGGTTTAAGTTAAAAATGGATGTATAATTTTGTAAAAATGTTTTTTTTTATGGAAAATCTAATAAAAAATATTTATTTTTTTAAAAAAGGAGAGCAAGACTCTCCTGGCTTCAGCAGAGAGGGAGAGCTGCGCAGCGCCCCTTCAGCCAAGCGGGAGGAGAAATGGAAGGGGCTCCATTTCTCCTGCCACTTCGCTGAAGGGGCGCTGAGCAGAGAGGGGGAGAATTTTTTTTTCTTGTTCTCCCCCTCTAAAACAAGGTGCGTCCTATGGTCGGGTGCGTCCTATAGAGCGAAAAATACAGTAGATGGAACAATGGTCTGCCTGTTTGTCTGCCTGAGGAAGCTTCACATTTTGCTGTTTCTGTAGGAAGGGCCATAACTCCGAGCATCTAAAGTCCCAGGTTCGAAAATGTTCAAACTAACTTTTATTTAAAAACCTGAAGCTTGGCATTACAGGTCAAGAACTGCCAAGAGAAAAGAAGAAACTCTTTATGTATGCTACGACGGCGGCTAGGATATTACTAGCCCAAAGATGGAAAAGCGAAGAAATACCAACTAGAGAAGAATGGCTTCAAAAACTGATGGGATGGCGAAACTAACAGAAAGAGTCAGAGATAAAGACAATAGAGATTTTTTAAAAGATTGGGAACCATTTATGTTGTATCTACAGAAACAATGTAAAGAAACAGACTCACTAGCAGGGTTTGAGTAAACACCTACAAGCAACAAAAATAAGTACAAAAAACTAGAAAGGTGATGTTAAAATGATAAGAGATGATAACAATTAATATAGAAAATGTAGATGTGATATAATGTAGCAAGCAGGGGAAGCCAATATGTTCAAAACCAGAAGAGGAAGTTGAGGAAAGCCGGCAGGGAGGGGGAATTTTGGGGAATGTATTGTTTCTATTTGATGATTTGATATGTTGTAATATGACTGGGGGGAAATGTAAAATCTAATAAAATTTTATTAAAAAAATAAAAATAAAGTCCCAGGTTCAATCCCCAAAGGAGTTTCCAGGTAGGGCTGGCAGACAATGCCGCCTGAAACCCCACAGAGCTGCTGCCCGTCATTCCCCCATCCCTGGGCGAAGATACAGGGCCAAAAAGAGACTTACCCATAGGTCCCGGAAGGCCAGGCGGCCCAGCTGGCCCAGTGACCCCCGTTTCAATGAAGGTGTTTGACAGAAGTGGGTCCCCTGAAATCACACAAGCAGAGAAAGATCAGGGAATGGGTGTCTTTCCTTTGGAAACCAGGCTGGTTATTCAAAGTATTGGTTTCTATACCGGTTAATGCCAAAATGAGCCTCTGAGCAGTTCGCGCAGTTTTAAAATCCCTCAAAATATAAAACATCCGCCATTATAATAGGCAGTCAAACCACCCCCCATGAAACAGCCTTGGTAAATTGGCACCCTCCAGATGCGGTCTCTTAATTCTTTATTCCAATCCTCCCTTAGTACCTGTATATCAAATTGGTTAGCTAGTAACAAAGATTTATATATGCTGATGGCCGTTTTTTGTTGCTGTTGCGTAAGAACTAATCAACTGCTTCAATATCTCTGGGGGTATCTGGGGCTGTAAAAGCTGCTGGTCCATAGATGGTGGTTAGCAAGTGTTTTATCTGGAGATATTGCCATTGAGCATTTGTAGGTAATCTGTATTAGACTCTTAAGACGGAATATGTATAAAATTCATCCTCTTAGTTTATCAGCTGGTCTATACAGTGGTACCTTGGTTTACGAACTTACAGTAATCTGTTCCGGAAGTCTTTTCTTAAACCAAAGTGTTCTTAAACTGAGGCGTGCTTTCCCATAGCAGCAGGGGACTCAATTTACAAATGGAACACACAGGAAGCGGAACATGTTCTTATTCCAAGGCAAAGTTCACAAACCAAAATACCTACTTCTGAGTTTGAGTGTTTAGTTGTTCCTAAACTAAGCTGTGCTTAAACCAAGGTACCACTGTATACCGAAACTCATCCACCTCTTCCATACGACCATTTCTTTCCTGATTTTTAAAGACGGGTTTCCCCACAAAGTCATTTTGTCGTGGGAGAAAAGGTCAAATTTATATTTTTTTGGACATGTGGTGTCACATTGTTCGAACTGATGTTATTGTTTCAATAGCATCTTGAACATTAATGTATTACGAACCCAAGTGCTGCCCATCTTTCTAAAGGTGCTACATAGGAATACTCCAAAGTAGCCCAATTTGGACAGTTGTTTTCAGTTATGGGTCTCCAGAATTGTGTACCTGACAGTAAATATGCTTAGTGATACAATTGTAAGTCTGGGATCCCAAATCCTCCGTCTTTTATCCGTATCTGCATTTTTGCAGAGATATTTCTTGGAACTGAAGAGCCCCAAAGGCATTTTCTAAACAAAGATTTAGCTGGGGCTGATGGGAGATATAGTCCCAAACATCTGGACGGTGCCAGTGTGGCCAAGGCTGCCGTAAAAGAAAACAGCAGTTCGAACAGGAGACTGCAGTAGACAGATCAAGGGGAGAGCGAATGGGCAAAACCATCCTGGACTGAGAGATTTAAGCATCTTTCACCTCACAAAAACAGACCAGGAAATGAGCAGCTAATGAAGGGGACCTTTCTCAGCTCGAAGGCCGCATTCCCTTCCAGGCAACCTCTCAAGGGCCACACGCCAGTGGTGGGCGGGGCCAGAGGCAAAAGTGGGCGGGGCAACGAATGTAAAAAAAAAATAACCTTTGTACAGTAGGCAAGCTTCTACACTGCCACAGCCCTCTTAGTCCTTCATCCAGGGAAGTAAGATCTGAGTTCAAGGAGACATTCCACTCAGGGCAAAGCACTCTAGAGAGGGTGAGAAGCAGGGCTGCCAAGGGGGCGTGGCCTGAGGAGAGTTCCAAGGGCCAGATAGTGAGGCCGGGAGGGCCGTATCCGGCTCTCAGTGAGGTTCCCTACCCCTGTGGCCAAGACACTTCCCTTGCCTGGGAAGTTACTCACTTTGATCCGGAATGGGCGATATCTTTGGTCCCCCAGGGGCTGGTGGACCTGGTGGTCCAGGGGGTCCCGGGAGGCCCTTCTCCCCGGGGAAACCTCTTGCGCCGTCCCGCCCGGGGGGACCAGGAGGCCCCGGAGGCCCTGGATGAAATGGTGGGAGGGGAAAACAAAACAAAACAAAACAATGGTGAGCACTGAGAGCTGAGCCAGGAAAGCTGGGTTTCTTCCAGCACCTGTGGGCAAAAGCTAAGGATGCCACTTTTAAAGTTATTTATCACATTTATACGCTACTTTTTTCTGTCAAGGAGCCCAAGGGTGGTGCACATGGCTCCCCATTCTTCCCATTTCGCCCTCACAACAACCCTGTGAGGTAGGTCAGGCTGGGAGACGGTGGGCTGTCCCAGGTCACACCACCCAGTGAGTTTCAGAGCAGAGCGGGGATTCGAACCCTGGTCTCTCACAGATTCGAGTCCGACACTATTATGCCACACTGGCTCTCATGCTGAGCATGAGGAACAGCAGAATGTGAGCCGTACAAGCAGGGATTGGCGTGGTTGCCAGAACTGCGTACGACCACGAGGGCAGCACCAAATCTGGCTTCTGGAAAACCTCAGCTTTCATTTAAAAATGAAAACAAGTTTCGCCTCTTGTGTTGCTACTCCTGAATCAGCAACTGGACACAATTCGGCCTGCTTGATTTAACTTATCACCACATCTATCGTTATCAATTATGATGATGATAAATTATTGTGACATTTCCCATATGATGCCCTTTCTTTTGATGCCCCTAAACAAAGGGTTGTATAGACCCACTGAAATGCGTGCATGAACCTAAGCTGGTGGTATCCATTAACTCCAATGGGCTTACTCTGATTAGGACTAGCACTGCAGCCAGCTCCCAAGTAAAATCAGAGACAGGTCAGCAGTAAATGATACAAACACAAATTACGTATAATGCTGCAAAGGCCTGTGGGAAATCTTGAATGAAAAGAACGTGGGCAGACAGTCCGGTTTCAATAAAGGGGAAATGCCTTAACCAGGGCGCCACCACTGAGAAGGCTCTGCTTCATGTGGCAAACTCCACATCATCGTTATGTTGTTAATGAGGATTGGGGTTGGCATGGATGTCCTCTGGGGATCCGCTGCAACCGTGGGATTCTGCAGCTGTAAGACTGGGGTCTGCAGAAGAGGGCGGCTGCTAAAACTGTCAACCCCGTAACAAATACCTCCTGGCAGAAATAGAATGATCCTTGTAAAACAACAAATATAATGTTTTTCGATATCTGACGAAAACAAAGAAAGAAATACAATAATCTGGAACTGTGTGTGAAAAAATAGTAGAAATAATAATACAATGAGTCTAATTGGAAGTCAAATGTGTTTGTTTTGTTTTCTTTTTCTTTTTTCCTTTCTTCCTTTACCCCCTCCCCCCCTTCTTCTTCCTCTTTGCTTTTCTTTTTTGTGCCTCCTTTCTTGGTCTTTTTCTTTTTGATTTGACGTAAGTAACAAAGTTAAGAAAGAGATAAAGATATAAATGTGTAATATGTAAACTTCAGCAAGTTAAAAGTGATGTTGTGTAATTTTTCTTTTACTATTTATATATTGTTAAAATTGGTTAATTGTAATGAACTGATGTAGTAGTTACTGTGGTTTTTTCCTTTGTTATTGTTGAATTCTAAATAAAGTTATTAAATAAATAAATAAATTGTCAACCCAATTCCTTTCGCTAAGTCAATAGGCCTTAGCCAGCTTTATTGAGAACTCCTGTTTGCTATGTAAGCTTGGACAATATGTTGCCATGGGAACTAAATACATAGCTGGCATCTGAAAAAAGGTGACACCACTCCCGTCTCCTGATTGGAGGTGATCTTCTTGTTATAAGGAGCAAATGGGGAACCTGTGGCCCTTCAGATGAAACTCCAGTTCTTCTCCGCCCCAGCAAGCACGTCCAGACGATGGGAGCTGGAGTTTGACAATATCCGTGGTGCCACAGGCTCCCCCATCCCATCGCTAAGGGGTTCAGAGGCAGGTTTTTGGCTCCAAGCGGCTTGCAGCTGAAGACCAGGAGCGTGCAGAGACGGGAGCGGAGGAAGCGAAGGGGGAGATCGGATTTGGCAAAGGCAACCCCTTCCCACTCACTCCCTGCTCCCCCCCTAAAAAGAAATTAGCTCAGGGAGGTCCAGAACAAAGAAGTGGGATTTACAAGAGAGGAAAGCTAGGCCTAGGAGTGGGGTGGGGGAAAGAAGGTGGTGAATGGGGTCTGTGTGGGGTTGGGCTGGCTGGTTAATGTTTTAACTCCAAACGGCCAGAGGCAACTTTCTCTGGGAAGCTTTCCAAACCCAATAAACATTAAGCAGACCCAGAGAGACGGCCAAGTACGACCACAGCTCCACGTGAGCTCAGATCCCCAGCCTTGCTTGCCGGGGGAGGGTGCTTCCACCCCAGCAAATCCCCCCCCCACAAAAAAAACCACTACGAGACACTTCAAGATATCCTACAATGACTGTGTTTTCCTCAGATTTCTGATCATGGAGGCAAACTTCCAAACCATACCCTCCCCGATTTAACATGGGAGACACGCTTCACTCTCGTGCCCCCCCAAAAAAGAGGTTTTAGATTGGGAGAGAGAAAGAAGGCACATGTACAAACATCTGTCCTGCAAAGGAGCCCATGGCACACACCACCAAGTCACTGGAATGAGACAGTGTGGTGCAGTGGGTAGAGCATGAGAGTACAATGTGGGAGTGAGCAGAGTTCACAACCCCACTGAGGCACGTGAAGCTCACCGTGGGATGTGACCTTGGGCCAGTAACTGTCGCCTAGCCTAGCCTACTTTGGAGGGGGTTGTGAGGATTAGATGAGGAGGGGGAGAATCATGTAGGCCACCTTGAGCTCCTTGGAGGGAGAATTCAGTATATAAATGTAATAATGTATACCGTATTTTTCGCTCCATAGGGCGCACTGGACCATAGGGCGCACCCAGTTTTTAGGGGGGGAAATCAAGAAAAATAATCTTATTTCCCCCCCAGCCCCAAAGAGCAGCGTACAGGATGCGCACAACCTCTCCCTGCCGGAGGGGTTGCGCGCGGCTATGTTACAAGCCAAGGCAGCCAGCGGGATGGATCCTGCCGGCTGTTTTGGCTTCCTCTTTAGCCCCACGCAACCTCTCCCTCCCGGGAGAAGCTGTGCGGGGCTAAAGAAGCCATAGCCACGTGCAGCCTCTCCCTGCCAGAGGGGCTGCGCGCGGCTATCCCTAAAGCCTGAAGAGCGAGAGGGGTCAGTGCGCACCGACCCGTCTTGCTCTCTAGGCTTCAGCGAAAGTAAAGCGAAGCCTTTGGAACACGGAGGGAGTGCTCCCTCTGCGCTTCGGCGGCTTAGCGTTGCTATCACTGAAGCCAAGGAGCCTGCATTCGCTCCATAGGACGCACACACATTTCCCCTCAATTTTTGGAGGGGAAAAAGTGAGTCCTATAAAGCGAAAAATACGGTAATTGGTGTTCTGTGGACCCCAGGGTTTGTGTGCCACCATTTACATAACAAAAACTAGTGTAAAGATATCAACATTTTCAAAAGTATTAGCTAACTGGGAGCCCCTGGCCTAGTCTTGCCATTTCTTTGCAAGGCAAGGCAAGCGTAAAGCAACTTGCAACATCAGAAAGTTTTCTTCTTTCTTCAAGAATATGATTAAACAAATCATTAAAGGTAAAGGGACCCTGACCATTAGGTCCAGTCGCGGACAACTCGGGTTGCGGTGCTCATCTCACTTTACTGGCCAAGGGAGCCAGCGTACAGCTTCCAGGTCATGTGGCCAGCATGACTAAGCCGCTTCTGGCAAACCAGAGCAGTGCACGGAAATGTCGTTTACTATATATCGAAATGATTCATTTAAAGCAGCAGAAAAAGGTCCCGGAGACTTGGGAGGGGGGTCTCCCCCAAGGCTGCTAGCCACCGCATTTTTCGCTCTATAAGATGCACCCGACCATAAGATGCACCTAGTTTTAGAGGGGGAGAACAAGGGAAAAAAAATTATCTCCCTCTCTGTGCAAAGGCCCCTTCAGCGGAGCGGCAGGAGAAGCGGAGCCCCTTCCATTTCTCCTCCCGCAGAGAGGGAAAGCTGCGCAGCGCCTCTCCAGCGAAGCGAAGCCAGGAGAGCAAGAGGGATCGGTGTGCACCGACCCCTTTTGCTCTCCTGGCTTCAGGGATAGCCGCCCAAATCCTCCCGCTGCGCTCCGGAGGCTTCGCGTTGCTTTCGCTAAAGCCATGGAGTCTGCATTCGCTCCATAAGACGCACACACTCTCCCCTTCCTTTTTAGGAGGGGGGAAGTGCGTCTTATAGAGTGAAAAATACGGTAAGTTGTTTTTAGCTGGAAATGCAGAGGATTGAATCTGGGGCTGCCTCCATGCAAGGAGAAGGTAGAGTTGCACCTGTAGAGCAGCGGGGGCTTACCTTGCGGTCCAGCAGGGCCTTTGACTCCAGGTACGCCTGACGGGCCGCGGATGCCAATGTCTCCTTTGGGACCCACAGGGCCTGGGGGTCCCTGCAAGGCCAGCCTCCCTGAAACAAAAGGTTTGGAAAGGGAAGGGGGTAACAGTCGAGGAAGATGCACATTCACAAGATCACAACATACAATGAAAGCACACAGCTTCCTCCAAAGAAGCTCGGGAACTGTAGTTTGTTAAGGGTGCTGGGAATTGTAGCTCTGTGGTGGGGAGAAACTACAGTTCCCAGGATTCTCTTGCTGGGAAGTTGTGTGCTTCAGATATATGGAGCGGCCATAGCTAAAAAGGGATGTGTTGAGATTGAGATTCACGGCGAATAGTGTGTTGCAGTGAGAATTTCAGTCCTTGAGAAAGAGAAAGTAAAGGGAAATGCTTGAAGACGTCAGATTACAGCAGGAAAAGAAAAGATGAATGTAAAATGAACATTTCACACAGAAATTCACAGTCTCTTTTTATCAATGGTCATCCAAGACCCTTCTTCAAGCGGCCCCTCCTCAAAATGAAAATGGGCCTTTTCCAGAAGTGGTTCCCCAACTTGTGCAGCACTCTCCCCAGGGAGACTCGCCTGACACTAGTTACGTATCTTTTGGTCCCAGGCAAAAACATTCTTTTTTTTAGCCATCTTTGGCCTTTCTGCATGGGTGGGATGTTTCGATGTAGTTTGTTTGCTTTTTAAAAAACAGAAGTGTCTTTCATAATTTATTTTTAATGCTGCTTTTAATGTATTTGTACATTTTCTTTTTCCCTTAAAATATTGTAAGTCGCTTGAGTACATACCATCCCGTCCAGGTATGGTGGTCCTCAGCCTCTCTCTGGGGCCTGGAGAACCTGCTGAATACAGAGGGGGCAAGACGTTACATTACCTGGAGCTGCTACAAGCAAGGCTATGTTAAGAGTGTAACACATGTACACCCAACACAGTGTCCCTGGTCTTCCTTCTTTCAGGATCTTTGGAATGCTATGTACAAGGCCTGACGTAAGTAAGAAGAAACCGCCCTGTTCCTTTATCCTCAGATCATACACTGCTCTCTGCTCAGTAAATGGTTATCAGGATTGCTTTTCTCTCATTCTCCATCTGTGGTATTTAAGTGACCCTGCTACCAGCTGCAAGGAGACACAAGGATTTTAAACCCTAGGGAAAGTGCTCTTGTGCTTGGGTCTTCCTCGAGGGTTTCCCATTACAGGCATCTGGTTGGCCACTGTGAGAACAGGACTAGATGGGTCATTGGCCTGATTCAGCAGAGCTCTTCTTAGGGGACACGGGTGGCACTGTGGTCTAAAGCACTGAGCCTCTTGGGCTTGCCAATTGGAAGGTTGGCAGTTTGAATCCCCACGACAGGGTGAGCTCCCGTTGCTCTCTCCCAGCTCCTGCCAACCTAGCAGTTCGAAAGCACGCCAGTGCAAGTAGATAAATAGGTACCCCTGTGGCAGGAAGATAAATAGTGTTTCCATGCTCTCTGGCTTCCATCACGGTGTTCCGTTGCGTCAGAAGTGGTTTAGTCATGACCCGGAAAGCTGTCAGTGGACAAATGCCTCAACCTAAAAGCGAGATGAGCACTGCAACCCCATAGTTGCCTTTGACTGGACTTCACCGTCCTGGGGTCCTTTACCCTTTTTTTACCTCTTAGGGCTGCAACGCCACAAGTTACAACTGCGCTAGAACAAGGACCCCTTTGCCACACAACCGTCTTGAAGCGACTCTGAGGTCCCCCATCATGTTTATCTTCCCGCCGCAGCGGTACCTATTTATCTACTTGCACTGGCGTGCTTTCGAACTGCTAGGTTGCCAGGAGCTGGGACAGAGCAACGGGAGCTCACCCCGTCATGGGGATTCAAACCGCCAACCTTCCGATCGGCAAGCCCAAGAGGCTCAGTGGTTTAGACCACAGCGCCACCCGTGTCCCCTAAGAAGAGCTCTGCTGAATCAGGCCAATGACCCATCTCTGAGGCACCGAAAACCCTGCATAAGTCAATGTGGGACATTCTCTGCAGAACCGCAACCGCAACCGCAACCAAGGAACAACAGCAGTTGCTCACGGCGCATCATGTTCAGGGTTCAGCACACCTTTCCTGTTGGGTGTAATGAATGACAAAGCGACGAGGGAAGCCCTTGCACGTCCCTGCCAGGAAAGAACATCTCGCCATCCTTTCTGCCCATTGTCCTTTTGCAACTTGTGCAAAGAGGGGAGAGAAATATTCCATCATTAATTATTCCCGTCTTCTCCTCCCCTCTCTTCGCCCAAACCAGAAACACATGTTCTGTTAGAGCGAGGGAAGGACCACTAAACCTTTCCAGCTGCAGAGAGCTCCAGCCAAAGCCAGGAAGCTTCGCCAGGCCCCAGGACAGTCCCCGTCAGCCAGCTGCTTTCAATTTTGGCCCCCTCGCCTGGTGTGCTTCTCACCAGCCCCGATGCAATGCTGGCAGCGGACTTGGGAGGAAGGAGATGGTGGGTGGTAGGTAGGAGGAGAGGGAAGAGAAGAGGCTGGAGCTGATAATCAGAAGCAAAACTCCATTGTCCCTGCTTCAATCCTGGAGAAGGCAGGGCCAGTCTTAGGATGCTGCTACCCAGTTTGTGAAAACTTCAGCCAGTTTTGCCAGCCAGCCCAAACCGAATTGCTGCAGGTCAGTTACGATTCCACAGAAAATCCACGCAGAATTCTGCTTTCAAAGAATCTCAGCTTCCCCCACGCTGTCCTAATTTAAAAAGTACTGTTTTGGGGGGACAGGGGACAGGCTGGTGTGGAGGACTCCCTGGTCCTGAATGGGGTAACTGTGCCCCTGAAGGACCAGGTGCGCAGTCTGGGAGTCATTTTGGACTCAAAGCTGTCCATGGAGGCGCAGGTCAATTCTGTATCCAGGGCAGCTGTCTACCAGCTCCACCTGGTACGCAGGCTGAGACCCTACCAGCCCGCAGACTGTCTCACCAGAGTGGTGCATGCTCTAGTTATCTCCCGCTTGGACTACTGCAATGTGCTCTGCGTGGGGCTACCTTTGAAGGTGACTAACTACAACTAATCCAGAATGTGGCAGCTAGACTGGTGACTGGAGGCGGCCGCCGAGACCAAATAACACTGGTCTTGAGAGACCTACATTGGCTCCCAGTACGTTTCCGAGCACAATTCAAAGTGTTGGTGTTGACCTTTAAAGCCCTAAACAGCCTCGGCCCAGTATACCTGAAGGAGCGTCTCCACCCCCATCGTTCTGCCCGGACACTGAGGTCCAGTGCCGAGGGCCTTCTGGCAGTTCCCTCCCTGCAAGAAGCAAGGTTACAGGGAACCAGGCAGAGGGCCTTCTCAGTAGTGGCGCCCGCCCTGTGGAACGCCCTCCCATCAGATGTCAAAGAGATAAACAACTACCTGACATTCAGAAGACATCTTAAGGCAGCCCTGTTCAGGGAAGTTTTTAATGTATGACATATTAGTGTATTTTTGGTCTTTGTGGAAGCCGCCCAGAGTGGCTGGGGAAACCCAGCCAGATGGGCGGGGTACAAATAATAAATTATTATTATTATTAAAATAAAAATAAAAATCTAATGCATCGTTTAGTGGTTAAGAGTGTCAGCCTAGAATCCAGGAGACCAGGGTTGAAAACCCCACTCGGCTATGAAGCTCACACTAGGGTGACCTTGGGGGTCAGCCCCTGCCTCTCAACCCAACCTACCTCACAGGGTTGTTGTGGGGATTAATTGAGAGGACAGAGGGGAGAACTGTGCACACCATTTTGAGCTCCCCGGAGGAAAAGGTGGAATATGAATGCAATAAATAAAATAACATGACAGCAAAAAATGGGAATTTATTTAAAGATAACTATGAAAAATGTTGGGCTGAAGTGAAAAAAGATTTAGAAATTTGGTCAAATTTGAAGCTTTCACTGCTGGGCCGTATTGCTGCGGTAAAAATGAATGTATTGCCTAGAATGTTGTTTTTGTTTCAAACATTGCAAATTGTGGACAAAATGGACTGTTTCAAGAGGTGGCAGAGAGATATTTCTAGATTTGTCTGGCAGGGCAAGAAGCCCAGAATAAAATTTAAAATACTAACAAATGCAAAGGAAAGAGGTGGATTTGCCCTGCCAGACCTTAAACTTTATTATGAATCAGCAGCCTTTTGCTGGTTGGAAAGAATGGCTGCTTCTTGAAAACACTGACATTTTGGATCTAGAAGGTTTTAACAATGTATTTGGATGGCATGCATATCTGTGGTATGATAAGGTCAAAGCACATAAAGCATTTAAAAATCATATTGTCAGAAAAGCTTTGTTTAATGTTTGGATAAGATATAAGGACTTATTGGAAAATAAAACCCCAAGGTGGCTGTCACCGATGGAAGCGAAAGCCTTGAAAAAGCTCAATATGGAGGTCAAATGGCCGAAATATTGGGAAATTTTAGAACAAGATGAAGATAGATTGAAACTGCAGAGTTTTGAAAAACTAAAAAATAAAGTGCGAGACTGGCTTCATTATTATCAGATAATGGAGGCATACAATTTGGACAAGAAAATTGGCTTCCAGGTGGAAAAATCAAAATTAGAAACAGAACTGTTAGAACCCAAAACTAAGAATTTGTCAAGAATGTATAACTTGCTGCTGAAATGGAATACTCAGGATGAAACGGTGAAATCTGCTATGATTAAATGGGCACAAGATGTTGGACATAATATTATGTTTGCTGACTGGGAACAGTTATGGACCACAGGTATGAAGTTTACGGCATGTAATGCCCTAAGAGAGAATATTATGAAAATGATATACAGGTGGTACATAACCCCAGTCAAGCTTGCAAAAATCTACCATTTGCCCGATAATAAATGTTGGAAATGTAAAGAAACTGAAGGTACATTCTTTCACCTTTGGTGGACGTGCCCAAGGATTAAGATTTTCTGGGAGATGATTTATAATGAATTAAAAAAGGTATTTAAATATACCTTCTTGAAGAAACCAGAGGCCTTTCTCCTGGGCATAGTCGACCAATCGGTGTTAAAGAAGGACAGAACTTTCTTTATGTACGCTACAATAGCAGCAAGAATACTTATCGCAAAGTATTGGAAGACACAAGAGCTACCCACACTGGAGGAATGGCAGATGAAAATGATGGACTATATGGAATTGGCGGAAATGACTGGCAGAATCCGTGACCAGGGAGAAGAGTCGGTGGAAGAAGATTGGAAGAAATTTAAAGATTATTTACAGAAACATTGCAAAATCAATGAATGTTAGAGTGATGTTGGATTGAAGTTAAGTCGCTTCTAGCTGAACAGGTTTTAAAGCTATAAATATATTAAGATTAAGGATTAGGACCAAAAAGACTAAGAGAAATGGAAAAATTGGTTCAAATAGATAAAAATTTAATGTTATAATATATTAAGATCTAGGACTGGAATTAAAAAGGAGGGAAAGAAATTGCTGGGCTTACAAACTGAATTGGAATACAAAAGAGGGAGGTATGAGGAAGTCCAGGAAACAAGTAAATTTAAAAGAGGTTATGAAAGGACGGAACTATTTTTAACTGTTTTTTCTTTTTTTCTTTCTTCTTTTTTCACTTTTTTCTATTTTGTACTTTGTATTTTGCATGGTGTATTTTTTTTTGTTTTTGTTAAAATTTTCTTGTTTATTAGTGTGATTTTATTCTTTCTGAAACTTTAATAAATATTAATAAAAATAAAATAAAATAAAATAAATAACACGTGCTTGAAAAGGCAACATGTGACCCCTTTGCTAAAAGCCAATGCATGGTGTCTTTGCAGAGGCAAAGTAGACTCCAGACTTTGGTCACCTCCAGACTGTCAAGTAATTTGCAGGAGTGATGGAAGTGCATCCCAGAAATTTTGGTGTGCGTTATTGAAGTGCTTCATCCCCCTGGCAGTGCTGGAGTCAAAATGGGCAGCCTCCCCTTTTTCTCTCCTCTTTTCTGCCACACCCCTTTGTCTCCTTCTCTCTCTTCCCACTCCCTTTTGTTATGTACTGAAGTTTTCACCCTGGGCCAGCAGGGGGATACTGTAGACAGTTTTCACTCAGGTCCACATATGCAAATAAGGGATTGAAAGTGATGTTCAGTGATTGGATAGTTACAGAAAATGGTTACTGTTGCGTTGTAGTGGAGCTCTATATAAGCAGGCTAGCTGAACCCTTCAGGTCAGTTCTGCTCTGGCCTGTGAATAAACAAGAGCTGTTTGAAGAATCGCTGTGTCGTCTGATATGATCACTCACAACTTAATACCTTTTCTCTCTCGTCTCTTCTCTTCTCCTGTATCCCTTTCCTGCCTGCTTCCTACACACATGAAATGAGGCCAAGCAGGCAATTGGGTTGCTCACCCCTCTTGAAAGAAAATGGTCATTTTCGGGCATTGTTAAATGTCAAGGACAGTTGCCTTGAACTAGTGAGGGCCTGTAGGCAAGGACCTGGCCTCAACTGATCCACTTCAGATCATTCAGGGAAGAAGAAGCAAAGGGTAAAAGGATACTTCCTCAGACTTTCCTCGAGTTTAGGCTCCGTGCACACATACACATCCTCTCCGAGCAAACTGGCTTCTTGCTCCATCTTGCTTTTATTTATTAAAACATTTGCTAACAGTGTGACTAACCACCATCAAAACAAGCCCAAAACTCAGGTCCCAGAAAAGGACAGACAAGGCAAACAAAGAAGCTGAGGCTTCTCGATGGCCACCCACACAAAATGCACACCTACACTGTCATCTGTTAGCACGTCCAGACAGCAGCGTCTTAACCTGGCGCCAAAATGGTACCTGATGGGACTGGTAGAGTGGAAAGAAGGGAGGCTAACAGCAGGGGGCGACGGAGATTATATCTATATTGGACTAGACCAGAGGGACGTGGGTGGCGCTGTGGGTTAAACCACAGAGCCTAGGACTTGCTGATCAGAAGGTCAGCGGTTCGAATCCCCATGACGAGGTGAGCTCCCATTGCTCGGTCCCAGCTCCTGCCAACCTAGCAGTTTGAAAGCACGTCAAAGTGCAAGTAGATAAATAGGTACCGCTCCGGCGGGAAGGTAAATGGCGTTTCCGTGCGCTGCCGTGGTTCGCCAGAAGCGGCTTAGTCATGCTGGTCACATGACCCAGAAGCTGTACGCCAGCTCCCTCGGCCAATAAAGAGATGAGTGCCGCAACCCCAGAGTCAGCCACGACTGGACCTAATGGTCAGGGGTCCCTTTACCTTTACAGGGCAACCACTGAGATTGAGCTGGAGGTACATCACAGATTGGCTGGACACAGAGGATGGGAGCAGAATGGGAAGAGGATCTGCCAGAAGCTAAAAAGGTTACAGGGTTTAGTGAGCTGGGAGAGTCTACGGCAGAGAGAAGTCCAGAATCAGAGGCAGATGTTGAAGCAGGAGGGCAGGGGAGCTAAGAGGCAGAGACAAATCAGGCTATTGTCTCCCCCTCCTGCTTTGACAATCCCCATTCCCCCTGGTCTCCCAGAACCAGAAGAGGTATGTTGAGGGAGGAGCAGAGACAAGCACGTTGGCATAGTCTCAGATTGCTTGGGAAGGACCTGGGGATGGAGGAGATTTAGGCAACTGTGGGAAGGCAGGGACCTTCAGCCTCCACAACTGCCTACCCAGAAGAGTTGCTGTGCTGATTAGGCTTCACTCCCTGGAGCAGGTCTTGTTTCGTCTAATGAAGAGTTTACTCCGTGTGATTTAGTGCTGGCTCATTCCCTGGCAGGGAGGAAGCCGCTAGGCAGGGCCACCCCCTGGACTGCTTGTATGTAAGAAGGCAGGCAGGTGAGAGCTAGCCGAGGCCAGACTGAGGTTCATGGGGCATTGCCCCATCAGCCCTAATGAGGAAGCTCCCACTCCTTGCCAGAGTCTCAAGGCATGAAGGAAGTGCGGGAGCTAACCAGGCAAGGAATTCACAGGCGGGGCCACCACTGAAAAGGCCTCGTCTCCTGTGCCCACCCTGCCACACCCCAGATGACCAACGAAGATCCACTGCCTCCCTCCCTGCTTACCTTTTGCACTTTCATCCCCAGGGCTCCCCTGAGCAGCCAGAGAGCCCCACAGGGCCACAGAATCAGGAGAGTCGCCTCCCTTAGGAGGAAGTCGTCTGCCGGGCACCAGAGAGTCCACAGATTCAGCCGCAGAGAGAGTCGCTACCTGAAGACAAGGGGGAACATCTCCAGCAAAGCAGGGAAAAGGTCTTCACCCCTGACACATGCACAGGCAGGGAGGCACAGGTCCAGAAGTGGCGTGATTGTGGTTGGGGCAAGGAGAGGGGGACCGCTGGGTGGTTGAGTATGTGAGGGGTGTGTGTTCAGATCAGTATGCTAGCTATATTGGCTACCATATGTGATCAGGGAGGCAAGAAGGCATCCTTTTCATTCCACTCTGTGTCCCCCACATCCAGAGCTGTCTCCCTTCTGATGCTGTTGGTCTTTGATGAAATTGCATAACTTTTTTTTTTTTTTTACGTTTACATGCCACTTGATTGAACTAAGACCTCTCAGCGGTTTACAAGAAATATTAAAATTATCAATTAAAAAACAGTTAAAAACAAGGAAAAGCATCTGGAAAAAATAATTAACGGCAAACAACATTAACATTCACATGTCTGGAGAGGCTTGCCTAGACAAAAACAAAATAAGCAGGCACCAGGAGAAAAAAATACAATGAAGGCGCCTGTCTGATATCAATAGGAAGGGAGTTCCAAACCTGCCACACTGAAATAATGACAAGGCTGGAGAGGTGGAGGAGAGGTATTAGATAAAGCAGCCCAGCTGAGACACCCCCCCAACCCCACTGCCCCTTCAAGAGTATATAAAATTATATTGAAAGAGACTGACCTTTGCTTCTAAGAAGTTGACCCTCTCCAGCAGCTCTGAGAGTTTGCTGCAGTTTAAACAACCTGGGGAATCAGGTGAGACAGGGAGAAGTTAAAATGGGCAGCTAACATTTATTTATTTATTGGCCTGGAGGCCACATTCGCCCTTGGTTAATTCTCTAAGGACCACATGCCATCAGTGGGTGTGGCCACCCCACTCTCACACACCCCTGCATCTCCAGGTAAGACCGGCAAACATCCTCTCTCTGAAACCCTGGAAAGCCACTGCCAGTCAGTGCAGGCAATGATAAGGCCCAAGATTACCAGATTTTTTTCAATGAATCCAGGGACACTTTCATTATTAAATAAATAAATACATGTTCGGGACCTTGATGCTGCAGCAATGGTGGTGGCAGAGGGTGGCAGAGGTGGCAAGCCGCTGCCTTGACCTCAACCACCACGTTTCCCCTTCCTCCGAGGCTTCTATCTCCTTTCTCCATGAGCCTGGGCAGTCCCTGGGTTGTTGGTTCTTCGGTGGTGGGGAAGCGGAGCGCGGTGGGTCAGGCATGGAAGGTGGAGAAGGAGGGCCGAGAGCGGCAGCGGCGAGGCTCAGGCAGCCTGATGCCTCCCTTCCCATTGGAGCAGCCCCAATCCCATTCCTACTTGCTTGCAAGCAGGAGGGGGCGGTGATCCCTCAGCTGGGAAGGTATGCTTCCCATTGCCTAACTGAGAGATCCCCACCCCACTCCTGCTTGCACGCAAGTAGGAGTTAGGAGGCTACTCCAATAGGCAGCATGAAGCCTCCCTTCACAGCTTAGTTGAAGGTCAGGGAAGGTGGAGGCAGCCCGGAAGCTGCACCATTATCATATGGGGACTTCTGAGCAGCTCCTGAAGCCAGCCAGAGTCAACTGCTCCGGGCTGCTGAGACTGCTGCTGCTGCATTTCCAGGGGACATTAGATGAAATCCAGGGACATTCCGGGGATGGAATTTGTCCGGGGACTTATTCAAAAATCCGGGGACTGTCCCCAGGAAACGGGGACGTCTGCTAACCCTATGCTAAGCTAGATAGACCAATGGTCTGACTGGGTAAAAGGCAGCTTCCTATGCTCCTGTTTAATCCAACCCTTTATTCAGCAGAAGGAATCTTAACTTGTTTTTAAGGGGAAGGGCCATAGCACAGGTATTTTGCATCCAGAAAGTCTTGGACTCATTCCCCAAAGACATCTCCAGCTAGACATGGGAGAGACCCCTTCCTGAAACCCTGGAAAGCCGCTGCCGGTCAGTGTAGGGCAACACTGAGCTTGATGGACCAATGGGTCTGCTGCCTATGTTCCAGAAGGTACAGGAACTGGGTTTGTAAGCAGAAGGTCCCAAGTTCAACTCCAGCATCTCCAGATAGGGCTGGGAGGCACCGGTGGGTGTTGTAGCACTTTGTGCTATATCCCCTATACCCAATAGGTCCCTGCAGAAAATTTCTCCTGCTGGTTCCAAAGATCTCAGAAGCCTGACGCACAGTATCTCTGACCAGGGCTTGTAAGTGTGGCTGCTTCTGTAGCCTCCCTGTTGAGATATGACCGGCACCAACTGCCTGTGCTTTCCAGAAACAACTGAAGACGTTTTGTTTCTGTTTTTATTATGTATTATTTGTGGTTTTTTATGTTGTGATTTTATGTTGTGAACAGCCCTGAGGTCTATGGGTATAGCACAGTATACAATTTATTATTACTACTATTATTATTACCATTATTGTTGTTGTTATTATTATTATTACAGTCGTACCTTGGAAGTCAAACGGAATCCGTTCCGGAAGTCTGACTTCCAAAATGTTCGGAAACCAAGGCGTGGCTTCCGATTGACTGCAGGAAGCTCCTGCAGCCAATCAGAAACCACGGATGTCGTGTCGGAAGTTCAGGTTCCAAAGAACGTTCACAAACCAGAACATTCACTTCCGGGTTTGTGGCGTTCAGGAGCCAAAACATTTGAGTCGCAAGGCATTCGACTTCCGGGGTACGACTGTATTAATGCTTTCCCAGCTGGATAAATGGGTCTTTGTGCCGAGTGTCTATTTTGTATTGTTTAAGTTTTGCCTTAAATATAGAGGCTGTTCTTTTGTGCTTTCTGCTGAATCCTGCTGTTTCTTTCACACGTTGCCTTGAGGCCATTGTGTGGAAGACGATTATTAACAATTATTGATGATGATGTCTGAGTGGGTACCAGGTTGGGGAAGGCAAATTCACACTACTGCGAAAGCAGTGCCAGAGGGACAACTAGGAATTTCTCAGCCTGCAAAGGGCTGCCAGCACTCTGCCAAGACAGCTCAGCCAATTCCCACACAGAGCAGATTAGTGCCTTGCATTGTAGAACCAATTCTATTAGCTCCCTGGTGAGGTGCCACAGCCATGACAAATATCCCTGCTGTCCTTATTGGAGGGGAGTGGAAAGAGAAGGATTTTTCACTCATCGCTGATATCCAACTAATGGGAATCAGAACTGCGCACACACAGAGAGACACACACAGAGGCTGCTTTGAAGCATGACTTTGGAACAAACAAGCAAATAAGAGTTGAAAGCCATGAAAGAGATCTCAAATGCTCTATACCCAACACAGACCCAGTGCCGGCGTAATGGTTAGACTGTCGGACTAGCAGCTAGGAGGTAAAGGTAAAGGGTAAAGGGACCCCTGACTGTTAGGTCCAGTCGTGCACGACTCTGGGGTTGCGGCGCTTATATCGCTTTATTGGCTGAGGGAGCTGGCGTACAGCTTCCAGGTCATGTGGCCAGCATGACTAAGCCGCTTCTGGCGAACCAGAGCAGCGCACAGAAATGCCGTTTACCTTCCCGCTGGAGTGGTACCTATTTATCTACTTGCACTTTGACGTGCTTTTGAATTGCTAGGTTGGCAGGAGCAGGGACCGAGCAATGGGAGCTCACCCCGTCGCAGGGATTCAAACCGCCGACCTTCTGATCGGCAAGCCCTAGGCTCTGTGGTTTAACCCACAGCGCCACCCTGGTAGGAGCTGGGAGACCGGGGTTCAAATCACCCACTCGGCCATGAAGCTCACTGTGGGCTCTTAGGCCAGTCGCTGCCTCTCAGCCTAACCTCCTCGCAGGGTTGTTGTGGGGATTGAATAAGGGGAGAACGATGTACACCCCGCCTTCAGCTCAAGTCAAATGTGTGCTAGGATCTGCCATTTCTGCTGTCTGCCCAAAATGCCAAGAGCAAAGGGGAGGAAAGCAACGGTGCAGTTTGGGTAGGACAACATACACCAGCCCAAGGGCAAGGGCGCTCTGCTTAGAAACCCTCAGGGACGGTCTCCTGGGGGAAAAAGCTCTCAGCGGCTACTAGGCACAACGGCTATGCTGTGCCTCCATGGTAGGAGGTAGTGATGCTTCTGAATAAAGGTAAAGGGACCCCTAACCATTAGGTCCAGTCGTGGCCGACTCTGGGGTTGCGGCGCTCGCTTTATTGGCCAAGGAAGCCGGCGTACAGCTTCCGGGTCATGTGGCCAGCATGACTAAGCCGCTTCTGGCGAACCACACCAGCGCATGGAAACGCTGTTTACCTTCCCGCCGGAACGGTACCTATTGATCTACTTGCACTTTGACGTGCTTTCGAACTGCTAGGTTGGCAGGAGCTGGGACCGAGCAACGGGAGCTCACCCCGTCGCAGGGATTCGAACCGCCGACCTTCTGATCGGCAAGCCCTAGGCTCTGTGGTTTAACCCACAGCGCCACCCGCGTCCCGATGCTTCTGAATACCGGTTGCTAAAAGCCACAGGAGGGGAGAGGGTTGCTCTAGGGCTTGGGTGCTGCTTGATGGTTTCCCATTGAGGCGGCCACCACGAGCACAGGATGCTGAGCCATTGGCCTGACTCTGCAGGGCTCGTCTTAGGTCCTCAACCCTCACCAGAATAAGCTGCAGGCCGGGCTGGCAGTCTGCGCAAAGGGGCAGCCCCATGAGCAGCGTCCTGAGGATCCTGGTAGCCAGCAGTCTCTGAAAAGGAAGAAAAAGATGGGGGAGAATTGTTTAGAATTGAGAGCCAGTGTGGTGTAGTGGTTAAGAGCAGTAGACTCGTAATCTGGTGAACCGGGTTCGCATCTCCGCTCCTCTACATGCAGCTGCTGGGTGACCTTGGGCCAGTCACACTTCTCTGAAGTCTCTCAGCCTCACTCACCTCACAGAGTGTTTGTTGTGGGGGAGGAAGGGAAAGGAGAATGTTAGCCACTTTGAGACTCCTTTGGGTAGTGATAAAGCGGGATATCAAATCCAAACTCTTCTCTTCTTTAGGCTTGTGGCAGGGAACCTATTTCAGCCCGAGGGCAGATCGGAGCTCACCCAAACTTAAGCACACTTAAAAAATACACACACCATGTCGTTGAGTCGTTTGACCCTAAGCTAGGCACTGTTCCTCCCACATTCCCACCATGCATTTAAACAATTGTGGCTTTTGCCAAAGAAACCCGGGAGCTGTTGTTAAGGGCGGTGGGAATAGTCTGGAGGCCACAAGTTCCTCCCCCAGAGCTATAGTTCCCAGATCTCTGCTTAACCATTCTGGGAATTGTAGTTCTGTGCATAGCTGTCAACATTTCTCTTTTTTTATGGGAAATTCCCTTATTCCGTATAGGATTCCTCGCAAGAAAAGGGAAAAGTTGACATCTATGGTTCTGTTAGAGGAGCAGGAGTCTCCGATCAACTCTCAGCACCCTTAACATGCTACAGTTCCCAGAATCCTTTGAGGGAAGCCACAGCTGTTTAAGGAGGTATCCTGGTGCTTTAAATATCGTGTGGGCAGAATTATAGGAACAGAACTACCCAAACTGAATAGAAATTAATTCATGTATGTAACTACGGCGGCAAGAATGTTACTTGCCCAAAAATGGAAAGAAGAAGAAGTCCAAGCGAACAGATACAAAAAACTTGCAGAATATGCTGAAATGGCAAAACTTACTGGAAAAATAAGAAATCAAGATAGCAAACTTTTTATAAAAGCATGGAAATGGTTTATTAAATATTTACCAAAAAAACAAACAAACTGTAAACAGATAAGAACATTGGCAGGATTATTTTAATAACCTGCAGTTTTATAAGAGGATATATATTAAAACAGATGAATAAATAAGTTAAGTTAATTTGGAATATGCAGAAAATATATACAAAAATTAATTTAAGGAAGTGCAGAAAGGGGGGGAACAAGTCGCACTTTGAAATGTTAAAACGATGGTTAAATTATTGAAAAGTATAAAATTGAAAATCATAAACAAAAATGAAACATAAGTAAATAAATAAATACAGTGTGGATGTAGCCATAGGGCTGTCGCATGCCACTATCAGAGACAGTTTACAGCGCAATCCTAACCACAGTTGCTCAGAAGTAAGCCCTGTTGGATTCAGTGGGGCTTATTCTGGGGAAGGTGGGGTTAGGGCAGCAGCTGTATGGCTCTCTGAATGAGGTTCCTGTTGGCATGGGGAGTCACTGAGGAAATCCGCTGTCTGAATCACTTGGAACTGCAGTTGGCTTCCTCCAGATGGAGGTCTGTCTCCTACACGGGTCTGGAGGGCTGGCTTCCCATGCTGGGATGGGGTGGGAAAGGGACAAGATTGCCCAAGACTGCCGTCTGGTTCATCTCTCTTGAGCCAAGCTTGTATCCCCAACTCTGCTAGGTAACAAAGCCTTTTTGCCGTTTGAGATCCCCAGGAGGAAAAGAATTCCTAGGGTGGTTTCCGTGGAGTTAGCCCGGCCAGGGAATTTGGAAATTCCCCCAAACCCTGATCACACAGTGGAAGGTAAAAGGTAAAGGACTCCTGGACGGTTAAGTCCAGTCAAAGGCAACTATGGGGTGATCATCTCGCTTTCAGGCCGAGGGAGCCGGCGTTTGTCCACAGACAGCTTTCCAGGTCATGTGGCCAGCATGACTAAACCGCTTCTGGTGCAATGGGACACCATGATGGAAACCATAGCGCAAGAAATGCCGTTTACCTTCCCGCAGCAGTGGTACCTCTTTATCTACTTGCACTGGCGTGCTTTCAAACTGCTAGGCAGGCAGGAGGTGGGGCAGAACAACGGGAGCTCACCCCGTCGCAGGGATTCGAACTGCCAAACTTTTGATTGGCAAGCCCGATGGGTGTAGTGGTTTAGACCACAGCGCCACCCGCCACAGTAGAAGGGCTGTTGCTTAGGGGCAGAGCTGCTGCCAATCAGTGCAGATAGCACTGAACGACATTGGCCAATGGAGACAGGTTGTAACTCTGTGGTAGAGCATCTGCTTTGCAGGCAGAAGGTCTCCACTTGAATCGCAGGTACCTCCAGGTATCACTGGCAATGTCCCTGGAGAGCTACTGCCAGTCAGTGTAGACAGCACTGATGGGCCCATAGTCTGATTTGGTACAAGGCTGCTTCTTATGTTCCTATTTAATGCAACCCTTTATTTACAATGCTGAGGACTAGAAACTTAACCTTTTTTAAGGGGAAGGGCCGTAGCTCAGAGGAAGAGCACCTGCTTTGCATGCCTCGAGAAGAGCCATAGTTGGAAATGAAGCATCAGATCAGATGGGTCTTGGGAGTCAAGTCACCAGAGATCTTTTCATTCTGTCCATAGCTACTATTTTTTTTAAATAAAAATAAACACTTGTTGGTCGCTTAATACAAAAGTGTGGCGGCCGCCTCTAAGCAACTTATGGAATAATTAAGAGCTAAAGGCATAGCATAAAGGAAAAAGCAGGACCTAAGCATACTGCCTCCAACAGTGGATAGTATGGAACACATCAATAAGGGTTAGTAGCTGTGGACAGCCTTATTCTATAGTTTTTTTTATTGTACAGGCAACCGACCCCCTGTTTACGCACCTTCAATATCTGCATAAAGATGTCACTGAAATGCCACCAAAAGGGCGTAACAGGGGTTTTGAAGGGTTTTTCAATGGGTTTCAATTATATGTAATTTCACATAACCGCTGCATAAATGGGGGGCCACCTGTAATGGAAGCCGAATGGTGGAAGGGCACCGGTGGCAGGAGGCCTCATTAGGGAAAGCACGCCTCAGTTTAAGAATGGCTTTGGTTTAAGAACGGACTTCCAGAACGGATTAAGTTTGTAAACCAAGGTACCACTGTGTGTGTGTGTGCTGGCTAGTTTTAATTCTACTAATGTTTAACTGATTTTTAATGACACCCCCCCGCCCATTTTTAGCTGTTCTTATTTTATCTGTAAACCGCCTTGAGTCCCTGTCAGGGAAAAAGGCAGGGTGGGGATGAACATAACAATAGTAATTATCCTTCACAAATTTGTCTAATCTTCTGTTAAAGCCATTCACGTTTGTTGTTCTTTACTGCCTCTTGTGGGTGAGAATGGATCCCACAGTAGTTGAACCGCTAGTTTGATTATCTGCTGGTAGATAGGAGAAGCTTTCTTCAGCCTCCCAGTACAGTACTTATTTGGTGGCACGCTGAGACAAGGTCGTCTCCACAAGGCTGTCACATCTGGGTGGCCAAATGGATGTCATCAGCCTTGTCCCCACCCACTCACCCCATCCTGATTTCAAGTCACACCAGGTCAGAGCATCATCAGCTGTCCCAACCAATAAGGGAACACGCTGATCTCTCGATGGCTCATTCTGAGACCACCCTGAGGACCACGATCTCCCCTTCCCCCCCCCCTTTCCCCTTAATCTGAACCGGAATGCATTTGGCAATGTAAATATTTGCTTTGAAAGGAGGGGAATGGAAGAGAAAGGAGGGCAGGTGTTTGTGCAGATCACAGGCATGAAGTGATGCAGCTGGCAAGATAGAAAAAGGAGGCAGTGAGAAATCTCTAGGCTCCTAGGGGTGGGGGTGGGGATTACTGGGGGGGGCACTAAGAGGTAAGGGGTGACAGGGCGTAAATGACCATCAGACCAGTTTTTTAAACTGGTATCACTGGATCAAGTTCATCAATTAAACTAAATATGTCAGGAGTGCTCTGATGGTGTTTCCTGCTTGGCAGGGGGTTGGACTCGATGGCCCTTGTGGTCTCTTCCAACTCTATGATTCTATGATTCTATGATTCTGTGATTAAATACAGTGGAACCTCGGTTTTCGAACGTAATCTGTTCCGGAGGTCCGTCTGACTTCCGAAACGTTCAAAAACTGAAAATCAAGGGGCTGTAGTCAAAATGAATGGTGAAAATGGAAAAACGCGCTGTGGAAGCCATTCGACTTCCAAGGTGCGTTCGAAAACGGAAGCATTCACTTTCAGGTTTTCAGCGTTCAGCTTCCGAAACGTTTGGCAGCTGAGACGTTCTAAAACCGAGGTTGTGCTGCAGTTTCAATTGGATTTGGGTTAAAATGTTCAACTAATTGTTACTGTTTTAAATTTGATTCTGCAATTATCTTCCTTAGTGGGTCGTGCAAACTGCTATTCTGAATAATGCTTTTTGTAGGGTAAGGGGCACTGGGGATGAGTTTATGGGGGAAATTTTAGGAGCCACTAGATGTTCCAATGGGGTTCCCCTAAGCAGGACCTAAGCACTACAGCCAGTTTCCCCACTTGTGATTTGCAGCAACTGGTATTCAAAAGCATTACTGCCTCTGACCGAGAGGCAGAGTACAGCCATTACATAGCCTTATCTTCCTCATAGCCTTATCTTCCGCCATAAATTTGTCTAATCCTCTTTTAAAGCCTCCCAAGTTGGCGACCATCACTAGCCCTCGTGGGAGTGAGTTCTATCATCATAATTATATGCTGCATGAAGAAATTCTTCCTTTTGTCTGTCTTCAATTTTCCAATATTCAGCTCCCTTGAATGCTGCTTTCCTAGTATTTTAAGTGGGGGGCTTTTTCTGTCTGCTTACTCCAAGCCATGCACTATTTAAAATATCACTATTTTGTCCCTCCCTTACCTCTCTTTCCCCCCTAAACTGAAAAGGAAGTTTAGTTCCTGGATAGATAAGCTACAATTAACTGGTAGCTCTCCCTTCTAATTATTTGTTTACACATTTGTTTGGCTGATAAATCTGCATCCTGTTTTTCTACTAGACTCCTCCAAGTAGCTCCCAAGCTAAATGCAAGGAATATACGAAAGGTCACCCTTTCCTTGCATGACTCCCTCTCACTATCAGCCCTGTTCTCATTTCACACTCAAGTTTCCAGACCTCATGATCACAGAGGCTAGCTGCCAAGGAATCAATGCAGGGACAAGATAACCAGGGAGAAGACTTGCCAGGACCAGGTAAGAGTTACGTGTCGTGGCGTTAAAGCTGTTTGTTGGGAGCGTGGTGATTTCTAACCTGCTTTTGGAGAGGGGGTGCCAAATTGTAATAATAAGGAGTGGGGAGAAATGTGGCATGCTTTATTGCAGGGGGGGTCCAAATGTGGCCCCCAAGTCTCTCATTCAGGCCCTCAGGACCTTACCCATACCATCCCCCTCTCTTGTCACACTTTTCTCCCCAGACCACACCTCTCACTAGCACTGCCTCAGTGCTTTGGCCTAGCTGGAAAGTGTCCTTAAACTCCAAAGTCTCTTGCTTGACTGGCAAGAAGGTAAAAAGGTGGAATAAGCCTCACATAAGCAGCTCTGCTAACATTTGTCTCTGGCCCTACACACCACTGACATGTGGCCCTTGGGAGGTTGACCAGAAAGGAACACAGCCCCTCAGGCTGAAAGAGTTTCCACACTTGTACTTTATGGGAAATCACTGAAACAACAGAATCAAAGAATTCAAGACTTGGAAGGTAACCCCAAGAGTCATCTGGCTTAGCCTATGCAATCGCAGCTAAAGAAATCCCTGACAGATGGCCTTCTGGCCTCCATTTAGAAACCTCCAACAAAGGAGAGCCCATCAGCTTCCAAGGTTGTCCATTCCATCTCCTCAGAGTATTGCAAAAGAACAATGTCAATCAACATTTGATGATCTTCTTCTACCGGTCCACAACAGAAAGTGTCCTTTCATACTGCATCATAGTGTGGTACGCTGGTTTGACATCAACTGATAGGAAGTGCCTACAGAGGGTGGTGAATACAGGACAATATATTATGGGCTGTCCTGTGAATCCGCTGGATTAAATAGCAGAAGAACGTTGCCTCAGGAGAGTGAGGAAAATTCTCAGGGATGATTCACACCTTGGCTGGCACTTTCTTGATCTCCTGCCCTCGGGCAGAAGATATAGAAGTATGATTAGTCGCACCAACAGGGTAAAGAACAGCTTCTGTCTGTGGGCTGTTAGGCTGCTGAATGAAAAGATAACAACAGGGCAACTGACTTTCAGGTTTGGTGGGTGTACGTCAGTAAACGAGGGGAATTAAGACTAAGAGAGCTGAGTGGGGGGTGCTTGTGTAATCTCACTGTATACAAGTTGTACAAGTGACAATAAAGTATTTCAATTTCCACTGTCAAACAGCTCTCACAATCAGAAAGTTCTTCCTAATGTTTAGCCAGGATCAACTTTCTTGTCATTTGAACCCATTGCTTCAGGCCCTAGCCTCCAGAGCAGCAGAAAAGAAGCTTGCTCCATCTTCCATGTGACAGCCCTTCAGATATTTGAAGATGACCTCTCAGCGATATCCGCATCTGCCAGCTGTTACTTCCTGCGTAAGTTGAATTGAGCTGCCTCTTCCCTTCGTCCCCGGAATGCTTTATTAAAATGTGTGCGGCTTTCGCCATGAAATGGGCTGAGATGACCACAGCAAGCAAAGGAAATGAGGTGGGCCAACGGGATCTCGAGGAGGGCGGCCATGCTGCTGACCCAGCAAGGGACACTCAACAAACAGGAAGGGCGAATGATTTCCCATGGAGCCTGTCAGTTGGTTCAGATGAAAGGATGCCGTCACAGAAAGACAAGCGACACGCCTAGGAAAACAGATCGCTGATCAAGCAGGCAGGGCCTGTCAAAAGAGGAAGAGGAGGGGTCCCTGCACCTCTTACCTAAAACGCACTCAATTACCTCCGTCACTGGAGTACAGGAACAGAGTGCCTTCTACCGAGTCAGAACCATTGGTCCATTTAGATCAGTCTTGTTTACACCATACTCTCCAAGTGTCCCTATTTTCCAGGGGCAGTCCCGGAATTACAGAAGCCGTCCTGCTTTCGATTCCTCTTTTCCTTTTTTCCTCCGCGTCTCAGAGAACAATTAAAAGTTGCAACAGAGGAAAAGATTGCCTGTCATCGCCTGCAGCCATTAATATCCTTTTCCTCCATGAATTTGTCTAATCCTCTTTTAAAGGCATCCAGGTTGGTGGGCGTCACTGCCTCCTGTGGCAGAGAGTTCCAAAGTTTAAGGATGTGCTGTGTGAATAAAAGCTTCCTTTTCTCTGTGCCGTTACTGAGTCTTCGACTCAGCCAGTATAGCTCATCTGACTCGGCAACCCACCTCCAAACACAAACAAGACAGCTCCTCAGATAGCTTAGTCCAGGCATGTCCGAAGTCCGTTTCGGGGACATAATCCGGTCTGCCAGTCGTTCTAATCTGGCCCCTGTGGCAATTTCAATCGTAAAAAAGGTCAACAACTTTGGTTGGCCCTCACTCATGTTCATTTCAACAAATCTGGCCCTCTTTGGAAAAAGTTTGGATACCCCTGGCTTAGTCGGTAGAACCTGAGATTCTCAACCTCAGAGTCATGGATTCGAATCCCACATCAGGCAAAAGATTCCTGGTTTGCCAGGGGGTTGGACTAAGATGACACTCATGGTCCCTTCCAACACTACGATTCTGTGAAACCACACTGCAACCAACCAGGCTCTGGACACCCTAATCTCTCACAATGCCAATAAAAATAAATAAATATAAAAATAAGGGACCTACTCACATGATGCTCACACAAAAAACCCCTGCACAAACACTATGCAATAGAACAAAAGATCACTATTCCCATTTCCCTCCCTCCGTTCCTCTCTCTTTCCCATCTCCCCCCCCAATGCACAATGTCTGTGACAATAGTGTCTCATACCAAATGTAAACTGACCCTACGAATCAAAAACGGAGATGCTATATGTACTTTTCCTTGTTTGTTTGTTTGTTTTTTAACACAAGAAAATCTTTAATAAGAGCTATTTTTAAAAATAAAGTAAAAAAACTCCCATCAGCTCCAGCCAACATAACCAATGGCCAAGGATGATGGCAACAGCTTGCAGGCACCAGGACCTGAACGAGGGGTATTTATTTTTTATTTATTTTTATTTATTCATTTTGTATACCACCTTTTACCCGCAGATCTCAGACCTATTTGGTTGTTTCTGCACCTTCGACCATTGCCGAACAGAGTTTAACCACACAGAAGTAGACCAAGGCTACAGAAACTGAAATTAACTTGGCCACAAATAAACTACAGTACGCTGAATTTCCCTGGAAGGTCAACTTTAAGAAGGGAATTGCGCTTAATAAATATTAAAATGACTAAAATAAAAGGGGATCCAAATAAAAATTATGTTGAAACCAAGAGCCAATTAAAAAACAAAATTATAATCCTGAATCTCCCTGGCAAAACAGAGCATTCTCTCTTAAGGGTTTTCTTCTCTTGCCAATGTACCTCCCTTCAAAGTTAGCTTATTTCTCTCCCTCTTCTCCCCTCTCCCCCCACCAGCCCCAGTCAGCCTCCCCTCCACCACAGACCTCTCTCATTTCCTACTATGCTCTGCCAAACTCAATACAGGGAGTATCCATCCACCGGGTAGGATTTCACAATAATGGGATTTCGCACCAGGTGTCCTTTTATTTTATGGATCACTTCTGACATCTTGGCTGCCTGCCACCTGTTATGATCTGAGCCTGCTGTTTGGAGTTACCGACACTGGTCCCCTTTTCCATGCGCAGTCAAGCATAGTTGGGTTTGGGGGGGCTACGCAACCCTTCACTAAGGCTCAGGAAGTGTGTGGAGTGGTTTAAGTGGAGCTTACCTCCCAGCCACAAACCACTCCTCCGTCTTGTCACCACAATCAGTGGCATTCACAGGGCCGGCTCTACCATGGGGCAGAGAGAGGAAGCTGCCTCTGGCCACTTTTGCTTGGGAGAGGCAATGCAAGACAGACCAGGTTGTCCTGTATGCCCAATGCAAGCCCCGCTGCCTCCAGGTGTGATGTCCTGCAGCCAGTTTTAAATAGAGCCACTGCCTCTTGTGGCAGAGAGTTCCACATTTTAACCATGCACTGTGTGGTGTGCTTCCTTTTTTAACTGTCCTGAATCTCCCAACATTCAACTTCATTTGATGTCCACGAGTTCAGGCATTATGACTGAGAAAGAAAAGCTTTTCTCTATCCACTTTCTCCATGCCGTGCATTATTTTGGACACCTCTACCTTGTTGTTGGGTGGCGCTGTGGGTTAAACCACAGAGCCTAGGACTTGCCGATCAGAAGGTCAGCGGTTCGAATCCCCGCGACGGGGTGAGCTCCCGTTGCTCAGTCCCTGCTCCTGCCAACCTAGCAGTTCAAAAACATGAAGTGCAAGTAGATAAATAGGTACCACTCTGGTGGGAAGGTAAACGGTGTTTCCGTGTGCTGCTCTGGTTCGCCAGAAGCGGCTTAGTCATGCTGGCCACATGACCTGGAAGTTGTACGCCGGCTCCCTCGGCCAATAAAGCGAGATGAGTGCTGCAACCCCAGAGTCGGCCACGACTGGACCTAATGGTCAGAGGTCCCTTTACCTTTACCTATCTTGTCGTCTTATATATCCCGTCTAGATAGCTGGGGTAGCTCAGTTGGTAGAGCATGAGACAAAAGACAGGGCATACAAAGAGAAAGGGCTGGGCGGGGAGGAGGAGAAAAGCAAGCTCAAGTCAACCAGTAGAGCATGAGACTCTCAGTCTCAGCATTGTGGGTTCGAGTCCCACGCTGGGCAAAAGATTCCTGCATTGCAGGGGGTTGGACTAAATGACCCTTGTGGTCTTTTTCAACTCTACTGTCTCCCTGTGTTTTTATAAATAGACAACTAAAGTTTCGCTTCCCAGCTTTCCCAGCACACTCTCCCAGCTTTTCGCTTGGGGATGTTCCATTTCTTCTTTGCCCATGTGCAGCCCTCCAGAGCATGCATAGGCAAACTAAGGCCCTGGGCAGGATACGGCCCAATCACCTTCTAAATCTGGCTCGTGGAAGGTCCGGGAATCTGCATGTTTTTACATGAGTAGAATGTATCCATTTATTTAAAATGCATCTCTGGGTTATTTGTGGGGCCTGCCTGGTGTTTTTACATGAGTAGAATGTGTGCTTTTATTTAAAATGCATCTCTGGGTTATTTGTGGGGAATAGGAATTCGTTCATTTCTCCCCCCCCCAAAAAAAATATATAGTCTGGCCCCCCACAAGGTCTGAGGGACAGTGGACCAGCCCCCTGCTGAAAAAGATTGCTGACCCCTGCTCCAGAGCATCTCAGCATCTGGGAGTCTTGGGTCCTTGCTCACATCCTTCCTTGCTTCAAAGACAAGGGGAGGGAAAGAGACAGGATGAATCGGTCAGCTCCGTTCTGGGTCATCCTGAGTCATTGCTTCCTTCAACCCAAACCAAGCGGACATTGAACTTCCCCCTGCCATTTGGGATTTGGAGCCCGGACACAAGATCAACACGAGTCGTCAACTAGGAACAAACCTCAGGCAGAACCACCTCACCCAGCTCCTGCCGCATCACAGAAACATTAATTTAAAAATAATTAAGCGATTTATAAATGCCTTCAATAAGCAAACACTCTGAGAGGATTCTAAATCGTACTGCTCTGTGGTAAAAGGTAAAAGGTAAAGGACCCCTGGATGGTAAAGTCCAGTCAAAGGCAACTATGAGGTTGCGGTGCTCATCTCGCTTTCAGGCCGAGGGAGCCAGCGTTTGTCCACAGACAGCTTTCTGGGTCATGTGGCCAGCAGGACTAAACCGCTTCTGGTGCAACGGAACACAGTGACGGAAGCCACAGTGCACGGAAATGCCGTTTACCTTCCTGTCACAGCAGTACCCATTTATCTACTTGCACTGGTCTGCTTTCGAACTGCTAGGCTGGCAGGAGCTGGGACAGAGCAATGGGAGCTCACCCCGTCGCGAGGATTTGAACTGCCAACCTTCTGATCAGCAAGCCCAAGAGGCTCAGTGGTTTAGCGCCACCCGTGTCCCACCTGCTCTGTGGTAGCATCTCACAGCACCCTCAGCAAACCACAGTTCCTGGGACACTGCTACTCAGCCTTCTGGAAGATTTGCAAGTTGCTGCAGGAGGACCATGAACAACATCAGAGGAGGGGTGTCTGTCTCTAGAACCAAGGCGAACCCGAATAGCAACCTTAGTATTTTGGCTATTGCCAGGAAGTTTGACATTGTTAATGCAATCTTACCATATTCATAGTATTGAAACGTTGTGGGTTTCTGTATGTTGCCGAACAGCACAGTCACATCTTATGTGCATTTAACTTGCGCGCTTTCAAGGCTGAAAATGCGCAAGCTAAATCCAAGCAAGGCAGAAGGCAAGTGGGACCTTTCTCACAAGCTCCTTGGGACGACTTCTTGCAAACCACAATCACAATTCCCTTTACTGAAGGAGGTGAGGACAGGTGACCCCACTTAGGCCCGAAGTCACCCCCCCCCGCCAACCAGGCCTCAAAACTGTCCAAAATTCATTTCTTGTCTTCTAAAAATCCACAGCTAAAGTTTTCCTCTGTTTTCTCCTGTTCATGCTCAGGAAATACATGGGGCAGGACTCCTGAAGAGGAGGAGAAAGGAGAGGGAACTGGAAGGGGAATATATGCTCTGTGCAAATGACTGTGAACTCGTGCTTGTTTTGTGAATCTATCACACTTGCTCCTTCTACCAGTTCATGGATGGTAGAAATAAAGCTTTTTCTCCGAAACTATTCCTTGAGTGTCTGTTGACTCCCTCTCCCTCTCCCGGGTGCAATACTTTTTTCCACCTGAGGGCAAAGCCTCATAAGGCTACATTTCAATCATGTGGCACATAAATTTTGCGAAATAAATAAGACAAATGAGTTACATCTCACGGGGCTGCACTAGACAGCGGTGCATAACTTTGCCCCACACATCCTTCACTTTCCCCTTCCCCACTGCTTCAGACCCTTGGAGGACCTGTTTATTTGCTTACGTACCTGTACAAAGCAGCAAGAATCACATAACGGTCATATCAATGCCAACAACCATAGATGTGATACTTGCATTGCAATAAGTTGCATGACCCTCGAGGTCCCTTTCAGCTCCACAACTGTATGAATCTATGAACCGGGCCTTATCTCTGCGCCCACCCCAGCCGGCTGCCTCGTACCTGCCTCGCAATTGGAACCCGTGTGTCCCGGACAGCATTTCCACTCCAGAGCCGTGACCGTCTTGTAGGCCTGCTTGTACGTTGGCCTGACGATCGTTCTATAGCTGAGGAGAGACAAAAAACATAATGGCTTCTTCAGGCAACAGGAGCTACAAGCGCAGAGAGCCTGGGGCTTCTGTGGGGGCCCAACTCCTAAAATAAAGTGTGGGGCTGTGGAGGGAAGAGCAGAGTGGGTGCTTGGAGGACCAAGGGCCAAGGAGACCAGGGTTCAAATCCCCTCGCAGCCATGATACATTCAATAGGTAAGCCTTGAGCCAGTTACTGTCCATCAGCCTAACCTAGCCGGCAGGGTTAATATGAGGAGAAAATGCAGGAAGGTAAGATTCTCTAGGCCACCTTGAGACCCTTGGGGGGAAAGGAGGTATTCAGTTTTATTGTTTTATTCTTTTTGTAAACTGCTCAGAGGTTTGCTTTTACAATCAAGCTGTACAGTGGTACCTTGGTTCTCAAACGCCTTGGTCCTCAAACACCTTGGTTCCCAAACGCTGAAAACCCCAAAGTAAGTGTTCCGGTTTGCAAACATTTTTCAGAAGCCGAACGTCCGATGTGGCTGTCGGCTATTGTTTCTGGGGATCCTGTACCAATCAGAAGCTGCGCCTTGGTTTTCAAGCATTTTGGAAGTCAAACGGACTTCCAGAACTGATTAAGTTTGGCGCTTTTGTTTTTGCTATTTATTTTGCACTTTTGTTTCTGAGGCTTTTTGGGTTAATTTGTTTTTGTGACTGTGTGGAACCCAGTTCAGCTACTGATTCTGACTGACTGTGTGACTGCGGAAATGGATAAAAGCCCCCCATCCAAACAATGACTATCATCAGTGCAGGTAAGAAAAAAAATGTTAATTTTAATTTTTATCATCTACAATACTGTCTTATTTATTTTATAGTACAGTAAATTAATTACTGCTTTCATTTTATGGATCAATGGTCTCGTTAGATAGTAAAATTCATCTTAAACTGCTGTTGTTTTTAAAAGTCTGGAACGGATTAATCCGTTTTGCATTACTTCCTGTGGGAAAGCGCACCTTGGTTTTGGAACGCTTTGGTTTTGGAACAGACTTCTGGAATGGATTAAGTTTGAGAACCAAGGTACCACTGTATGCACATTTTATGAAATAAAAAGAGTAAATGTAAGGATAAATAAATAAATGGCATTGGCAACAGAGGCCTTAAAGCAAGGAAACCACCAGCCAGTGGGCCTCAACGGACCCACCGCACCTCGTAGTTTGACCTGTGGGGCCATTTTGGCCAAGCCCCACCCACCAGCTGTAGATATGACACTGGATGACTGGCAGGTGTCAAGCCCCACCGACCCGTCAAACGTGACCCACTCGTTTGGAAATGGAGGCAGGCAGAGCTCGGTTTCCATGTTTCAGGGTGTATGGGAAGGCAAACAGGCTGGAAAGGATGTGGGAGGCTGGTCCAATGCTTCCTCACCTGCCCCCCGTGCAAGTCGTGGGCCACCAGCAGCTCTGGAACACTCTCTGGAGGTAGGTGCCATTCTGGATATGACAGGAAACCGTCCGGGTGACAGTGTAAGAACACCAATTCCTGAAAAGAGGCAAGAGACACAGGATGGATCACCAGTTGCCAAAGAACAGCAGCGGAGGCAGAAATGCCTTTGCCCTCGTGTTATGTGCCTGGTCTGGAAGCTTCCAGAAGCTCCAGCTGCAGCAGAATGTGGTGGCCAGACTGCTGGTGGGGGCATCTGAGTGACAACATGCCGCACCACCATTAGAGCCCACTTACAGCCAAGCCAGGTACAAGGTCCTTGTATTAATTGACAAAGCCCTGAACAACATAGGTCCGAGGTACCCCAGGGATCTCTTGAGTCCTTCTATCCCAGCTCCATCGCCATCTATCATGGATGCCTTAGCTGAGATTCCTGTATTGCAGGGGGTTGGACATATATATCTGTTTTACAATTTAAAGTACTCATTTTTACATCCTTAAGATATCAATGACTTCCCTTCTTCTCTTTCCATGGTTCATTTTACATACCATAAATCCCTGCATATTTTACAGAAACTATATCATTTGGTATTCCATTATTGCATCCATCAAAACTTATTTACACTGTTGAATTTATCTTAATGCTGCCAGCGTTTTCAGCCGTACACAATTATTTCCCATATATTCAATGAACTTTTTCCAATCTTCTCTAAACGTATGCTCTTCTTGTTCTCTTATTCTATATGTTAAGTCTGCAAGCTGCGCATATTCTGTCAACTTAAGTTGCCAATCTTCTGTAGTTGGGACTTCGCTCGTTTTCCATTTGGGGGCTAACAAAACACAGGCTGTAGTAATGGCATACATAAATAAGCTTTTTTGACACCTGGGAATTTCAGTCTGAATTATCCCCAACAGAAAGGACTCTGGTTTCTTTGGGACAACTCGATGATTCTATGAGATTATCTACAGGAGCATCATTGATCGTTCCTCACCATTACCATCCTTGCCTTCTGACGAGGATGCCATTGGGTGGAAGGTGCAAAACACTTGCGCGAACAAGCAGCACTGTGTCTACCCCTGATTCCAGGATGCCGGGCTACATGGGGTGTTGACCTGACCCAGCCGCTAGGCCATGGACCGGATCCAGTCCACAAAGACCATTTTACTGGCCCACGAGCCACCCCCAAACTGAGCCACCCGCTAAACAGGCACAGTGCGGCACAGGGACTCACCGAGTGGTGCCAGAAACCACATCTACACACGTGCAGATACCAGAAATCACTTCTGCGCATGCCCAGATGCCAAAAATCGCTTCTGCCCAGGAGCGATTTTTGGCATCTGGGCATGCGTAGAAGTGGTTTCTGGCACCGCAGACATGCACAGAAGCAATTTCTGGCATCGCACTGCACTGGTCCGGCCCATGGACAATCTCCGTGGTTGTGATCCGGCCCATGGCCAGTAAGCCTTGCTGACCCCTGCGCTAGGCTCTTATGTCCTTGGCTGTTCAGATGACCTCAAAGGTCCCTTACAAGTCAATCATTTCATCTTCCCCCTACTCTTTTGGTTCCCCCACCCTAACGAAAGAAAATTCAAGGCAAGAGCTAGAATCTCAATGAAGGGCAGGGGTACCAACCTGAATAAAATATTGGGAAGGGGGCAGGTAAGTCCTGCCCTGTATAACTGATCACATGACGGGGGTGCACTCTCACCATTTGAATGGCAATGCCCGGCCCCCTCAATTTGGGGGGGTGGGCGAAGGGAGCTCGGCCCCTAGGAGTTGGTACCTATGGTGAGGAGGCCAGCACCCTTCCACTGAGCCCCTAATGACTACAACACCAAAGCAACAACATGCAGTTAAAACCAGTGTGCAAAGCCTTCGTGACCCCAGGAATATTCCCAGCCCAGACTTTCCCCAGTTCGTGATTGACACCTTACTCGGTCCAAGAAACCAAAACACTGCAAGTTGCCAGATGAACACCCCGCTGGCACTGAACTGAACTGCCTCTCCACCGTGTGAGCAAGGAAGGGGGGGTGTGCCTGTGCGCCCATAATATAGGGGAGGAGAGAACGAGAACTTGAAAAGGCTGGAAAAGGGCCCTGGAGAGGCGATTAAGCATTCCAGAGAGCAAACAGGAAGGGGAATTCCCTCCAGCCCCAGAAACCTGGTGCCAAGTCTTGCTCTTGAGAGGTCTGTAATTTTCCGTGCCAGAGTCATAAATCCCTGACTGGCAGGATGGAGAAAGGAAATACTCACTCGCCTTGTGGGGGGTTCACAGGACCTTGCATTGCTACTCTCTCCATCCGTCTGGCGCGCATATATGAGACACTTTAAGTCTCTGAATTCCAGGCAGCTGCAAGCTTTTCCAGGAGAGCCGGCAAAAGGGTCAGGTAATGTGAGATCCCGAGGTTGCCAAAACACATGGAATCTGGAGGTCACCTTTCAAGCCCTGATCTAATCTAAATGGAGACCTTTCAGCAGGTCAAGAGCTGGGGGCGGCCGAGCAGGCTCAGAACAGCAAGGGCCTGATGTCCGCGATGTGTCGAGGCATCACTCCAAGGGGTTCTGATTTATCAAAGGCTTAAGAACACAAGAAGAGCCTGCTGGATTAGGCCAACGGCCCGTCTAGTCCAGCATCCTGCTCTCACAGGGACCAACCAGCGGGAAACCTGTAAGCAGGACCTGCATACAAGAGCATTGTGGTTTCCAGCAACTGGCCTTCAGAAACATCACTGCCTCCAATCGTGCAAGCAGATCTTGGCTAGAAGCCTTCCCCTCCCTAAGCTGTCCCAGTTTGGTGGTACATGTCCCAGCGACTCCCATTTTGCCCTTCCAGTGGGAGGGGATGCCTTTTTTAAAATCTCACAAGTGTGAGTTGATAGGACTGCTGCATTCTTCGGGATTCAGCACCACCACCATGGTTTCTGGAAATTAAGGGTGCCATTCTGTTTTAGTAAAGGTAAAGGGACCCCTGACCATTAGGTCGACTCTGGGGTTGCGGCGCTCATCTTGCTTTATTGGCTTAGGGAGCCGGCGTACAGCTTCCGGGTCATGTGGCCAGCAGGACTAAGCCGCTTCAGGCGAACCAGAGCAGCGCACAGAAACGCCGTTTACCTTCCTGCCGGAGCGATACCTATTTATCTACTTGCACTTTGCTGTCCTTTTGAACTGCTAGGTTGGCAGGAGCAGGGACCGAACAACGGGAGCTCATCCAGTCACGGGGATTCGAACCGCTGACCTTCTGATCGGCAAGTCCTAGGCTCTGTGCTTTAACCCACAGCGCCACTCGCGTCCTGCCATTCTATTTTAAGCACGTCCAATCGATGCATGAAGGCAGATCAGAAGCTGAATGGGGCAGGGACACTTAGATGCTCTCCGCCAACACGCTCAAGAGCCGGGAACGGAACCCTCACGCAAAATGGTTGCTGCCCGCATAGAGACACTTACCTGGGAATAAGCCACACAGTGACAAAGTGCAATTTGCACACAAGTAAGTTTGCAAGGATTGCACTGCCATGTCTCTGATGGAGGCAACAGTCATCACAGGCCTGTGGGGCAAGTGTGTAAATAAGGCACAGGGATCCTGTGGCATGCTCAACTGATGTTATTGGACTTCAACTCTCATCATCCCAGGATGTTGGACTGGAGAGTATTGGGAGTCTAACAATATATGGAGGACCACAGATTTTGCCATTGCTTGTGGGCTAGAGACCTGCTTCCTTATCATTACTTTAGCGGCAAATTCAGAACTGCAGGGTCCCTTCACTAGAGACAAAGCCACTCCCCCTTCTTTGATTATACAACCATTTTACAATTTTACAATTATTTTACAATTATTCGATAATAACAACAACATTGCAACAGTCAATGCAGATCTTGATGCGTTGCCTTTCAGCTAGATCGACTATTCCCTGCGCACGCAGATGGGCAAATGATTTGGAGCGCTCCAATGTCACCTTTAAGAGTGACCCAGGCGGTGCTTTCTGCAAAGTTCCATTGTACGCAGCAGAATTCGCATGCCATTCTCTTGAGACAGAAGCCCCTGGTTTGTTTTTCAGGGTTCCTAAACACCTCCTTGGTGTTCTTCCCACGCCTCTCCTCCAGAAGGACCATAGGAGCCCACCCTCATTGGCTGGCTCACCTCCTTTCGCTCTGATTGGCTCCCATCAGCACAAAGGGGGAGGAGACGGCTTCTTAGTGGCTAGAAAACTCCCCTTTTGTGCTGATTGGGTGGTTCTAAGATGCTGGAGGCAAGATCTCTGCTGGGATGCTGCAGCTGCAGAAATAGTAAGGGGTCTTTGACTCCCCCCTCCATAAGCCCGGACCACTTCACCAGTGTTCCTCTTGCAGTAAATTGGTGGGAGCTGGCAGAAGGCAGTTTCACACGGGAGCACACTACCCAAAAGGGGCTGAGGGTCAAATGGCAAATCACATCAAATGCATCATCTGTATGGTTTTTAAAGGGATTGTAAAATAGAAACACTACTGACAAAATTAGGACTTTGGAGCCCAGTTAATATTTGCTTCCCACACCACAGCCTTGAGAAAAATTGCCCCTCCTGGGACCAATAGCAGCTGGGGGGGGGATTTTTGGTGAGAACACAGTGGGTGGAAAGAGTTAAAGCCCCCTCTGTGCCCCATTCCTGAACTTGAACTTTTTATTTTTATTTTTTTTTATAATTGATATTTATTAAATTTTCAAAGGATAACAACGAAAATTTCCAAAAAAAATTGAAAATACAAAAATAACAAAAGTAATACAAAAATATTGAAGAAAAAGAAAAGAAAACCCAGCCGCAAAAAAGAAAAAAAGAAAAACAGAAAAACAGAAATATGTAGTTCTTTACGATCTCCATTAACTTCCTTTCTAGACTTCCTCCTCCTCCCCTCTCTTGTTTCTTAGTTTTTAATTTTCACAGCAAATCCTTTCTGTCTTTTTTTTTTTTTTCATAACAATCTATCATTACATTTCCTTATTCTATTTTCCCTCTTGTCATATAAGAACTTTAATTCAATATTCAATATTTAGCAAATTCTTACATCATTACCTTTTTACAAATCATTTACCAATCCTTACTTAAGCCATATAATTTCATTCAACACCCTTCAAACATTTATAAACATTCCCAATATTAAAGGATAAAAAAGAAAAAATAATAAGTCAAATTCAGTCCAGTCAGCTTCCAACCTCCCCTCCCCAGGACCCGAGATTGTCAGTCCTTTTAACCTCAATAATCCAGCTCGTTAACCTGGTTGTCTCGTATCCGAGGCCCTCAAGTCTCTTTCTTGCCCCTTTCGCCGCTCTTGTTGATATTTCCCTTTCAGTCGTGGAGACTCCAGCAGAAAGATGCTTTTGACTCTTTGCAGCAAGTCCATTCCAGACCCATTACCCAAGCCAGAGAACAGATAGTGCCAGTTCCATTTTCCACAGAGCTTGGAGACTTCAACTACTCCGATCTTCTGTTGGCCCATCAGATTTGCCCCAAGTTCATTTATCAAGTTCAAAGGCTGATCTTGCCCATCCAATGATCCCTCCATCTCTGAAGCCTCCATCGCTACAGCAGGTTCATATACTTGTATAGACTTTAACTGAGTTTCATTTGTTTGCTGCTGTGCTCTGGTAACTTCCATCATCAAGGTCGACTCCTGACGCATCTGGTCCAGCTGGGCACTTAATTTTGCAAAACCTTCCAGGAACACTTGTTCAAGCCTTTGTACAAGCATTGTCCTTCAAGGTCACAGAAAATTCTTTCCCACGAGAATAGCTCTTCTTTTTAAACTCTCTGCATTGCAATTTCACTCAGTTCCACTAGATGGAACAAGTTTTACTTTTGTAACAATCTTACTTTTTCCAAAAACACTTTATCCAGAATTCCCCCTAAGGGGCAACAGTAGAGTCAAAATGTTACCCTTCTTTTAACTATCTGTCGAGCTGGATAAGCTTCAAAACGTCAATTCTGACAGCCCGCTCCTGGTTCAGGGCGGTGGAAAATTACTTTATTTTAAACTCACTTCCGCAGGGTTAAAAAAAGCCAAAATCACCCCCTTCTTCTCCTGCAGTCAAAGGGGGGTTCAGAAATCTTAGATGTTGAATTTTAGTTCTCTCAAAATTTAATTTTCAAGCTTTAGTATAATTTGTCTTTGCTTTCTTCAGATAACAAAAGAACGGAAGGATGACTTCCTGTTTAGACCTTTCCGTTCCGAGTCCCAATTAAGTTCAATTTCAAGTCCAAATCCAATACTATTTATTTATTCTCCAATCTTAAAATTAGTTCAGCTCTTCCAAGATCAGGTACTCACGGATCGATATTTTAGATGCCAAATTGTCCAGGAAGAAGGCAGCGCTCTCCGAAAACGGCAGTGCGGCTTTGCTGCACGGAGGAAGCAGTCGACTCACAGCACCACGCACCTCCCACTCCGGAGCCCGTTGCCGGGCTCCTGTACAAGGGAGAGAGCGCTCTCGGTGCCCGCCGAGTCCCACGTCCACAGGCTTCTTCCGCCTGTGGTTTTTAAGGGCCCCCGCTGCGCCGTAGCGGCAGGACCCAAGCCTCCGTGCAGCGGGTTCCCTTCAGTTCGAAGGGAATTCCGCCATTTTCCGGAGGCGCCACCCCGGAAGTCCCTGAACTTGAACTTTTTAGGCTTATAGAAAAGGCAAGAAGGAGGTGACACGATAGAAATGTATAAAATTACGGAGAAAGTGGATTAAGAAAAAAATTCTCCTTTTTGCATAAAAACAAGAATTCGTGGAAGTCCAACAAAGCTGAATATTGGGAAAGACAGAACAGATAAAAGAAAGGACTTCGTCACACCATGCATTGTTAATCTGTGGAACTCTCTCCCACAGGAGACAGTGACAGCCACCAACTTGAACGGCTTCAAAAAGTGGGTTAGACAAATTCCCGGAAGATAAGGTATTTTGTTTCCCTCTGACCTTTTCCTAGTCAACGTGGTCAACGGTGATGATGAAGTTGTAGCCATATAGCAGTAGCCATATACTGCCATTTCAGTGGGTCTACCCTGAGTAGGGCTAACATTGGACGCAGCAACCCTCTATTGCTTTCGCTGCAATCCCTCTGGAAAAGCTTTCCCTCAGAGTTGTTGAGCTTCCTGAAATTCACCACTTAAAACAACAACAACCCACAGGTTTGTTGCAAATGTTGGCTTGACACTTTGCTGACTCACCATAAGCCAAATTTATAAGGGCTGGGGTCTGTCTCTTCCCCTACACACCAGTTCAGCCCCAAATCATGCATTCCTCCACCTTTTACACAACCCCAGAGGCTCAAGCCAGCATCCCAGCAGAAGCTTCATTGTGTTGCAGCCTCACGGATGGAGCAAGATCAAAGGAACCTCAAGCAACTTCTGTCATTCCACACAGCATGAGAGGGAAGGATTCGGCTGCCCAGCAACCACTGCCCCGCACAGTCCTTCAACCAGAAGAGACCACCTACAGACAGGGCTCCATTCATTCCCAAAAGGAAATGGCCTGCCTACATCACTGAAATGCATGCATATAGGGAAAGCATGGCAAAAGACAGGTCCCTTCCAACTCTAGGATTTTATGACAGCTGAAAGGAGAGGAGACCTTCATGATCAAGTGTCTCCCTTGCCAAGTAAGTAAGGAATAACCTTATGAAGTGAAAGGATAAGAAAGAGGGATTTATATCTGGATGCTAGGATAGATATGACAAGGAAAGAAGACACAATGAGAGGTAAGGGAGGCACTGTGGGATTGGTGGAAGTCAATGTTTGTTTTTCTGTGTTTATATTATTAACTTGTAAGATATGGATTTTTGTTTGTTTGTTTGTTTTTTGAATGTCGGCTTTTGTATTTTGTGTATTGTTATTTTTCGATATTTTTCATGTAGCAAAGCTACAGGCAACCAGACAGAGGGCCTTCTCGGTAGTGGCGCCCGCCCTGTGGAACGCCCTCCCATCAGATGTCAAAGAGATAAACAACTACCTGACATTCAGAAGACATCTTAAGGCAGCCCTGTTCAGGGAAGTTTTTAATGTGTGACATCTTAGTGTATTTTTGGTCTTTGTGGAAGCCGCCCAGAGCGGCTGGGGAAACCCAGCCAGATGGGCGGGGTACAAATAATAAATTGTTGTTATTATTATTATTTTATTATTATGTCGTTGTGTGGAAAATACTAATAAAATTTATATTTAAAAAAAAAAGAAAGGAAAGGAGAGCTGATGGAGCAGGCCTGCCACAGCAGAACTAATGGAGTGAGGTCGCCATACTCTGACCCCTGTGTGCCTTCTCAGTCTGCTGTCCAAGGGCTCAATGAGGACAGGAAACTTACTAAGTTGCTCTGATACATTTTTTTGGGGGTGGGGGAGAGTCTCACAGGGGTCAAGGTGCTTACTGTTAAAGGCCGACAGAGCCCCATCTCTTGAGCACACACTTGCCCAGGGACTGGTTCCAGTCCGGGGTTGATGAAGGGGGACGGACGACGACAACTCCCCTACTTCTGACATTCCTGTCACATTCCTCCTCAGCATCACGCCAGCCCCACGGCCACCACCTACCTCCTGGAGCGAGGCCATGCGACACCCTCGCCACTGCCCGCCCCCGGAGCCCATCACAAAAGCCTCTTTATGCCTTGCCTTCCCCCTGTCAATCAGGCCTCTTCTGGTCCTGATGCTACAGGCTTGCGGGTGGGTGGGTAGCTGGCCAACAACCGCTCCCCCCAAAGCAGCTGGAAGGGGTTGTCCCTCGCACTCGTGGAATGTGAACACTCAGCATCAGGACCGCCCCTGTGGCCAAGATCCCAGCCCGCCAAGAGGGACGGGCGCCAGTGGCCAAGTGGAGTTAATGAGTAGATCTCCCTGATCTTCTGTTCCCTCCCCCCCCCCAAAAAAAACCCTGGGCCCACCGCAAGAAGCGCTCTGCGGCTGTCTTGATTCCGCTCTCCAGCTGCAAGACCTCCCTAGACACGGTTCCCATGACGCCTGGGAGGCAGGCTGCCTGGTCTGGGGAGGAACGTCATCTGGCCAGCATTGCTGCTGGCTGAAAGGGATGCTCTCCCTTAAGGCAGGGCTGCCCCTCCCCAAGAAAGAACGTAAAAACCCTGCTGGATCAGGCCAATGGCCCATCTAGTCCAGCATCCTGTTCTCACAGTGGCCAAACAGACACCTGTGGGAAACCTGCAAGCAGGATTCAGACACAAGAGTCCACTCCCTCCTGCGGTTTCCAGCAACTGGTACTCAGAAGCATTGCTGCCTCTGTCTGTGGAGGCACAGCACAGCCATTGTGGCTGGCAGGAGTGCTAGAAACTCAGATACGTAAGCTAGGCACCAAATGGCTCCTTAAGCCAGGATTGCAGTCGCCAAAACAGAATGCCTAGTTGCCATTTTTGGCCCAGACGGATACATGTCATATTTTTCAACAACAACAACAATTTTATTATTTATACCCCACCCATCTGGCTGGGTTTCCCCAGCCGCTCTGGGTGGCTTACAAAATATATAAAACATAATAAAGCATTAAACATTAAAGACTTCCCAATACAGGGCTGCCTTCAGATACCGTCTAAAAGTTGTATACAGTCATACCTCGGGTTACAGCCACTTCAGGTTGCGTTTTTCCGGGTTATGGACTGCCGAAACCCAGAAGTGCCGGAATGGGTTACTTCTGGGTTTTGGCAGTCGCGCATGCGCAAAAGTGCTAAATCGTGCTTTGGGCATGTGCAGAAGCACCGAGTCGCAACCCGCGAATGCGCAGATGCGGGTTGCGAACGCTGCAGGTTGCGAACGTGAACCAGAGCATCCACTGTAGTTGTTTATCTCCTTGACATCTGAAGGGTGTTCCACAGGGAGGGCACTACTACCGAGAAGGCCCTCTGCCTGGTTCTCTGTAACTTTGCTTCTTGCGGTGAGGGAACCGCCAAAAGGCCCTTGGAGCTGGACCTCGGTATCCGGGCTGAATGATGTCAGCACCAGCACTTTGAATTGTGCTCGGAAACGTACTGAGAGCCAATGAATATCCTTTAGGATCAGTGTTACATGGGCCCGGCGGCCACTGCCGGTCTCCAGTCTAGCTGCCGCATTCTGAATTAGTTGCAGTTTCTGGGTCACCTTCAAAGGTAGCCCTATGTAGAGCATTGCAGTAGTTTAAGTGGCAGATAACCAGATCTGCACCACTCTGGTGAGACAGTATGCGGGCAGGTTGGGTATCAGCGAGTGTACCAGGTGGAGCTGGTAGACGGCTGCCCTGGACACAAAACTGACCTGCGCCTCCATGGACAGCTGTGAATCCAAAACAGGACTTTTTGGCTCCTGAAATGCATTCTGATTGTGCAGATAAAATATCATGGGTAGAATTCTACAAGATGTGTTGCTAGTAGGGTCATACCTCGGGTTACAGCCGCTTCAGGTTGCGGTTTTTTTGGGGGGGTTGCGGACCGCTGAAACCTGGAAGTATCGGAGCAGGTTACTTCTGGGTTTCGGTGGCTGAGCATGCGCAGAAGCGTTAAATTGTGCTTCGCACATGCGCAGAAGCACCAAATCGCAAACCGCACGTGCACAGACACACAGACGCGGGTTGCGAATGCTGTGGGTTGCGAGCGTGCATCCCACACAGATCACGTTCGCAACCCGAGCGTCCACTGTATGTGGAAACAGTTAAGATCCAAGGATTCCCTGGCATGCACCTGCAGATGGTGGAGGTGTCAGGTGCCATCCTGGAGCCTGGGCATCTTCACTTGGTCGCAAGTGGCCAGTAGCCAGGTGCAAAATGTGCCTGGCACCTGGCTAATTTCAAACACTGGCTAGTAGCCACCAGAGCAGACAACTTTTGTTCCTAGGATTCGGGGCAGGGGGGAGAGATGACTATTAAAGTGCCTTAAATGTATAGCATGGATATGACCCAAAACTACATGCATGATGCAGCCTGTGCCATTTTATTTAATTGAAATATTTCTGTGTCACCATTCATTAACAGAGGGAAAAAATGCCACCAAAGAAAGTCACACCGTACAAAAACGTAATGCTCAGTAAAAAATCTAACTCATCAGGAAAACAACCAAGGCATTCAGGGGAATGGCTGTAGCTCAGTGGCAGAGGATTTGCTTTGCAGAAGGTCCCAGGTTTAATCCCCAGCATCTCCACATAACGCTATGAGAGAATCCTCTCTGAAATCTAGCCAGTGTTGACAATACTAGACAGCTAGACAGACCAATGGTCTGACTCAAATCATGTCAGAGTGTAACTTAGCAAGGATACACGCAACCCATTTACAGTGGTACCTCGGGTTAAGTACTTAATTCGTTCCGGAGGTCCGTTCTTAACCTGAAACTGTTCTTAACCTGAAGCACCACTTTAGCTAATGGGGCCTCCTGCTGCTGCCGCGCCGCTGCTGCACGATTTCTGTTCTCATCCTGAAGCAAAGTTCTTAACCTGAAGCAATATTTCTGGGTTAGCGGAGTCTGTAACCTGAAGCATATGTAACCCAAGGTACCACTGTATCTGCCCCTGTCAAAGGCGACTATGGGGTGCGGCACTCATCTCGCTTTCAGGCCGAGGGAGCCGGCGTTTGTCCATAGACAACTTTCTGGGTCATGTGGCCAGCATGACTAAACCGCTTCTGGCGCAAGGGGACACCGTGACGGAAACCAGAGCGCATGGAAACACCGTTTACTTTCCCGCCACAGCGGTACCTATTTATCTACTTGCACTAGTGTGCTTTCGAACTGCTAGGTTGGCAGGAGCTGGGACAGAGCAACGGGAGCTCACCCCGTCACGGGGATTTGAACCATCAACCTTCTGATTGGCAAGCCCAAGAGGCTCAGTAGTTTAGATCACAGGGTCCTTTACCTTTACCTAGTAGGGTTTCCACTCTCCCCCTCCATTTGACTGCAGTGTTTATTGAAGGCCAGAGCAGAACCCCCTTGAAACGCAGCAAGCAGAAATCAGCATATATGGCTGCAATCAGCTTGGCGGTTCAGAAAAGTCCGTAGCCCGACTCCTGCATTGCCATCACAGGCAAGTGATGGCCCAGAGTGAGCCAGGATGCTCCACCCCCAACATTATCAGGGCAATGCCTATAATTAGCTGTGGTCATTCAAAGAGTAGGAAATGCTTCCTTTCCTGCCTCCACATTCTTTTCCCCCTCTCAACCTGGTGCAGCAGACTTTGTAGCAGGAGCCCAGAGCCTTTTTCAGCCTGGGGGCTGCATGCTGGGAATTGAGAGTGGGCAGAGCAACAGGTATAAATGTCTCCCTTTGTACACCAGGCTGGTTTCTAGTGCTACAGACTCTCTGTCCTCCATCCATTCATCCAAGCAAGCAAGCATGAATCATCATCAGGCTTCAAGGACACAGCCCAGCCAGGCAAAAACACTGGAGGAAGGTGAAAGGCAAGGCTAGGGAGATTCCCAGAGGCCAGATAAAGGGGAACAGAGGGCCACATTTGGTCCCTGGGCCTGAGGTCGCCAATTTCAGTGTTAGAGCCTGCCCAGGCTAGGAATGCCAGTGTAGTATAGTGGTTGAGTGTTGGACTAAGACCCGGGAGACCAGGGTTCAATCCCCCGCTCAGCCACAGAAATTCACTGAGTGACCTAGGGCCAGTCACTGTCTCTCAGCCTAACCTACCTCACAGGGTTGTCGTGGGGAATAAACGAGGAGGGGGAGAACCATGTATGCTGTCTCAAGCTCCTTGGTGGGATAGAAATGTGAGAGATAAATAAACAAAGAGCAAATGACACCTGCATTTGGAGTTGGGCCACCCTTCCTTAACTCGCCTTGTTGTTCTCTGTCCATTGGTAAATGTGTCTTTTGCTTTATTTATTGCTAGCCAATGTTGCTAGCAAAACCTTTGGAAGAGCCCTTTCACCAAGACTTGCTACCCCAAAATGCGTGTCACAAATAAGGATGGCAGAGAAATTTGATCCGGTTTGTGTTTTGATGCAAGCCTACATAGCTTGTACAGTGGTACCTCAGGGTTACAGACTCCGCTAACCCAGAAATAGTGCTTCAGGTTAAGAACTTTGCTTCAGGATGAGAACAGAAATCGTGCTCTGGTGGCACGGCGGCAGCAGGAGGCCCCATTAGCTAATGTGGTGCTTCAGGTTAAGAACAGTTTCAGGTTAGGAACAGACCTCCGGAACGAATTACTGTAAGTACTTAACCCGAGGTACCACTGTACTTCCTAAGCCAATGTGGGAACCAAAACTACAGCTACCCTTTGCCATTTATACCTAAATTCGGTAGCTAGATTAGTCATTACCCTGCAAGACCCCCAGTATAGATTTGGAGTGCTCTAAAACTATATTCAAATGGGGGTGGGGAGGTCCTACCATTTCACCATTCCTTAATTTCCTTCACTGCAAGTATAAAAGTTATGATAACTTTTATATGGTTATTAAAACATGCCTTCAGAACTAGCCCTAACCTCAGAGCTGACAAAGCACAATTAATTTATGGAATTCACTGCCACCAGACCCATTCATGGCCAGCAGCCCAGGTGGTTTTCAAAAGCTGGTGCAAATTCACATAGTGTGAACACATCCATTACTCTCTCCATCCCGGCTGGTTGGTATATCACAGAATCATAGAACTGCAGAGTTGGAAGGGGCTATGAGGTCCAACCCCCTTGCAGTGCAGGAATCCTTTGTGCAACGTGGGGCTTGAACCCACAACCCGGAGATTAAGATTCTCCTATTCTGCTGATGGAGTTGAGCTTGCTTTTTTCCACCTCCCTGCCCAGCCCTTTCTCTGAGTGTGCCCTGTTGTTTCTCATTTCATTTTTATTTCTTATACTCTTTGTTTCCTCTATTCACTGCCCTTCATCCATCAGGGTGGCAACAACAACAGCTAAGACAATAAATATCAGTGAGGGAGGGTTGCAGTTCAATGGCAAAGCAGCCGCTTTGCATGCAGGTCCCACATTCATTCGCCAGCTCCCGTCTGCAGATGTGGCAAGGAAAATATTCCCTGCCTGAAACCCTGAAGAGCTGCTGCCTGTCAGTGTGACCATCACTGATCTGCAAGGGCCAATGACCCGCCTTGGTATTGAGGCAGCTTCTTATATGTCTTGTTCATTAGCCACTCTGGAAACATTTCTGAGGAAATAACATGACTGTGTGGCACAATGGGTAGAGCATCAGACGAGGACCTGGGAGAGACCAGTGTTCCAATACCCACTTGGACAGGAAGCTCACTAGGTCTCCTTGGGCCAGTCACTGCCTCTCAGCCTAACCAACCTCACAGGGCTGTTGTGGAGGGTTACATAAAGCTGCAAAGGGGCATGCATACCACCATAGGTGCCAACTCCTTGGGACCCTGAGCACCCATGAAATTCCCCACGAAAGGGCCATGCCCCCACAAATTTTGGTGCCAGGGCCATACACATTGCATGACGCCCACAGCCCCAGGCACCCACAGTCACAGGGCCAAGCTGGCACTCCTGCACACCATTTTGAGCTCCTTGGAGGAAAAGTTGAACCTATGAATGCCATAAATAAAATGGAGCTCCCCTGTGTAGGAGCAGTCTATCTGCAAAGAGATAAAGCAACAGGGCTTGCGAGCTTCCCAGAGGCATCTGTCTTGCTGGGAAAGAAGGATGAATTAGATGGGCCTAGCCCAAGGAGCTCTGGGCATTAAAAAGCACAATCCGCATTAAAAACCCCGGAGTAACCACACGCCCGCCTTACCTCCGATTGGCGTACTGGAGCCCCGCGCGGTTCCAGGTGCAGCTGACCGGAGCCGGGAGCAAGCAGCAAAGCCACAGCGCAGCTCGGAGGCAGCCCGGCCAACGCCGCCGCCTTCTCCCGGCCGTCTCCATAAGGAGCCGCGGGGCAGCTGGAGAGCCGGCCAGTCCCCCTCCAGGCAACCGTGTTTCTGATGGCGGGCAGAAGGGGTGGAAAACCTCCGGAGCGAGCCGTGCGTCCTCCCCGACGCGGAAAAGGCTCCCCGGCTTAAGGAGCCCTCATTGAGACGCCCAGCCAAGGCAACCGCGGGAGAGGAAAAGTCCTCCGCTTGGCAAAGAGGAGAGAGAGAGAGAGAGAGAGAGAGAGAGAGAGAGAGAGAGAGAGAGAGTGTGGGTGGCTCCGTGCCAAGCACAGCCGGAATAAATCCAGGGGTTTCAGCCAAAACAGAGCGAGGAGGGGAAAGAGCTCAGCTGCGCGCTGCTGCTGCTTACAAGCTGCAAACCCCAAATAAATAGAAGAAGAAATGAGATCTATCTTTTAAAAAAGAGAAAAGAAAAGCACGGGAGGAGAAAATGGCATTCAACTCCTTTCTCTCCGCATCCAGCTTGGCTGCAGGAGGGCGCTGATCAGCTGCTGCGCGCGCGTGCAAAAGCGTGCAGGCTGCGCCGGATAGATCAAAAGAGCGCAAAAGTTAAAAAAAAGGGGCCTCCTCTTTCCTCCTCCCCCACATGCTGGAGGGCCCCGGCCGTGGGGAAGGGTAGCCTTCCAGGGGCTGGATTTCCAGCAGAGGGGTGGGGTAGAACTTTGTCTAGCCTGAAACTCTTAACCCTTCCCACTTTTGGTTCAAGGTGCCTCTGTCTTATTTGCAAAATATTTTATTTGCAAAATATCTTATTTGCAAAAAATGTTGCATATCCAATGCAACATGTATCTATCCATTTCACCTGCAGATCCCTCCCCTTTTCTCAAGCCCCCCCCCCCTTCAACTAGATTAAGGAAACCAGAGAGAGAGAGGCCGAGGCTTTTGCAAAGGGTCCCCTCCCTCCTCATTTGCCCCCTCCCCCTGCTCAGTCTTTCATGTTCAAACCCTGGAAAAGTTCCCCTATTCACTCTTGGCCTTGTTAAGCAGAAAAAGAAAGGACTTAGGGGGTGGGGTGGATGTGTTGAGATCACACACACACACACACAAGACCGACTTTTTTCAGGAAGCCAGCGTCTCTCCTCTCTCCCCCACCTCCTGTTGCCAAGGAGTTGCACCTCAAAGGAGGCCTTTACAAAGCAGAGGGGGGCAGATTCGGCATGTCATGAAGGGCACCCCAAATCTGCCCCCCTTCCTTTGTGTGGAAGACACAGCAAGCTGCTCCAAGAGGGTACCTGCACATAGGAGCTGCAAAAAGAGCCGGCAGTGTGTGACCCTTGTTTAACCTGTTATATATATTTTTTCACCTCTGTGGGAGAAATACAGCTCAAAGGAGGACATCTCAAGGGGGGAGAACAACCAGGGGGAAAGAGAAGGGTTGAATTGCCCCATCATCATTATTTCTCCACTTAAGTTCAGTAAAACTTACGCAGGGGGGAAAAACCCATTCACAGGTGTAATGGTTCTAGGGGTTGCTCGTGCATAAGCCGGTGCTTATCTCCCCGGCTGGGTGCAAACACCTGGCTGGGTTGCCTAAGTGAACCTTTTCTGTCCGGACAGCCACTCACCCGTGGCTGACTCAATCGCTGGTAGAATCCGTCAGTGGGCGTTTCTTAAACTTCTTCCAGCAAAGAAGCTCTTTGACGCCTAGTCTCCTCCTACTCTCTCTGCGCAAAAGCCTTCTGCGCAAGGAGGGCGTGGGCAACGGAGGACCCCTACTCTCCCCGCTGGTCCCAGGCAAGGAGTCATGGGACCGCCTCGCCGCTTCCCCCATCTGCCCCCCTTCTCCACTGGTGCTACGCTGATTCTCTTCCCCAAGAAGATGGGCCGCTTCTCCCAATCCCTGGACGCTCTCTGGAATCCCTCTGGCTTTTGCTCTCTCCCTCCGGCACTGATGGCAGTTCCCTGACAACCAGTTTTCCCCAATTTGGTTCACTCCATAGGTTTTGAAGTACAACTCCCATCATTCCCAGCTGCGAAATCAGCTGGGAGCTGCAAAACCTGGGAGGCACTGAGTGTGTGCTGCAACATCTTTGTCTTCTCTCTCTCCCACACCACATCATCTTCAGGGCAGGATGCTGTTCGTCAGCCCTCTAACCTGCCGCCTGGAGCCTGTGCTACCTCAGGGGTCAGCAAACTTTTTCAGCAGGGGGGCAGTCCACTGTCCTTCAGACCTTGTGGGGGACTGGACTATATTTTTTGGCGGGGCCACAAATAACCCAGGGATGCATTTTAAATAAAAGCACACATTGTACTCTGGGACGTGGGTGGCACTGTGGTCTAAACCACAGAGCCTAGGGCTTGCCGATCAGAAGGTCGGTGGTTCGAATCCCCGTGACAGGCTGAGCTCCTGTTGCTCGGTCCCTGCTACTGCCCACCTAGCAGTTCGAAAGCACGTCAAAGTGCTAGTAGATAAATAGGTACCGTTCTGGCGGGAAGGTAAACGGTGTTTCCTTGTACTGCTCTGGTTCACCAGAAGCGGCTTAGTCATGCTGGCCACATGACCCGGAAGCTGTACGCCGGCTCCCTCGGCCAATAAAGTGAGATGAGTGCCAGAACCCCAGAGTCGTCCATGACTGGACCTAATGGTCAGGGGTCGCTTTACCTTTACACGTTCTACTCATGTAAAAACACGCTGATTCCCGGACTGTCCACGGGCCAGATTAAGAAGGCAATTGGGCTGTATCCGGCCCTCAGGCCTTAGTTTTCCTACCCATGTGCTACCTCTTTCTCTCTCCTCAATCTAGGCTTGCAGTGCCCCCAACCCTCAGATCATGCAGTGCAGCTGCTTTGTGGCACTGTGTGTGTGCTAAAGTGACTTAGGGGCAGCTTCTGGTAGTCCTGGGTGGAAGGAACATCATCCCAGCCTTGGGGGGGGGGGACAGTTTATGGAGATGCACCAAAGGGTCGAGGTTGGTACTAGGAGCAGTTGAGGTGCCATCTTGCATGGAGATAACATTGTGCGTTCTTCTATGGGAGCAGTGCATGAAGAGCAGGGTGATTTTGCCTGGGAAAGGCCTCTTGCTGAGCAGCCAAGAACCCCACTTTGTTCTGCTTCCCTTGCTCTCTTCATTCCCTCCCACCAGGAACAAGAACATCTTTATCTTCGGGGGAAAGGAGCTCGCCAATGCCAAAGTCACCGGAGGCTGTTGAGATGACTCTCATTCATCACTCTACCTTGTAACAGCTCCAAGAGCCTTGTTGTCTCTAAGATCTATGTGTGTCTACTCCTGTCTATCTACATGTGATGTATGGGCATGTGTATTTATAGATACGTCTATACACATCTATACGTATCTATAAATACGTATATGTATATATATATATATATATGTGTGTGTGTGTGTGTGTGTATTTATAGATACGTATATACACACACATGGGACGTGGGTGGCGCTGTGGGTAAAACCTCAGTGCCTAGGACTTGCTGATCGTAAGGTTGGCGGTTCGAATCCCTGCGGCGGGGTGAGCTCCCGTCGTTCGGTCCCAGCTCCTGCCCACCTAGCAGTTCGAAAGCACCCCTAAGTGCAAGTAGATAAATAGGTACCGCTCCGGCGGGAAGGTGAACGGCGTTTCCGTGTGCGGCCCTGGTGCTGGCTCGCCAGCTGCAGCTTCGTCACGCTGGCCACGTGACCCGGAAGTGTCTTCGGACGGCGCCGGCTCCCGGCCTCTTAAGCGAGATGAGCGTGCAACTTGTCCTCCGCTCTTCCTCAGTAGCATGTTGGACGCCTTCCGACCTGAGGGGCTCATCTTCCAGCGTCATAACTTTTATATGCCTGTTGTCTTTGTCCATGGAGTTTTCTTGGCAGGGATACTGGAGTGGCTTGCCGGTTCCTGCTCCAGGTGGATCACGTTTGGTCAAAACTCTCCACTATGACCTGTCCATCTTGGGTGGCCCTGCACGGCATAGCTCATAGCTTCTCTGAGTTATTCAAGCCCCTTCGCCACGGCAAGGCAGTGATCCATGAAGGGGCACACACATAACATATATGCACTTGATTACTGTTTTTCTAATTCAGCAACCTCAACCAAGTACATGCCCAAAAGGACAGTGGTGTATATCTACTGCGCATGGAATCAGACTCCAAAAGGGAGGGTAGCATGTCACAAAGCAGAGGAAAACACCCATCAACAGTGCAGCATGAGTCCACAGATGCAGAAAAGGACCTCATTGACCTCAATGTTTACGGCCCCCCTATGTGTCTCCATGGGGTTGCCATATTTCAAAAAGTAAAAAACAGGACACCCTGAAAGTTGTTGAACTTTTTAAGGAAAACCTGAAAGTTGTTGAGCTGCTTTTTTTCCTTTTTTGACAAAAACGTTAAAAAACAAACAAAGCACTACATTTCCTCCAAGCCTTGCTTCATTTAATGAACTTCTATCATGTCACCTTTGACAGCAGAACCTCAGTTTTTGAACAAAATCCGTTCCGGAAGACCTTTCAACTTCTGAAACATTCGAAAACCAAAAATGGAAAGCGGAAGCCTGAAGTCAATAGGGAAACTCAAAATGGAAGCTGCGTCAGACATTCGGGTTCCGAAAAACTTTCAAAAACCAGAACATTTACTTCCAGGTTTTCAGCGTTTGGGAGCCGAAACGTTCAGAAACGGAGCCGTTTGAGAACCGAGGTTTGACTGTACTCAACATTTTAAAATAAAATAAAATACTTACCCTCTTGTGATTTCCAGCAACTTGCATTCAGAGACATACTGCCTGAGACAGTGGATTGGAAACAAAATTGGGAAACGGAGAGAATGTGAAATTAACGTCCATTTGGTGACATGACAGTTCCTGGACTTTAGAGTGAGGGAAAGGTTGACTGGCCCAAGGTCACTCAGTGCGCTTTATGGCTGAGTAGAGATTTGATCTCCGGACTCACATTCCAGTGGTTTCACACTCTAGTCCAATGCTCGCTATTGCACCACGGTGACACCCCAGGGTAAGAGACTGAAGCCTGTTAAGGAGCCAAAGCACATCTTCATAATAAACTCAATGTGAGATTACTGGAAATCTTTAGATAACTTTTGTCCATAGATGATGGATGTAGTGCAATACACCTAATACAGTATGTAACTCTGGCCATAATGTCGATTTTGGTGTCTGGTTGAAAAAGCTTCCCCAGCAGCATCAGACAGCTCCCCAGCACTGGTACAGAAACTCTCCAGCTGCACATAACAGTGGTAGCAAAGGAAAGTCACCTTCTGAAGGTCATCCATCATTTCCAGCACTCTTCCTGTGATCACCTCAACCAGTGCCCCAGCTCTAATCTGAATTAAGAGCACTAGAGTGTGTACTCATTTAAGGAGAGACAGTGCCCCCCAGTGGTTAATACAGGAAGCCAACTCAGCCAAAGCTGGCCAGGGATGGCCATTCCCCAAAGCACTACAGTACTCACTCAGTGTTCCCTGAAAGCAGGATGGCCACATTCTTTCCCATGTGTATTAATAAATGCTACATCCCCTCCTAAACACTGTGCAATTCTTGCCTGCAGGAAACAACGTCAGGCTTGGGGGGGGCAGGGGGGTTGTGAGGAAGCTGGGGCATATAAGGCCCACTGGCTGGAGGTTCCCAATCCCTGCTTCAAGAGGACCTCCATGCCCTCAAAACCTTTGAGAACTGATGACTTCTGGTGTCATGAAGTGGCTTGGATGCAAAGGAGTGGTGGGGGCACCAGCTGGGAACAACCCCCCTCCCAAATGAAGTAGGCTCAGAGCCAGGGGGTTGGGGGTAGGAGGACAATGAGTGGTCAGAGGGAGAAGAAGGAGCAGAGTGGGGGGGGGGAGGTGTCGGAAGCTGAAAAGGCAACAGGGTTTAGTGAGCAGGAGGAGTCTGTGGCAGAGAGCAGTCGAGCCTCAGAGGCAGGAGAGGAGGGGGGCCAGGAGACAGAGATGAGGCAGGCTGCTGAAGAAGCCAGGGAGACTCCCCATCCTGCTGCGACTGGCTTCCCTCATCCCTGGTCTCCCAGAACCAGAAGAGGTATGAAGAGGGCGGAACAAAGACAGACAAAGCAAGGAAGTCTCAGATTGCTTGGGGACGACTCAGGGAAGGAGGAAATTTAGAGGGCTAGGGGAAGGCAGGGACCTTCGGTTCTTGCAACTGCAAAATCTACTGGGAAGAGTTGCTGTGCTCACTAGGCCTGAGCTGCTTTGTTTCTTTGAATAAAGAGTTAAGTTCATTGACTCCTTGTGAGTTATTGCTGGCCTGCTCCTGACTCCCGCCTTAGAAAGTAGCTGGAAATCACAACTAGGGAGATTGCTGTTGCACTTGGTTCCCACCTGTGACTTCCTGTAGGCATCTAGTTGGCCGCTGTGAGGATGTTGGACTGAATGGGCCTTTGACCCATTTGAAGCAGGGCTTTTCTTACATTATTGAGGAGCATTCCTAGTTCATATATAGCTACAGTGATCAGCGGCAGGAACAAAGTTTTAATGCTCATAACACTCAAACTCAGAGTCACCTGAGAGCATCGTTTGGTAGTAGGTTTTGTTGTTGTTGTTAAAGTGTTGACTCTCTGACCATCAGGTCCAGTCGTGACCAGGCACTCCTGGGGTCTGCGGCACTCCAGTCTCGTCAATTCATGTTGGACGTCAAGGACGCTAGCGTACCAGCTCTCCAGGCTCCATGTGGCCTCAGCATCCCGACATCAGGGCCGCTTCTGGCGAATCTTCTTCAGAGGCAGCGCACAGAAGACTCAGCTTCAGATCTATCCTTCCCACTGAGCACGCAGGCTGATTCCTATTTGAATGGCTAGGCTTGCTCTTCTGTGCAGTCCATGGACTGCTAGAGTCTCGGCAGGAGCAGGGATCCGAAGCATCAATTCTGCGGAGCTCAGCCTCTTTATGGTCGCAGCTGACTTCGATACATCACTACTGGGAAACCATTCTGATCGTGCAAGTCTGTGTGTGTGTAACCCACATGCATGCACATGCGTAGCAGGTTTAGGACAGATAAATGTGAGTCAAGTCAGAATTCAACAGATGAAGTTTGCCACAGCTGCACCTGTTGAATGTTGGCTTGTTTAGCAGCTACAAGGAGGAAACTGGAATATGCAGGAGCCCAGCCAAAATAAAAGGCGACCACTTTCTGATAAATGTAGAGCTAGCATGGGCTAGGCTGTTCAAAGACAGGAATACTATAGGCAAAGTATATGAAAAGCTCAATCAATGGGAGTTTTTCTAGCCTGCCTTGCAGCTATCAAAAAACTCCTGGCAGGCACCCAGGCAGAAATTGTGTGTGAAATTGTGTGAGAGAGACCGATAAGTACATGGGGAGGGGATGGAGGCTGGGGAACCCCTGTGGAAGAAGGCCCCCGACGTGTCTTAGATTGTTTATGTATATAATTTAGCTCAATTAAACTAATTATGGCATGCTCATTTCCTTCAGTTTTTCAGCCAGTTGCCAAATTCTGGTCCCCAGATCTGGCTACCTCTGATTGCAGTGCACAATCCCTCGTTGTGGAAAGAGCTCCGATGTTCCAGGGACGGTGCCAGAGGGCTCGCAACACAGATGAACACCTGTGTTGTCTGTAAACATCGTCTGGCAGCGTCGGGAGGAGGATAGGCTCACAGACAAGTGAAGGGAGCATCTCACGCCCCACATCCATCGGAGATGCATCTCAGTCAATGAGTCCTTCAGTTCTTCCCCCACCCTTTTGTAATGGTTGCTTGGAGAGAGGAGGGTTCATAGCTCAAGGGTAGAACAGCTGCATTGCATGCGTAAGGTCCCAGGTCCAGCCTCCAGTGGCATCTCCAAGTAGGGCCAGGAGAGACTCCGTGTTGAAACCCTGGAAAGCTGCTGCCAGTTTGTGCAGACAGCACTGAACTAGATGGACCAGTGGTCTGATTCAATAGGAGGCAGCTTCCTCTTAAATTCAGCTCTAATTTCTTAATTTATTTTTAGATGAAGGGCAGTAGCTCAGTGGTAGCGCACCTGCTTTGTATGCTTAAGATCGCAGGTTTAATCCCCAGTATCTCAAAGTAGGGCTGGAAGAGACTCACTGTCTGAAGCCCTGGAGAGCTGCTGCCAGTTAGTGTTGGCAATACTGAGCTAGATGGACCATTGATCAGACTCTGTATAAGGCAAGTGTTCCTGTATTCCTAGGAGGAAGACATTTTTCTTGGAGAAAGGTTGTAACTTAGGCTCCATCTGCATGATAGTTTTAAAGCAGTTTCATACCACATCAAACTGTCACAACCTCCTCCAAAGAATTCTGGGAACAGTAGTTTCTCCTCCTTTTTATTTTTTTCTATTTTATTAAAGTAAATCAAACAAATCAATGCAACAAAAATATCTGCTTTCTCTGCACCATGCACTAAACCGGCAACCCTCTGGATGTTTTGGACTACAACTCCCAGAACCCACCCCCACCAGCCCAAAAACTATAGCCCAAAACATCTGGCGTGTTGAGCTTGGCAAAGGCTGTCTTAGAATAGAACCTCCCCAGCCATCTTCTGTAAGTGCACAGATCAGCAAGCACCCCTTATCTTCTGCAGAACACAATGTGAACAACAGCCTTCTAGGGCTGGGCCCTGCCTCACACTAAGGTTGCAGTCCATACACACTGGATCGGCCTGTATTTTTCCGCTATCCTTGTGTATGGGCCTGGTTCTGCCAAATTTATAGGGCGTGGGTAATTCTCTTTTGCTTCAATATTAAAAAGGCCTGGCCATTTCATGCCCTATGGAATGTATTTTATATTTTCCTTTCCTTTCCACCCCTATTGCGAAGCAAATTCTCACATACCCTGCTGCGGGAGGTATTTGGGAGAGCTGAGCTGGGCAAACAGGGCAAGGTGCAGCGAGGAGTCAGTTCCTTTCATCTTATTTTCTTTTCGTCGAGTCTCCTGCAAATCAGCACAAGGAGGAAGGGAAAGCAGATGGTGTTTATTACGGCGGACCGAGTGCGAGGAAAGAAAAGCGGGGAGACGGGGGGAAAGAGCATAGCCCGTCCTATTGTGCTCTAAATTAGTTGCAGGCCGATGGCTGGGCTGTGACAAATTCCATATGCTGCCGGGACTCATTGTTGTGTGAGAAAGGGCGACAATTTATCGCCAGCCAAGAGGGACAAAGGACTTTGCAGAGTCGAATGCCACTTTCATGGGATTATGTGTGTGTTGTGTGTACGTGCGGGTATTATTCATGTGTGTTTGCATGTACGTAAGAGATATTTGTGAGCTGAGTGGTTTTGGAGTGTTTTTCACAAAGGCCCATAATGGCCAACAGACTTCCATGAGAAACAGCTTCCCCACCATTATAGAGCTCCCCAGTCTGGTCATGTTTTGCCTCAGGAGAGGGCAATGTGCGTCCCCTGCTAGGTTTAAGTAGGGTGGACCTGAAGCGCCACAGGTCAGCCTCATGCCCTTATTGAGTGGCCCTAGATTGTAGGCCAAAATGGGGCAGCCATGTTTGTGGTCCGTACATCTTCCTGAAGTGCATCGTTAAACTGGAATTCCAGACCTTCCAAGTGTCCCTATTTTTCAGGGACAGTCCTGGATTTACAGAAGTCACCCTAGTTTCTGATTTGATCTCAGGTTGGGGGGCGGGGAAAGGATAGCGGGATCTAAGAAATTTGCTATAGGGACGTATGGATCTGAAATTCCAATACCATGCTGAAACGCTGTACAGTGGTACCTCAGGTTACATACGCTTCAGGTTACATACGCTTCAGGTAAAGACTCTGCTAACCCAGAAATAGTGCTTCAGGTTAAGAACTTTGCTTCAGGATCAGAACAGAAATTGTGCAGCGGCGGTGCAGGGACAGCTGGAGGCCCCATTAGCTAAAGTGGTGCTTCAGGTTAAGAACAGTTTCAGGTTAAGTACGGACCTCCGGAACGAATTAAGTACTTAACCTGAGGTACCACTGTACTGGAGGAAAGGCCCCTTGGGAATTTGGGACTCTGCATGAAAAAGTGTGGAGCAGTGGTGGCTTCAAGGTTTTCATGACAATCCCGGCATTTTCAGGGCAGTTGGAGGATATGATATGGATGTCAGAAGGTAGATAGCTTGGAAGCTACTGTGTTAGGCTTGGTCCTCCCCCTCCCCGATGGGGCTGCTGATGGTAGGGACCATTTTGTGCTCCTGTTTTTGTTTTGTTTTTCTCTCTTTCAGATGCAGCAGCCATTCTGTATTCTGCCACTTCCCGCACAGCAGCCATTTTGTGACTGGCGCCCACGCCACCCTCTCAAAATCCATAATGTGTCCAGTGGCCCCAAGCTTGAACCTGGACCGAGGCCTTCATAAAATGTATCTTCAAAGGTTTTCCATCTTTTATCTTGCCATGAGTTCTGGTCCAAGAATACAGCTGAGATGGTAGCCTTGGGCCCCTCAAATAAATGACAGGCTTCCTTCCTGTATTTTCTGAGCTTTCCCAAGGATAGGAGTCAGTTTTTAAGCCTGAAAGGTGTGTTGGCTCCCTCGGCCAATAAAGCAAGATGAGCGCCGCAACCCCAGAGTCCTCTGCGACTGGACCTAATGGTCAGGGATCCCTTTCCCTTTTAAAATCAGAAATATATAGCAAAATGTGTGAGAGGAATTCTACCAAAGTTCCTCAGGAGGAATGAAGCCACAGAAACACACATCCCATCGCATATCCTGGTCCTGCAAAGTCTCAGGTGTGATGACCAATTTGTTACTTTCATTTGATTGAAAATAGTTAATACATTAAATAATACATTAAATAATACATGAAAATAGTTAATACATTAAAATACTTGTTTCTTTAAAATGTTTAGAAAGCTCATATGGAGACTCTGGCTTCTTCATATTGATACACCTCATTCAGTTGTGCAGCTGGCCAGAAAATCCTTCTTTTACATCCTTCACCAACCTGAAATCCTCTGTTTTGGACTATAAAGAACTCCTATTGGTTCTGACCATTGTCTGTCTGTCTGGGAGAGATGTGGTTCAAAACATGTGGAGGGCATCTGGCACATATTTTTGGTCATGATGCGCTGCAGTGGCCTTCCATGAGTGAGCTATGCCTGGGTCCCTTCCTATTTTTACACAGGCCCTGTAGACGTGGATATTTCAGTCTGTTTTTAATTGATGCTTGCTGTTTGTACAGTTATTGCTTTATTTTCTTTTCAACTTGGAATGTTGTTTTAATACTGTCGTTTTAGATACTTGCAATAAAAACACACAAACACACAGAGAGTTTCAGGTTTTACATTGCATATTGCCTTGAGAATGTTTTGACCTTTAAAAGCTGTATAAAAGTACAGTGGTACCTCAGGTTACGGATGCTTCAGGTTAGACTCCGCTAACCCAGAAATAGTACCTCGGGTTAAGAACTTTGCTTCAGGATGAGAACAGAAATCATGCTCCGGTGGCGCGGCAGCAGCAGGAGGCCCCGTTAGCTAAAGTGGTACCTCAGGTTAAGAACAGTTTCAGGTTAAGAACGGACCTCCAGAACGAATTAAGTTCTTTACCCAAGGTACCACTGTATTTTAAATAAACATGGCAAACTTCCGTTAGAAAATGACCGCCAGTGTACTACATGACGCTATCGTGTTTCGGTGTGCCATTTATATACAGTGGTACTTCGGGTTAAGGACTTAATTCATTCTGGAGGTCCGTTCTTAACCTGAAACTGTCCTTAACCTGAGGTACCACTTTAGCTAATGGAGCCTCCTGCTGCCGCTGTGCCGCCGGAGCACGATTTCTGTTCTCATCCTGAAGCAAATTTCTTAACCCGAGGTACTATTTCTGGGTTAGCGGAGTCTGTAACCTGAAGCGTCTGTAACCTGAGGTACCACTGTAGTTGTGCATTTGGGGCAAAAATGCACACTCCCTCCCCCCCCCCCCCAATTTAGCTCTTAAGAAAACCGCAAAGGGAAGCAAGGGATTAACAGCAGAACAACAGCAACAGGAACAATTCACCTTTGAAAAAGAACCCCAGAATTGCCTCAAAAAGCAGGCAAGCATAATAATTGGCCAATGACAGAGACCAGAAGGCGGAGATTGCCACTGGCAAGGACAAGATAAGAGCCTGCTGGATCAGGCCAATGGCCCATTTAGTCTTGACATCCTGTCCTCACAGTGGCCAACAAGATGCCTGTGAGAAACCTTCAAGAAGAATCCAAGCACAAGAGCACTCTCCCTTCCTGTGGCTTGTTATTCAGAAGCATCGCTGCCTCCAAAATTAAACAGGGACCATCAGAGCATATACAAAGTACATGTATAATAAGGCAAGGCAAGGTGACGGGTGGGTTGCAAAATGACTCCATTCCTTCCAGCCACACTTCATCAGAGACGTGTAGGAACCACGCTTGGGTTCTATTTCAGGGCTTTGTCTGGAGCTCTCATTCTACTCAAAGCAACATTTTGCCAATGTTATCTGCACAATTTGCTGTTATACACAGGTGCGTCTCCCAGAGATGCATGTTGTTGCATAGATAAGTATCTCTTCCAGATTTTTATCTTCAGTCTCCTAATTGGGCTGGGAAGAACCTCACAACTTGCATGTGGGTAGTTGTGGGCTCACATCCAAAAGGCCTAACCAACCAGGGAATAGCACATCCTTTGTGAGTGGATTGGGATGAACAATACATGCCCAGCGGTTGGCCACAACCATCTACTCTCCCTTCCACTGGAAGCCAAGCAGATTTCAGATTATCTATTTTGCATCCGACATCAGCCACAAAGGTGGCTCTTTTGCAAATCGTCTTGTGAAAACAGCCGGGGTGGGTGGGTGTGTTTAGAAAGCCGAACCCACCTTTGTGTGAATGCTCAGGCAGGAGAAGCAAATTTGTTAACTCAAGAGTCAATGCAGGATATGGTAAAGCAGATCCAGCGGCAACGCTCCCAGAGGGCATAAAGTACGCTCCTTAGGGTTACATTTTAAAGGTGTCCTTAGCACCCTAAAATAAAAGGATTTCCACGATGGCTCACCTTAACAAAAAAATGCCCATTCTTGAATACTGCTGAAAAAGCAGTCATTTTAAGAGTGTTTCTGACAGTACCTTTATTAACACCTCCCAAAAACTTGTCTGCTGGATTAGGCCAATGTGTCACCTAGTCCAGCATCCTGTTCTCACAGTGGTCAATCAGATGTCTTTGAGAAACCCTCAATTAGGACCTGAGTTTAACAGCACTCTTCCCTCCTACAGTTTCCAGACACTGGCATTCAAAAGCATACTCCCTCTGACATGGTGGTAGAACGATATATCCATCAGGTGAGTAGCCACTGATATTCTCATCCCCCTTGAATTTGCTTAATCCTCTTTTAAAGCTTATAGTCTAACCAGAGTGTTGGACTTCTGACCTGGGAGACCAGAGTTCAAATCTCCACTCAGTGATGAACTAGGTGACCTTGAGCCAGTCACCCTTTCTCAGCCTGCTCAACCTCACAGGGTTAATACAAAGATGAAATGGGGAGCAGCAGAACCATGTACACCACCATGAGCTCCTTGGAAAAAAATATGGTATATAAATGCAATAAATAAAATTGTAAACACAAGACAATTTCTCTCCCTGTCTCCGCTCTCTTGTACCTATGCTGCCCTTTCCAAGAAGTTGCTGCTTTCAGATCCTGTTTGTGAGGTTCCAGAAACACAGCTGAACACATAAACAAACAAAACAAAAAGTTGGAATATAGATGGAAGTTTGGGGCCTGATGATTAGGCTAGATAGGTCCAGCAGGATAGTTTCTTAATCATCTTTGTTAATTAGCCTCTTAGTGTCCCACGTTTGCAAAGTACTTAGTTGCTGTTTTTTAAATGCAGTATTGTAGCATACAGTAGTGGTAAACCACATGCTTTGCAGATAAAAAGCCGTCTATGAGCCATGACAGCTACATTGTACCTCCACTGCTGGAAAGGAATACGCAACTGAATAAGAGTTACAGGGGAAACACAAGAGGGGCAAGTTCTGCTTTTGCACTCAGGTCCTGCTTGCAGGCTTCCCAAAAGAGGCATCTGGTTGGCCACTTTGAGAAAAGGATGCTGGACTAGTTGAGCCTTTGACCTGATCCAGTGGGAATCTTGTTTTCAATGCCCAGCATGTCCACCCATGAGATGACAGGCATGAAACCTCCTAATTAAATTATAACTAAAGATTGATATTGAGAGAACATAACATGAAGGAATACAACAATCACGTTCCGTAGATGTGGTCAGCAATGCATTAAGAACAGGTCAGGATACACTGTTTCATGAACTCAATGGGAACTGTTCAGAACATTCTCAGACTCTTGTGCAGAAGCAGAGAGATTATGAGCGAGACTTCCCAGAATGCAAGAGAGAAGAAGCAAATAGCAAGACTTTCCCACAATGCCACAGTTATGTGCAGTAAGAGAAACTGCAGAAAGAAAACTTCCCTTCACAGGAGAGACCGCAGCATTTGGAACATCAGACCAGGTGTGGGGGACCCTTCAGATGATGTTGCTGAACGACATCTCCCACCAGCCCAAGAAAGCATGGTCAATGTCCACGGATGATGCGATTTGTAATTCAACAACATCAGGAGAGCTGAAGGTCCCCCACACCTTCCCCAGAGGGAAGCCACAGCAACCTGAGCAGAGTAGATGGGCCACAGCCTGACTAAAAATGAAATCTGCTACATACATCCCAGTCAGCAGAGAAATGTGTGTTTTTCAGAAAAGACCTGCAAGTGATTAAGTTGTCTGAAATCAGCTGAAGAACTGCAAAAGGGCAGATGGAACCAAACATGGTTACAAGACTGTTCTGAGAGACTGGAATCTATCACCAAGGCTTCCAAATAAAAGGTTTCTGGGTGGCTTTGGCAGAACCCAGTCAGCTGCCTCTCAAAGCTCAATTGCAGCCGGGTTTGTTCCATTCCCCAGGCACAGCACAATCATATATACGTCAGCAACATTTGTTCCCAAGGGTCTGCTCAAGCTGTGAGACTGCAGAGCCTGAAGACTTCCATAAACTGGGGTATCTTCACTCTTGGCAGCTTGCATTCCAGCCCATGTTAGGAGACCCACTTCCACCTCTCTCTTCCTGGCCTTCCTATGCCCATTCATAAATCCTTCAGCCCAAGGAGACCCTAAGTCTGGGACATCAACAGCCACCCCAAAAGGGATGCACAGACAGGTTAAAGAACAATCATTTGGGCCATGGACCAGGGAGTTAGCAAAGTCAATCTAGTCTACAGTATGAGTCCAGCTGATTTTGCACAGAACAAGGAAGTGAGCTGAGAACACAGGAAGTTTCCTAATGCAGTCAGACCACTGGTTCATTTAGTTCAGTACTGTCTGCACTGACTGGCAGCAGCTTTCCAGTATTTCAGGCAAGGTACATTTCCCCAACCCTACCTGAAGAATGAACCGGAGACACTCTGCAAAGGAGACACTCTTTAGAGGTCATTCCTCTAAAAATAAAGATCTGAGGTCTCATGATTGTTACAAAACAGCTGACTTAAACAGTAAGGTGCCTTATACCCAAGTGAGATCACTGGTTCATCAAGCACAGGGGTCACCAACCTTTTTCAGCCGTGGGCCGGTCCACCATCCCTCACAGCATGTGGTGGGCCGGACTATATTTTGAAGAGAAAAAAAAATGAACGAATTCCTATGCCCCATAAATAACTCAGAGATGCATTTTAAATAAAAGCACACATTTTACTCATGTAAAAACACCAGGCAGGCCCCACAAATAACCCAGAGATGCATTTTAAATAAAAAGACACATTCTACTCATGTAAAAACACACTGAATCCCGGACTATCCGCAGGCCGGATTGAGAAGGCGATTGGGCCACATCCGGCCCACGGGCCTTAGGTTGCCTACCCCTGACCTAGCACAACAGTGCCCAAACTCCTTTTTCAGGCAGGAGGCAGTCTCAGCTCTATCTTGAAGTGTTGGGGATTCTCCACATTCTGCATGCAATGCAGGAGTTCTGCCACTAAGCTTTGGCCCTGTGGAAAGCTGAGAGAGAAAAAGCAACACTGCTTTGTGATAGCCATTTAATTTGGACACTCTTAAGGGAAGCAAGAAGAAGAAGAAGATGAGGAGTTTGGATTTGATATCCCGCCTTTCACTCCCTTTAAGGAGTCTCAAAGCGGCTAACATTCTCCTTTCCCTTCCTCCCCCACAACAAACACTCTGTGAGGTGAGTGGGGCTGAGAGACTTCAGAGAAGTGTGACTGGCCCAAGGTCACCCAGCAGCTGCAGGTGGAGGAGCGGAGACGCGAACCCGGTTCCCCAGATTATGAGACTACCGCTCCTAACCACTACACCACACTGGCTAGCAACTCTCTAATGATCAAGGGTATGGGAGGAAAAGGCTGGAAGGGAGTGCCTCTACCTGTGAGCTCCTAAACAATAGGTGCCAAAGATGCGGGGGGGGGGGGGGGTTGGAGCACATAGTGCAGCATTTAGAGCAGCAGGCTTTCAAGACCTGGCACCCAACGTTAGCCCAAGCATGCCCTTTAGGACTTGCTTTGTAATATTTTTACCATCTATCTGCATAGTAAACGGCCTCAACAGTTGAAAGATCAATGATTTAAACAGCTTTCTCTAGGACGGCGCCTTCTAAATGATTTGGACTCAAATTTCCATCAGTCCCAGCTAGAGCAGCAATGCTGCCTGGGGCTGATGGGAGATGTAGTCCAAAACATCTCTAGGGTACCAGCCTGGGACAGGCTAATTTAGAACCTACAGTCATACCTCGTTACGTTCGGTTCAGGTTACGTCTTTTCAGGTTGTGTCCTGCGGCAACCCAGAAGTACTGGAAAGGGTTACTTCTGGGTTTTGCTGCTCGCGCATGCGCAGACGCTCCAAATGACATCACGCACATGCACAGAAGCGGCGAATCATGACCCGCACATGTTCAGGTTGCGTTCTGCTCATGTTGCAAACGGGGCTGCAGAATGGATCCCATTCACAACCAGAGGTACCACTGTATTGTGTAACTCTTTAGCCGTGATAAGAAAAGGCTCCAAAAGCCTCTGCCACCAAAATTACACCCTTCGATTGTCAAAAACCTACAGACTCAATAAGCAAGTGTGGCTGCACTGCAGGAGGTAAAGATAGGAGACTTGAACAGCATCTTAATCTACTGCCCTCTGAAGGCTTCTTTCAGCCTTTAGTACGTCTTGGAAAGACAAGGAGCGATTTGCAAAAAAGACACACAGATTTAAAATCATTTCCATATTTTGTATTGAAGTCAGTGAAAGTGTGTTACACTTTTGTCAGGTTCATATTGTTGGATGAGTAATCTCCCAAACTAAGAGGGTTAAATCTTGGCAAGATTCTGAGGAATCTAGCGCAAGCCCCTTGAACCTCATGTGTTGGTCAAACACTTAATACAGAAGGCCAGGAGCCAAGAACAAAGTGACTTCTTTTTCTCTCAACTCAAAAGCAATGCAATGGAGGTAAGTTGCTCCAAAGCAGGAGGGTGGGGAGTAAAAAATTATGCTGGGCTAATGCAAGCCGCTTCCAGGAATTCTTTCCGATTCCACTGTTCTGAATAACAGCTCACATTGCAGGTTTACTGTGTTACCAGCTTCTTCCATCTCTGTTGTCTGACCATTCCCAGGAAATCCAGGTTGTTGCAAAAGCCATCAGAGCTCAGAGATTTCACATGGAAAATCACAAATGCTTTTATTACACTAGTTATTTGGAATAAGGAAGTTAAACTGAAATGTTTCATCCAGAAGGTATCATTCTCTTATATGCCAGCAAGCCCCTTCCAAAAGTTTAATGCACATGGTCAGATCTAATCAAAGCTAAGAGAGATCTTAGCCGCAGAGGCAAAACGTTGCAAGAAATTAAAACAGAAGACCACTGAAGAGAAATGCTAGCCAAGCAGCGATTCTGATAACATTGTGAATATATAGCACGAGCTGCTGAAATATACACACATCAACTTGAAAAATAATTCACAGTGACTCCAAGGGCATGAACAACTTTCTCCAGCTGAAGGGATTACCAGATACAAGCTGAAGGTACAAAGCATTGCCCATCTGGGAACGCCATGCGGATGTTACTCAGGAGCTGGCAGATTCTGGCAGCTTGTCTTGTGCCATCTGCTGTGTGGCAGCTGCCTTGCCAACCGAGTCCTACTTCTTTCTACCTCCTCTTTCTTTGAGTGCTAAGTGGATCACTGACCCGCTGGTCATGTTGTAATAAGCCAGAGAGTTGGAATCTTTGATGAAGATGCCCTGAAAAGACAAGACACGAGAGGGTCTCAACAGTGCTAAGCTTTGCGCTTGGCAAGGAAAACAAAACCCACCCTTTGCACCAGAAGGAAACCACAAGAAGCTGCCTTGCACAAAGTCACACAGTTGGTCCATCTAGCTCATCACTGTTACACTGACCAGCAGCCCCACCTGGAGATGCTGGGGACTGAATATGGGATTTCCTGCATGCAAAGCAACTGCTCTACCACTGAGTTATAGCCCTTCCTTCATATCTCAGCATGGAATGCAAATCATGGCATTTGCGATTTAAGGTTGAAAAAGGCAAGGGAACAGATAAGGCACAGGGCTGGGATCTTAAGACACTCAGGGTTAAGTGGAATGCTCTCCCCAAGGAGGTTCAGCTGGTGCCTTCATTATATACCTTTAGGCGCCAGGCAAAAATGTTCCTCTTCAGCCAGGCCTTTAGTTGATTAACATGCTACATACCCTTTTAAATGTGTTTGTGGGAGACGGTGGAGAGGAGAGAGGTTATTGGTTTGTTTTGTTCTTGTTTTTATTATTTATTATCTTTTGTATCTTGTATTTTTATGTTGGGAACCCTGAGATCTATGAATGAAGAACGGCAAACTAACTAACTAATTAAGGGCCAACGGGACCACACACCCACCTCATATTGGAGCTTTTGTTTCCCAGCAGGCATTCCAGTGGCCTCATGAATCTTGACCTTGATAACAGAAACCTAGGAACCAGAAGAAACCCACAAACACCTTCAATGAAATTGGGCACTATACAAGGGACTTGTACAGCACATGCTTGGGAAACATAACATGATAGAAAGGAAAAGGTTTGCAATGAATGTCATAAAAGGAAAGCTGTATCAATCAAGAGAGAAATGAATCAGGGAGCAGGGATGTCAAATGGTGACTCATCAGTTAAATCTGGTCAGGTATTTTACACCCAGGAATGGTAAAAGCTTTGCCTGCTGCTTCATGGTTATAAACAGCCACACATTGTTCTCTCTTTTAATGCCTGCTGTGCATCTTTACATGTTAACAGCATTATTATTATTATTATTATTATTATTATTATTATTATTATTATTATAATATTTCTGAGGTGCTTTTCCCAAGCTGGCTTATAGAAATATAAAATACATGTAAATATACAGTGTTTAAAACTAAGCAGTAAAAGAGCAATCCAATATTTAATACTAAACACACACACCCCATTAAAATCAGCAATATAAAAACTGGAAGAATATACAAGGAGCCTTTCCCCCCAAAATTAAAAACTGATGATCGGGAAAAGCAGCCCATTAGATGACATCAAATGCTTGAGAACAGAGGAAAGTTTTAAACTGGCGCCAAAAAAGACAGTATCAGCACCATGTGGGTCTTGCTGCGGAGTTTTTCTTTTCTACAAACAGGGAGCAACTCTCTGAACCTCTCCAGAATGAAGAGAGAGTTTGGTGTAGATCTTAATGCATGGGTAGATTCATATTGGGAGAGACATTCCATTAAGCAGTGTGGTGCTGAACTGCGTATACCTTATAGTACACTGATTTGGGCCTGGAAATGCACGGGCTGCCAGTAAAGTGCAGCCAGAACAGGTGTTAAAAGGTACAATCACCTGGCTGCAACAATTAATCTGGCTACTGCATTCTGCAGCAGCTGTAGTTCCTGAAGAGTCTTCAAGGGCCGCCCCACATAATCTAACATTTTTATATGTAACTCTCTGCTGCAACACCTGCACTCCACAAGTAGTAAGACAATATTTATAGATTGCGATGGTTTTATTAATGGCACCTGGCCACTGATAAAGATGGGGATCATTTTATGAAGCAAAATACTCTTTCCAAACCCCAGATAACTGTCTGAAGAGCAAAGCAGTCATTGACAACAGAGAAACTGGCCACCCATTGCTTGGGCCACATACCTGGTCAGAGAGAGGGAGGGTGAACACCAGCACCTGGCCATTCAGCTTCCATTCAGTCTTGTCCTGCATGTTAGGAACTTGAACTTTGACTGTGACTGGGCCCTAAGGGAGTAAGAAGAATTATACTGTTAAGGGGTGTGTGTGCTTAAGAACACAAGAAGAGCCTGCTGGATCAGGCCAATGGCCCACCTAGTTCAGCATCCTGTTCTCACAGCGGCCAACCAGATGCCTGTAGGAAATCCACAAGCAGGATTCGAGCTCTCTCCTGTCCTGTGGTTTCCAGCAACTGGTATTCAGAAGCATTACTGCCTCTGACTGTGGAAGCAGAGCATAGCCATTGTGGCTTGCAGCCATTGATAGCCATCTCCTCCATGAATTTGTCAAATCTGACAAAGGAGAAGAAGGGAGAACCAATGAGAAAATAGATAAAGAGACCTCTGCTTCTTCCTGGAAGGCTGCCCTTCCACCTTTTGAATTCCTTTCCCTTGCAAATTCCCCCATTCAGATTGCAAGTGGAGAACTTCAGGCTGGCAACCCAGCTTAATCGGAATGTGAAGGGTCGCTGATCACCCAACCCGCTAGAAGATTCCTCTGGCCTAAGATCAAAGCACCACTATTTATTTAAGCGCACACCTTGTTTCTGCGCAGGAATTCCTCTTCCGGCATCAGGTTCTCTTCAGATTTCAGCTTCTTGGAGGCCGGCTCATCATCCATGGGAGGTGGAGGGTGGACAGGAGGCATAGGGGCTGGAGCGCTCACTGGCGCCACAGGAGGAGCTGGAACAAAAGCTGAAGTGGGGGGGGGGGAAGAGTATTTATTCTGAAAGAAAATCACTAGTGTGGCGTTTGGAGCAAAAGACGTGGACAGAACCCCAAAGCAGTGGTGTCAAATGTAGAAAAAGCCTGGTATTATCCCATCTCCATTTCTGTTTGAGAAGGCAGCACAGGAAGCATGTGTGGAAGCATCTTCCAACACTAATCAAGGGCAAAACAACTCACTTATGAGCTTGCTTGCATGAAACTACTAAGGGGGGGGTATGTACCTGCTCCCCACCTCCCGCCTTTAGAAATAAGGTGATTTTATGTTTTTGGTGTATGCTAAAAACCTTTTCGTTCACCAAAGCACTTTCAGAATGGTGTTATTGGTTATGCATAGTACTAGTCACTGTGAAGGTGTGGAGTTGTATCGTTTAAAAAAAATGTTTTACTTCTCATGTATCAAATGCCTTTTATTCTTTTGAACGCAGCTTTAGTTACTTTAAAAATTAAAGCGTTTTATATGGGGTTTTTTAAAATGTAAGCAACAATTTTGCTTGATTTTTATAGAAAGGCAGGGTATAAAAATAGCAGGATTTTAATAATAAAAGTTTAATGGCTCTGGAGGGACCAGTGGCCTTTGCAATCTCCAATGGTGTCTGTCCCTGGCACCAGAGAGAAGTATGGATCCTTAAAATACATTTCCTGGTCACAAGAAGGTGGAATGGAAATCTCTTGAAAGAGTTACATTTGACACCATTGCCTTTAGGGAAAGAAAAGAGACCAAAAGAAAAGCAACAGTAAGTAGAAACTCCCAAGGCATAAAAGCTGTGTTAAAATGAGATTAGTTGAGCTAAAAAGCCTAGGAAAATTGTCAGCTTCTCCTATCCAAGCACTGCGAAAGTCAGGACATCACACCTGCTGGAACTCTAAGCTTCAGTGCTTCTAAGTAAGGAAAATGTGCGAATGTAGAAAGCTCTGCTTTGTAGCAATAAAATGAAGGTTAAATAAATGGGGCGGGGGGGGGGGGAGATGAACGCACCTAAACACATGTGATGCATCTGCTATCCCAGAGTAGGCTGAAGCCCCTTTCCTAGGCTTTGTTTCAGCTGCGTAGGAAGTTAATGCTAGTCGTGAGCTTTATGACGCAAGTATTGCTATGGTCAAGTTGCCCTTGTTTCCTTAAGGGTCCCCATGAACTATCCTGGGCTGCAACTGCAATGTGCCTGACCAGAAGTGTACAGCTGAAAATGAAATATGTGAATTTGGCCTTGCTCTGTTCCCTGGGTTTCAAATACTTGGGTCTGGCGACTACTTTCCACCCACGTTGTTGTTTTTAAAAAAATCACAGATCTTTCAACTCCACTGTGAACTCTTTCACTTGGAATTGCTGGGGTATTAAGCATTTAAGAGAATTTCAAAAATTTCAGACAAGAACACTTCCACGTGACAGCCAGGGATCTAAGTGACTCGACAGCATCTTATTTATGTACCTTGAGCTACTTATCTCAAACTTGGATGGCGGTCATTGAAAAGAGGGAGAGCCACACACAAAGCAGCCAAACCATAAAGGCGAGATGGGGGGGCAGGGCTTAAAGCTACTTTGCAACAACTATAGTGGGTGTGAAGCAACTGAAACACAGACAGAAGACTCTGGCTCTTTCCAAGGGCACAGAGTGGCTCTTCCTCTAGTCCTGCCTCTGTTTCTCTTGCAAAACAACCGTGTCTGGAGAACTGGCACCCAAGCTAGCATGCAGCCACAAGAATCTTTGAAGAGCGGCGACAATCAGGCCAAGTAGTCTACAAAAGGTCAAGAACTACTGACACACAGAGACGCACACCACAGCCAGAAATCCCCGGTACCACTCTGGACAGACAAGAGAAGTGAAGGCATGCAAATTAAGAGCTCGACTTGAAGGTTAGTGATTAGCTGAGTTACCTCCGAGGTCACAATGACACTTAAGAAGTTACCTGGACTGCTGACTGGTCCCTGTCTGTATCCTATATTGTAACAATTAAATATAATTAGTCAATGGCTTAGCTCACCTGAAACCTATGAGATAATAAAATAGTGCCTATTTAGATTTCATTATTTAAAACGGAAAACTCTACAGGAAAGCACAAAGGTTCCAGGCCGCTCCTTTGTCCCACACAATGGTCAAGAATATACTGTAATGTCGCAGAGCACACTTTCAACTTATTGGGTTCAAGAACTGGGGTTGGCAGTGTGTGCTTTTCCATACCTATGTGGAAGAACAGGTCTCTGATTTAGACAGAAAACTTGCAAGCCAACTCCTGTGTAAATGCAGCCAGTACCACAGTCTTTGTACATCAGTGAAACATCCTAGAGGATTGAAAATGCAAGATCTAGTCTACCCTCATCCCCATAGATGGTGGGAAGAATGATTTTGGGCCATGGAAGAAACTGAAAGCAGTCTGCCTCAGTTTCTCTGTGGAAAAGGGGCTATGGGTAGGAAAAGGTCATGGAGCATAAAAAATAGACTATGCAACAATTTTTAACCTTTCATGTGAGAAAAGGAATTGGAAGGCTAGGGAGAATGAAGATGAAATTCTGAGTTCATTTTGGGAGAGGGGAACAACCAATTTGGAACAAGGAGGAGGAATTCTGTTTCTGCCCAACATTTCCTCCCTTTTCTTTTCTAGACTTCAAACTTTTGGGAGAAAGGAGTCACCTGTATAACTGTTACCAACTACAGATCTTTTTTTTAAAAAAGGACACATGGTGATCATCACAAGGCAATATATAGGGTAAAGCTGTCACTGTGGCATCTTTCAAACCCAAAGATGTCACCAATTTTAACACAACTGTTATAATTCATTCAGCAAATGCAGTGACTAAATTTTAGCAGGGTGTTGACCTCCAGGGCTTAATTCCATTGAAGAAACGGCTTTTTGGTACGGAGAATCCCAATGAAGCCTGCAGAAACTTTTGATCAAAGACTTGCAGGTAAAGTGCAACTGCTTAACGCGGTACCTATAGGACCACTGAGGAAAATGCGCCAACAGAAGCAAATTCTGAGACCAGGAGCAATCCTGACCGGCTTCCGCAATTCCCAAAACTTATTTAGCCCGAGGTGAGATTGTTCATCACTGACCTGTTGGCACAATCATGGGAGGGGGCCGGGGAGCCATGATAGGCGGGGCCGAAGGGGGCATTGGAACCACGTTGATCCGAGGGGCATGTATGATTGGTGGCATCGGAGCAGCGATGACAGAGCCTGGAGGTAAGCGGACCACGGAAGTCATTGGTGGGCGAGGCATGACGGGAACAGCACTGACAACTGTTGTACGGACAGGTGGTGGCATCTAGAAGACGTAAGAACACAGGAAGTTGCTTTATGCTGAACCAGGCCATGTTGGCCCATCTAGCTCAGTGTGGCTGGCACAGACTGGCAGCAGTTCTCCAGGGATTCAGACAGGGAATTTCTCTCGGCTCTACCTAGAGATACTGGGGATCAAACCAGAGGCCTTCTTCATGCAAAGCCGGTGCTCTACCACTGAGACATGACCCTTCCCCAAGCAAGGCAATTCAGCTGACAAGACGCAAATTAAAACCTTTTTGGCAGAGGGAGCCAGAAGAAGTCCTCCGTTAAGCAGAGGAGCTTCCTATGGAGCAAGTGGGGCTTACCGAGGGCGGGCGAGGCACTGATGCGATTGGCGGAGCACTGGTTTGGATGTTTGGGGCTGACGAGAGGGGTGGGGGCTGGGGCATCTCATTGGGTTTGCTTGGACCAATCTTCTCCTTGCTGTCATCCTCTGGCACCAGCCCTTTGGCCTTATGGATAGCCTCAATCTGCTCCTGAAGGGTAATGTTGGCCTGAGCTGCCTGCTGAGTTCGGGCCATGCTGCCAGAGTGGCCATCCCAGGTCACCTAGAAAAACAGAAAACAGGTGAGTCTTAGTGCCTCTTGCTTTCACACTAACAAAAGTTAAGCCTTTTTAGCCTGGCTCCCTGCCATACCTTCTCTTCTGGTTTCTGGATCTCTTCTTCCCCAATTTTCTTGCCGATAGCTGTCTCTTCAACACCAAAAATATCGGTACGGCGCTCAGCCAGCTGTTTCAAGCTGCTTTCAATGTCCAAGCCTGGAAAGTATGAGTAAAATGGGAGAGTTTGCCATGGTGGGTTTTTTTTGTTTTTGTTTTTTTGTCCTTCAAGATAGGGCACTGCTCATAGGTTCTAAGCCATCTGTTGTCGCTACTCCCATAACATGGGCAAACAGAAAAATTTAGCCATCTGAAAATTTTGGCCGCCAAGATAGTGTTCTACCTTCTCCATTCACTACTTTGTCAGGGCTGTGGACAACCCAACCCAGACACAGGTTTTTATATATTTCTTATGCTTATAAAGCCCACTCTTTCATCAAAAAACTCAAGAGCAGCTGACAGGTGGTTGATCTACAAATGTGTAATTGTCGTTGATTTTAATTCTGTTTAGAATACAGTAACCCTGGTCACTTAGACTGTTATTTAGTGGTACGTACTGCATTTTGAATTATTACTATCATTTTTTCTTTTATGTACCTTTATTAGCTGCTGTGAACATCCCCGTTTGGAGAGGAAAATATGTTAAACATTTTACTACAGAATCAAATGAATTGCAGTGTAGTAAACACACCTGCCCCCAGAACGTCTTTTGAAATTTGATGCCTACCTGTCGCTTGATAGCTGTCCTCTTATAAAACTAAAGTTAATCCAACGTAATTCATTTATCTATTAATTTATTAACACTGAATGATTCTAATTATTTCAGAAGAGCATTTTAGTATCTGACTAGTTTCCTTCAGGCACGCATAAACATGTAATCAAGATTAACACAAGAAAAAAAAATGTTGATAAAAGACCACTAAAACCTTGCTGAACTGACCTGGCGCATAGACCTCATCATCGCTCTGCTTCTCCCGGAGAGAACGATCCCTTTGCTCCAACCAGCGGGGATCCAGAAGCCCAATCCGCATATGTTCTTGCATTTTGCTGGCAGGGATTTTCTCCCCCGTGATGGGGGAGACAAGATACTCATCTGGGGCCGGAGTTGGTGGCAAAGGCTTAGATGCTGGAGAGAGGAGAGTGAGAGAAAAGAGAGATATACAGTTAGAAATGTTTTACATGATCACTGGATCTGGAATGTAACCCATTCACCAGTCACAAAACCCCACTTGATCTTAACCCCAAGCTTACCTTTAGGGTCATAATCTTTCCTGACAATGACTTGGTCTGGAGTAGGAGGAAGAGGTGGTGGCATTGGAGTTTCTGGAGGTGGTGGAACTTTCTGACTCTCATCTTCTTCATCAGAGCCCTTCAAAATATTTTTTTAAAGTGAAGGATCATGAAACAGGATTCTCTTGAAAGGCTCAACTCAGTTTTCTTAATAAGAAGACAAACCAGGCTTAAGCAAGTCCCTTCCTCAATTTAAGCTGGCACCAGTTAGCTCAATTGGTTAGAGCATGGTGTCAATAACACCAAGGTCATGGGTTTGATCCCCATATGGGTGAATATTCCTGTATCGCAGGGAGTTGGACTAGATGATCTACAGGGTCCCTTCCAACTCTATGATTCTATCATACCTTTGGGGCTGGCTTGTTCAAGTGTTGAGCTTGTGAAAGGCTGCACTTCGAACCATCAACAGACTTGTGGGAATATGAATGTGCAGCATGTTATGCAAAGGACCCTTACGGGACTCGGACTAGACTGTTTTCAGAACCCTCTCTCATCCCTTGTAGGTTTACGGCTAAAGGACAAAGATCTTCTAAAACTTTTGGAACCTTTCCCCCACCACCAGACGTTAAAACTTGAGCCCCAATTTAAGTTCAGCAGAGCACGAAGGTCCAGGACACCAGCTATGAAGCACAAGGAACAAACTCTTATGAACATTACTTTACTGAGTATGGGGATTAAGAGATTCAGAAAGACTACTTTCAAGCTTCGCCACACCAAAAAGGCTTTCCCGCAGACTAACTGCTCACCTCATCCATGTCCTGCACTTGGGTATCCTGGTCCAACTGAGATGGTGCCTCCTCAGTCTTCTCTTGTTTCTCATCTTCATCATCTGACTCCACTTCCATCTCCACTTCTTCACTTTCGCCAAACTTCTCATAGCGCTCCTGGATGAGAATTCGAGCACCTAGCTCCTCGGGAGTGGTGGGAGGAGGGAAGTTCCCTGCAAAAAAGAGGGGGGCAGAATCATACCTTTGGTGAAACAGGTTACACAGCTGAAAAAAGCATCATGTGTCTTCCCTAGACAAGCTCCTTGTTAAGGGTCCACCTCAGTAGGAAGTGACTGGACTTATGGGCTGTGGGCTCTGTTAGCTTCACTTTTTTCTGATATTTGTGGGATTCAAGAAGCAGAGTTCAAATGCAGGTCTTGCTTGCTGCTTCCATATTATTTGCACCTGCTTTTCAAGTATATTACAGTCTTCTCCAGGACTCCCCGTCCAAGGGAGGCTCAGAGAATGATGACAAGGGAAAGAAGGGCCTTTTCAGTTGTTGCTCTGTGTGTGTGTGTTTTACCCAGCAAGATCCACCTGGTGCCTTTAGTGATATCTACTTGACATCACGTAAAGACATATATTCCTCCCCCCCCCCAGGCTTTTAATAGGCTTGAGAGCTTAATAAGTTTACTGCCCAAGTTTCCTGTGGATGTTTTGTGGGTTGATGTGTTCTGTTTTTGTGGTATAATGTGTTTATATTTATGTTTTTAAATGTAAGTAGCTTGGAGACCTTCGAGTAACAAGCAGCTAACTACAATAATAATGATAATGCTGCTGCTGATAATAATAATGATAATGATAATGATAATAATAATAATAATGATAATGATGATAATAATAATAATAATAATAATAATAATAATAATAATAAAAAATAAAGTAATATACAGAGGACTTTGTTGGAAAGGAGCTATATAGTGCTTCCTTGGAGGGATAACAGATGAGTTATTCAATATTTTCATTGAGTCTAAGTGGCTTTTCCCTTCCTGACATATGCACAGAGCCTTCTTATGTTGTATTCAATGAGGCTTTGAGAGAGGTCAAGCTATGCATTTCAGCAAAGTAAATGACCCAACCTTGCTCGGAGGGCTGGAAGTCCACAGTTTCCACCACCACAAAATCATGCCAATCGATCTGGGCATAAGCAACGCGCTCTCGCTCCTTTTCCTCCTCTTCCTTCTTCCGCTCTCGCTCCTGAAACTTGGCCCACTCCACTCTGTAACACGCCTGCACAAAGCATCAAGTAACTTTAAAAAAAAACCAGTAACTGTGTTTTTGGATACATTATTGATAAGCATCAAGGTCGACTGCTTTCAAGTGCCCCCGAAACTCAGCTTGAAGGCATTGACAAGGCCATATCCTCCCACTTCAGGTCATGGGAAGAGCTGGGTTGGTGGTAATTGCAGATTTTGGCTGGCTACCAAGGCTAGTTCAGATTAATTGGATCACTGCACTTAAGAATCTGGTGATGGTAGACTCATTTGAAAATTATACATTGTGGGATATTTTGAGAGGCAGTGTAGCAGTTAGCGTGCTAGACTGTGTCCTGGGTCCAAATCCCCACTCAGCCATGAAATTCACTGGGTGACCTGGGCCAGCCATTACCTCTCAGCCTACCTCACAGAAGGTTTGTCCCTTTGCAGGAAAGGTGAAATAGATATGCAATAAATAAAATAAAAAGGTCTTTGGTAGTAACGTGAAGTGATACAATCACAAAAGGAGAATCAAAAGTCCACCTTGCCTCTATTACAAATAAGGCCACTGAGATGTAAGACTGCAATCCTACACTTGCTTACCTAGGAGGAAGCGCCACTGAACTCAGTGAAGCTTACACCTGGGTAACATATATACCTCTATAGGACTGCACTATTGGCAGAAATCCAAAGCGATACAAAAGTGTTTTCAGATTATTTAAACCTAGCAAAGGGCAGTCATGTAAAAAACTCTTAACTGCTTACCTGATCCAATACTTCTTTGGGGTTTTCTGCCTCCTTCTTAAGTTTTATGATCAAACCCTTGGGTGGAATCAAGATCTAGGAAAGAAAATTCAATAGCTACTGAGACATCAGTTCCAGTTAGGGTTTTCTTCTTGCCCAAGCAATCAATAGTCTGCATTAAGAAAAGCTTGCAGTATGTATAATTTATGCAAAATAACTTTTGCCAGTTATTTTTATAGTTTATTCCAGGTTTGCAAGTCATAGTAATGGGCTGGGAGGTATGTGCGACACTTGAGGTCTTATTCATCCACCCACTCAGCTTCTGAGATATCAGCGGGAAACGCCGCACGTTTTCAAGCATATCTTAGCAGCCATGAGGACTAGAAACTTGTTTGTTGAGTTGTCAATGTTTCAAAGAAAAGCTTAATTCTGTGCTTTTTTCTCTCTCTCCAAGTCTATGCACAGCTATGCCTGAAAGTAGGAACACTTTAAGGAACAGTACATGTGCACAGGATGCAGGGAAGATGGCAACTATTTGCCATAATTGGCAAGGGATATAGCTATGACTTAGGCAAGCCAGCTACTGTTAGACAAAGCCTCCATATTTGGAGGCAGCAGTGTTTCTGAATGCCAGTTGCTGGAAACCACAGGAGGGGAGAATGCTGATGTTCTGCTCATTGGGTTCCCACAAGCACCTTGTTGGCCACTGTGAGAAGGACTAGATGGGCCACTGGCCAGATGATCTAGCAAGCTATTCTTATGTTTTTAACAAAAACAGAACAATTCTGCTATCATTGCCATTGCTTCCCCTGTTTGCTATGGAACAGATTTTGTTTTTATCTTGCCATGATCATACAAAGAATGTGCAATCAATATTAGGACACCTTAATGCCTGGGGCGTCCCTACTTTCCCCTCCAGGATCCTTGCAAGCACTTCTCTTCAACAGAGACAGGAAGTCTTCAAAGTTTGTCACTTTGAAATGCACATGTCGCTCTGCGTAAATAGCACTATCCTCCAGCTTGTTCAAATGAATGCTCCTGGCACCTGAGATTTGTTACCTTAGTGTACTGTTCAACCAGTTTGGTGAAGTAGTTGAAGAGACTGTGCTGCGGGCGCAGGAAGTCAAATTGATAATTCCTCTGCTCTTTCTGCATCAGCTGGGTGAGGAACTGCCTGCCGTTCCGAGCAACAAACTGGGCTGTCAGCTTTACCACGTCCAAGTCGAAGGCTGAGATCGAGGGAGGGTCTGCAATGAACTCAAATTCCGGAGGAGGCTCTTTCGGAACCACAGTTTCCTGAATCACCTGGGCTTGTACCTGCGGAAGGAACACAGAAATGGATCACCACTTATACCCAACCTCACTTAGGTGCACAGGTTAGGTGTCCCTGTATTTGCTGCTCTGTGGTTTAGAACCATTCCTAGCAAGCCTCTGCCAACCGGGTGCCCTTCAGATGGCTTGGCTATGTTGGCAGGGGCTGATGGTAGTTGCAGTCCAAACCATCTAGAGGGCACCAGGTTGGTGAAGTTTGTTCTTACCTCCACAGTGAGCTGGCATGGGGAACCTGTGGTCCTCCAAATGTCGCTGAACTACAATGCCCTTGGCCACTGACCCTGCTTGCTAGGGCTGATGGGTGCTGTAGGTAAGCAACATCTAGAGGGCCAAAAGTTCCTCACTTCTGCCAGTGAGGCATGAATGGAAGGAAAAGGCCAAGAGAAACTTGTTGGCAGTTGGCCTTCCCTCCTGCAGCACCATGAAAGATAAGAGACAGATGAAGACAAGAGAGGAACCGCTTACCTTTTGGGGAAGCTGCTGTTGTGCACTCTGCTGTGCCTGCATGACTTTGGGAATGGCTGCCGAGGGCTCCTGTGCCTTCCCTTCCTTGAACTCATTGACTTTGTGGCGATAGTAGGCATGGTAAGGATCGTTGGGGTTCAAGAAGTTAAATTTGGGATTGTTGATTTCATTCTGCCGGATACGGGCTTCAAACTCAGGACCATTTCTGGAAAGGTTATATAGCAAAAATCAGCACCAAACCAAAATTTAAAATTCCTCAAAAGCCACCAAGGACAGGCACAGTATCCAACCCACACAAAAAAATATTGCCAACCCTGAGTCCTCACTGCCTTTGTCCCTTAACACATTTGATTAGCTATGCATGCTGAGGCTGCCTCAACCACCCTCTTAGTTTATCACTGCAAGAAGCTAATATTCCAAGAGTCCAGTCTAGAGTGACCTACCTGGCTACAAAGCTGGCTGTCTTGTCCACAATATTCCGAACCTCTGGAGGAGGATAAATAATTCCCACCACGGGCTTGGCCGGTGTTGCTTCTTCTTTCGGTTCATCTTCTGGCTGCAATTAAAAGTGAATATGGCATAAAAAGAAAGCAGACCAAGGATCTTTCAAAAACCAGTTTGCTGAGGGGAAAAAATCAAGTATTCCCTCAAAGCAATAGTCTCTATTGCAGGATTCTTCTGTTGTGAAAGACTAAGCTAAACATCAAAGCCCCTTGTTTAAATCTCCTTAGTGGGATGGCTTTAGAAATGTAACTATCACCTCAGTTTCAACCCCCCATCCCACCCTTTCCTATCTTTCTGCCAGCAGATGAAGACTGTTTTATTCCAACATGCTTTGGGGGATGGTTTTTAAAGCAATTGTTGTTGTTTTTTAATAGTGCTGTGTTGTTTTCACTATGTGTTTCAATGGATCTGCTTTTATATTGTTTTAATTATTTTATAGTTTAGTTACTGTTAAACTATTATCTTAAGTATTATATTTTATATCTTAATCTTCTGCATTTTATCTGTGTTGTTCTAATTTGTTCACACTGCCCTCAGTATGGGTCTGGGAAAGAATGCTCTGTGTTTGTGTGTGTGGATAGATGTTTTGGCTTTTAATTATCCATGGCCTTTTAGAGTGGGTAGGATATTTTAATGAACCAGTTTTAATGTGTGCATGAATTCTGTTTTTAACCCGTTTTTCTAAGTGGCTTTGAGCCGTCATGGCAAAAAAGGGCAGCTTATAAATTTAATAAACAACCACATTTCCCATCATCACCAGCCAGAATGGCCAATGGCCAGGGATGATAATAATAATTTATTATTTTTACCCCGCCCATCTGGCTCCATTTCCCCAGCCACTCTGGTGGCTCCCAATCGAGTGTTAATAACAATACATCATTAAATATTATAAACTTCCCTAAACAGGGCTGCCTTCAGATGTCTTTTAAAAATAGGATAACTGCTTATTTCCTTGACATCTGATGGGAGGGTGTTCTACAGGGCGGGCGCCACCACCGAGAAGGCCCTCTGCCTGGTTCCCTGTAACCTCACTTCTCGCAATGAGGGAACCGCCAGAAGGCCCTCAGAGCTGGATCTCAGTGTCCGAGCTGAACGATGGGGGTGGAGACACTCCTTCAGGTATACTGGGCCGAGGCTGTTTAGGGTTGAGGGGAGCTGGCCGTCACGCAACCTGTGAGGGGCATTCTCCATTCCCCACTTTAGAAAATTCCCAGACATTCACGCATCCGCGGGCTGCAGACTACGCCTCCCAGCATGCACCGCTCTCGTCCCGCAAGGCATCCTGGGAGGAGGACCTCCCCCTTCAGGAGGCCTTGGACATTAAAGGGGTTGGGGGGGTGGAAAGATGAAGGAACCTCAGAGAGTGGGCTTCTGCTAAACGGACTAGGCCGAAAATTACCTGTTTCGCTTCAGGGGGCGCTGGCTGGGCAGGCGCCATCGCCTGCACAGGCCCGGCCGGCATGGCGGCTCTTCGCTCCGACGTTAGACGCGCGGCGCTCAACAAAACACCGAGCTCGGCGACAAAATGGCGTCGCCGTCGGCCGTGGCTGCGCGCGCACGCAGAGCGGTCACGTCAAAGGAAGGAGGAGCGGTATAAATATGGAGGTGGGGCTGTTTGGCGCATGCGCGTTGTCCTCTTCGAGTCCGTTTGAGGCACAGGAGACGATGAGAGTCTGCGGCTCCCCTGATTCTTCACATAAAGTTAAGGCAAATACTTTCAGAGCCTTTAACCTAGACTTCCGGTCCCCAGCCCATTATTTGTTTATGTCCTTCCAAATCAAAACATGATTTTAAAATAAAATAAAGGATACACCTGACCTATGCATGTTTACTCGAAAGTAAGTCTCATCCTGTTCTAATATAAGGCACAGTAATAGATGAGTTTCACCCTGAGGGATGTCAAGGGAACACCTCCTTCCACCCAGCACTCCGTAGAGAATCCTGGCCAATATCGTTGTGAGCGGGGGCAAATGCGATTATTATTATTTTTGCATGCATCTGATTTTTAAAAACAGTTTGTCAGACTTTTTACGTTTTTGCATTCTCTTTCTCACATCCCCCCCCCCTCCCACCCGGATTTCGTTCTGATCTAGCGGCCCAATTATCTAACTTTCATGCATCTGATCAAGGAAACTCTGCTATCGCAGTATGTACATCCCTTAGGTCTTTAAAATGCCACAATAAATATCTTGGATCTTCGAAGTGTCGGAAGACACTTGGACATCCCCCTGCCCTCCCGGATTCCTTCCCTAAGATGGCTCCGCTCTGCATAGAGCGACTGGTCAAACGCGAACCGAACGTTTTGTGAAACACAGGTTTTCCTAAATCTCTATAGAGAAGGCAGGAGGGCGGGGCTTATCGGCTGAGTAGCAAAGAGGGCGGGGCTTATCCGCTCAGTTGCAACGGGGGCGCGCCTAAGAAGCTCTCGGGGTTGCCATGGCAGCGGCGGCTTGGGAAGAGCGGAAGAGCCTGGCTGCGGCGGCGGCTGTTTGGCAGGTGGGTCTTGCCCACCTCGTCCCTCCTTTGGGCGGGAAGGTGAGGAAGTCTATTATTCTCGCCAGCCTAGGCTACTCGTGGCACTGCACCCCAGTCAGGACCCTCCTCCCATCAACCCATCTGGGCGGAGATCCACCCCCCCCGCAATAGGGACCCTTTAATGGCACTTCAGCAAGTGTGTGTCTGAGCATGTGAAGAGTGCCTTCCTTCCTTCCTTCCACCTCCTCCCACCCCCAGGGGTGCTGTTAACAACCCTAACAAATCATATTTAGCATTTATAGGAAATCCTAACCTAGTACAGTGGTACCTCAGGTTAGATACACTTCAGGTTACATACGCTTCAGGTTACAGACTCCACTAACCCAGAAATAGTGCTTCAGGTTAAGAACTTTGCTTCAGGATGAGAACAGAAGTCGTGCTCCGGCGGCGCGGCAGCAGCAGGAGGCCCCATTAGCTAAAGTGGTGCTTCAGGTTAAGAACAGACCTCCAGAACGAATTAAGTACTTAACCCGAGGTACCACTGTATGCACAAAGGTATACAAAGGTGGCGCTGTGGTCTAAACCACTAAGCCTCTTGGGCTTGCTGATCGGAAGGTCGGCGGTTCGAATCCCCGCGAAGGGGTGAGCTCCTGTTGCTCTGTCCCAGCTCCTGCCAGCCTAGCAGTTTGAAAGCACACCAGTGCAAGTAGATAAATAGGTACCGCTCCAGCGGGAAGGTGAACGGCATTTCCATGCGCTCTGGTTTCCGTCATGGTGTTCCATTGCACTAGAAGCGGTTTAGTCCTGCTGGCCACATGACCCGGAAAGCTGTCTGTGGACAAATGCCGACTCCCTAGGCTTGAAAGCAAAATGAACGCCCCAACTCCATAGTCGCCTTTGACTGGACTTAACCATCCAGGGGTCCTTTACCTTTAGTATGCACAATGTCCTGAGAATTGGTTTCCTTGTGTGAAGGTTGCTTCCTAATAAAATGTGTGTAGGAGGATTGCATCCCATATTATACAGTAGCATGCCTGCCAAATGCTAGTTTTTAGAGGCCGTCTCTTCAGGTTGCAAGATGCAGCACAAATTTAGCAAGCAGGGAGCAAATTAAGTTAATCATGCCTACTTTGCAAGTTTTTGAGACTGCTGACAAGACAATGTGTTTTGTACACTGCTATAAAGTAATGGAGAAAAATAGTGTTTATTGGGGAAATTTATGCTGCTGCAAACTCTAGTGGCTCACAATTTTTCTGGTTGTACAACCTAGTGAAATCAGGGTTAGGGAGGAATGTGGCCTGGGGAATGTTTTGAGAGCTGGATAAGGGGTGGCTGAAAGGCTACATTCAAATCTGAGGCCGCAGGTTCCCCAAGCTTGTAATACGGTTGGGGCATGATTTGTAAGGAACTCAGGAAGGAAACTTAACCTTTCCCCTCTTGCGACTTTCCCCCTGCCTTGACTAGCCTGATGAAGGTAGGTGGTCTTGCTTGTACCTTTCCCAGGAACATCTGCCCTAAGACCCGGTTGGTGGTTGGTGGAATGACATCAGCGTGGCAACATGGTGACCTTGCTGGTTAACCAAAACTACATGGAGAGTCTGCGGAAGGACATCACAGATCTGCAGGGAACCGTCCTCAGCGTCTTCACCCGAGCCGGGGCTGTTCGCTACCCGTCCTGGAAGTTTCCTGATAAGTTGTCCTGTGACCTGGACTTGGTTGCTTTGCTTGAGCACTACGACTTTGCACAGAATGACCCTGAGTTTACCCATCATTCCCACGTGGTTCTTCTGGAACTAGTGATTGACAGGTGAGGGTAGGTCCGGCGGTTCTGCAATGATTCCTTGTTGAGCCACTCTTAACTTGGAACGGAAGTAAACCCCAACGAATGTGCCAGGTTTTGAATTAGATTACTGCATCCATTATATATGTGGGAATGTTGTGGATACTTGGAGAGGATATATTGATTAAATGTTATCCTTCCTAACTCACACTAGTGAGTCACACACACACACATATACCGTATTTTCCCCGCTATAACACGCAGATTTTTTCTCCTAAAAAGTAAGGGGAAATGTCTGTGCGTGTTATTGAGCGAATGTGTGGTCCCTGGAGCTGACAGGCGCGAGTGAAGGCAAAAATCAGGCAAATATCAAATCCTCCGGAGAAGGGAAGCCTTGAAAAGAAGAAGCTGCTGCTTTCCTGCATTCTGCCTCAGGGTCTTACCGCCCACCCGCTTCTGTTTCGATACTGTGTTTGCTCAAACGGAACAAAGAGCAGAGAAAACCCCTCCCCTCCAGGCAAGCAGAGGGGAAAGCAGAGCGTCCTTCCTTCTAATTCCTCTCAGTGCTCCGGTGCTGCTGCTGTGTCTAGGGACTCGCGGGCAACATGCAGGTGGGGGGGGGGAGAGAGAGAGAGAGAGCTGGCTTGGGTGGGTGGGGGGGGAGCTTTTGCCTTCCTTTCCTCCCTCCGGTTAAACCCCTCTCCTGCATTCTTAGCCAGCTGCTTCTCCGCACACCCCTCTCGGTGCTCCTTGTCCCTTCTATGTTTTTCCTTCCCTCCCCACTGAAAACGTGGTTATAAAGCATGGATCCACATGGATCCTCAGGATCTTTGCATTGGGTCACCCCAAATTCACCATCAGATCACATAGCATGTCCATGGCTACAGCCTGCACGAAAAAAATCACGCACCCACTGTTGCCTGGGGCTGCAATGGTGCAAAAACGTGGTTACAAAGCACAGATCCACATGGATTCTCAGGATTTTTGCATTGGGCTACCCCAAACTCACCGTCAAATCACATGTCTGTGGCCACAGCATGAAGCACAAAAATGATACATCCACTGTTTCATTCAGAATTTTTTGTTTTTGTTTTCCTCCTCTAAAAACTATGTGCGTGTTATGGTCAGGTGCGTGTTATCGAGCGAAAAATACAGTATATAGCAGAGCTCATCCCCCTTTACACAGTAGAAAGCTGGTTGGTAGATTTGTTTGAATCTCTTTACTTAAGCAATCCAATCTGGCTTTGTTCAGATTGGAGTATATTCCTGGTAAGACCCCTTTTATCCCTCCTAAAAAGAATAAAGACACAAGAAGCTTCTTTTAAAAGTAGTAAGAAGTTTACTCACATTCAGTTCACAGTTGGATTCCTGAAGGCAGGCTTTAGCTTGTAGTTACAGATACAGTGTGGCTTACATCCTTGTAAGGATGGGCCCATGTGCTGCTGGTAGAGAGCCAGCAGTGAAGTCCAAGAGAAGAAAAGGCATCAAGAGAGGAAGGTAGCTGCGAGACTTACCTTTTGTGAGATCTCCAAGGGTCATGCCCACCTACCTGGTCACATGCAGGGGGAAGATGCTCCAGACCAGGTGTAACAGGAAGTTCAACTGGCTGGATCAACGTCCCCATCTGTGTCCACTCTAGGCAAACAGGAAGTGTTGTACTTGACTGCTTATGTTATATCCCACAGTATATGGGGTTTTCTTTAAAGAAGAGGGGCTGTAGCTCAGTGGCAGAGCAGTGCCAGGTTCCATCCCTAGCACCGCCAGGTAGGGCTGGGAGAGACCTCTGTCTGAAAACCCTGGAGAGCTGCTGCCAGTCAGTGTAGACAGTACTGAGCTAGATAGACCAATGGCAGCTTCCTACAATCCTGTCTGGAAACTTCAGCTGGCTCAGAACACATTTGAGGGTGTGGTGGTTGGTTTTGAGAACATTTTTTGGTCTGCTGCCAGTAGCTGCTTTGGGCTTCCTTTCGGAAAGAAAATTGGGGTTCAAAAGCAAACTACAAAACTAAAGCAGGATGTCCTTTCTGTCCTCTGAAGGTTGCTGCTGCTGCTCCAAAGCTTCACCAGATACACGGAGAACCTAGTCAGTGAACAAGCCATGCCCCCATCCAGAACAACAGGACCATGCATGTCTATCGGGCTGGCTGTGAAGAAGTACTGGAACAGCATGCTGAAATTGGGATCCCTCTACCAGCAGCTGGCTTCTGAGGTAGGCTGCCCTGCATGCACACTGGAGGAAAACCAGTCTGCTTCTGCATGCACACTGACCAAATGTTCCTCTGGCCAGTTAGGTGTGGTTTATCTCCCTTCTCCAAGCAGTGGGAAAGTACCAAGAATATTTCCATGCAAATCTGAAAGCACCAGGGAAGTCTACTGCTGAAAGACGACCCCCCCCCCCCCGAAGATGCAGGGCTGGCTGTACAGGTGCTTGAGGTTCCAATCTGATCTTCTTCTTTCTTCTTTGGCGATCACTCGTAGCTGAGTAAGATTGTCTTCCATAAACACGGTTTTAACAGTGAGTCTGTAAGTGACTGTGGAGGCTAACTCTGGATCCACATATCCTTCCACAGTGGGGACATAGGTTTCCGGGTGGGAGTTAACCACGGTGAGGGTTTGCCAAGCGTGCCTTCCTCTTAGCACATTTCTCCCTTCTGTCCTGAGTTTGAGCGTCTTCAAAGTCCAAGATAGCTTGGTAAAGGCTGTTCTCCAATTGGAGCGCTTGCAGGCCAGTGTTTCCCTGTTGTCGGTGTTTATACAACATATTTTTAGATTTGCCTAGAGAGAGTCTTTAAACCTCTTTTGTTGACTGCCAGCGTTACGCTTTCCATTTTTAAGTTTGGAATAAAGTAGTTTCTTTGAAAGACAATAATCAGGCACCCAAACATCACCAGTCCAATGAAGTTGATGTTGAAGAATCATTGCTTCAACACTGGTGATCTTTGCTTCTTCCAGTATACTGGCATTAGTTTGCCTGTCTTCCCATGTGATGTGTACAATTTTTTGTAGACAGCGTTGATGGAATCTTTCGAGGAGTTGGAGATGGCAATACCCACCTGTCAACATAAATCACGCACTTAGGCTGTAGTCTCAGGCTGTCAAAATCAGTGACAGGGAGGTTTGCTGTTTCACAGGCTGCAGGATTGCCCTTTACAGCAAGGATGGGGAATGTGTGGCTCTCTGGATGTTTCTGGACTACAACTCCCATTATCCCCGAGTCAACCAGTAGCCTTGCTGGCTGGGGCTGATGGGAGCTGGACTTCCATTGACATCTGGAAGGTCGCAGGGCCCCATCCACGCCTTGTTGTGTTGATCACACTACAGCACCATAAAGCATTGCAGGTATCCAAACAGGCAGGCAAGATACAAATGATCTTCCATCATAAGCTCAGTGCTGGAAAAGCTCCTTGAGCACTTCTACGGGTGGAAAGGTGGGGTCAACCATTTCTGCTATCAGCACAGGCCGAGCTGCCGTCATTTGAGTCCTTGGGAAGAGTTAAGAGTCACAGTCACAAGGGCATGTGGTAATGGCTGCCAACATGCATGGCTTTAAAAGAGGGTTTGACCAATTTATGGAGGATCATCAGGCTGTCGGTAGCTGCTAGCCACAATGGCTATGTTCTCCCTCCAGTGTCTGAGTCAGTACGCCTCTGAATGTCAGTTGCCAGGAATCGCAAGTAGGGTGGGGGCTCTTGCACATACACCCTGCATTCATGCTTCACATTGGGGCATCTAGTTGGCCATGGATGCCAAACAAGATCTAGCAAGTCTCCTTTTACGTTCTTATATTTCTTATGTTCTTAGTATCAAACCATGTCTGATCACAGGACATGGGTGGTGCTGTGGTCTAAACCACAGAGCCTAGGGTTTGCTGATCAGAAGGTCGGCGGTTCGAATCCCCGAGACAGGGTGAGCTCCCGTTGCTCGGTCCCAGCTCCTGCCCACCTAGCAGTTTGAAAGCACGTCAAAGTGCAAGTAGATAAATAGTTACCGCTCCAGCGGGAAGGTACCGTATTTTTCGCCCTATAGGACGCACCTTTTCCCCTCCAAAAATGAAGGGGAAATGTGTGTGCGTCCTATGGGGTGAATGCAGGCTTTCGCTGAAGCCTGGAGAGCGAGAGGCGTCGGTGCGCACCGACACCTCTCGCTCTCCAGGCTCCAGGAGCTATCCGCAAGCCTTGCGCACCCGGGGAGTTCCCCGGGCGCGCAAGGCTTGCGGGTGGCAGCCTGCAGCACAGGGGCGCCCTCCGGAGGATGCCCTGTGCTTCACGCAGGTGTCCGCAAGCCTTGCGCGCCCGAGGGAACTCCCCCCCGGGCGCGCAAGGCTTGCGGGCGGCAGCCTGCAGCGCGGAGCACGGGGCGCCCTTCGGAGGACGCCCCGTGCTTCGCGCAGGTGTCCGCAGCCTGCCGCCCGGCGCGTTTGGGCGCCCTGAAGCAGAGCGCCCCTCGCGCCAGGCAGACATCGGCCAGCCCCACAAGCTCGGGGGACAGCGGGGAGGCGCAGCGCCGCCATCCCACTGTTCCCCGACCTGGTTTTGGGGGGGAAATAAAGGGAATTTTTTTTCCCTTTATTTCCCCCCCAAAAAAGTAGGTGCGTCCTATGGGACGGAGCGTCCTATGGGACGAAAAATACGGTAAACGGCGTTTCTGTGCACTGCTCTAGTTCCCCAGAAGCAACTTAGTCATGCTGGCCACATGACCCGGAAGCTGTACGCTGGCTCCTTGGCCTATAGAGCAAGATGAGCGCCGCAACCCCAGAGTCATCCGCAACTGGATCTTAATGGTCAGGGTACCTTTAGCTTTACCTTTACCTTTATGTCTAATCACAGCACATGCCCAAACTTCCTTTCCCCCCCAAACCTCTCCTGTGATCCTCCCAAAATAAAATAAAAACCTGGAAAGTTAATGCCGCCCTTTCTCTTTTATACCTAGAAAAAACGCAGCAGAGAGGATGCTGTTGGCACAAATGCTTCCTTCCAGGAGGCGAAAGCTGAGAACGAGTCTTTAAAAATCTGCTTCTCGGAGTCAGATGTGACTTTGCCCAGCTTTCGGTCCTCCCCTTTGACCTCATCGGCCAGCAGCAGGCTGCTGGACGGTTGCCCCGCCACCTCCTCAGAGGCACCGCCAGCCCAGGGGGCCGCCAAGCCCATCTGCAGCACCCACTGTCAGACCATCGAGTCATCCCTGGTGCCTTGCGACGCGTGCGAGAGAGCGCAGCTCAGCCTCCGGGAAGTGGGCAGCGCCATCATCGGCATCTGCAACAGCCAGAACCTCCCGTCGTCTCTGAGCAGGTTCCTGGAGATGGTGGAGGAGACCCTGGGCCGCAAGCCACTCACGGCTGTGGACATCAGCTACTGGGCGTCCGAGCAAAGCAAGGACCTCTCCCGGATCAACAAGCACCTCCGGAAGCTAATGGAACTTATCAACCCTCTGAAGGGGGAGCTGGAAGAGTCCGAGAAGCAGAAGGGCGAGCTCAAGAGGCAGCTGGAGACTTTTGACAGCCGCCTTCAGAAGGAAAGAGAGGAGCAGGAGCAGAAGAGGAAGGAGGCGGAGCAGGCATTTGAAAGAAGGAATACGGAGAACCTGCAGATGATGGCCACCCTGCGGATGGGCAAGGAGGACCTCCAGAAAAGTGAGCATCCTTCCCGTCTCTTTCTTTCAGCCAGCTCACATCCACGCCATGTATTTAAAGCAAATTTGTACCATTTTCATAGCCATGGCTTCTCTCAGGGAATCCCTGGGAGCCAGTGTGGTGTAGTGGTTAAGAGCGGTGGACTCGTAATCTGGGGAACCGGGTTCGCTTCCCCGCTCCTCCACATGCAGCTGCTGGGTGACCTTGGGCTAGTCACAATTCTCTGAAGTCTCTCAGCCTCACTCACCTCACAGAGTGTTTGTTGTGGGGGAGGAAGGGAAAGGAGATTGTTAGCCGTTTTGAGACTCCTTAGGGTAGTGATAAAGAGGGATATCAAATCCAAATTCCTCCTCCTCCTCCTCCTCTCAGAAGTGAAATTCTATGTCACAGACTGGCTGGATGCTGAGGAGTGGTGGGAGGCAGCAGCTAGGGAATCCCCAAGGGAACCCCCAGGGGATTGGAGTAGGGTGAGTGGTCAGAGGGAGCAGACTGGGGGAGGGAGGTGTCAAAAGCCAAAGAGGCAACAGGGTTTTAGTGAGCAGGGAGTCCGTGGCAGAGAGAAGTCCAGCATCAGAGGCAGAAGCAGAAGCTGGAGAGGAGCGGGACAAAAATTCTAGCACTTCTCATGTATGTTGCACATAGTCGTATCTCGGCTCCCGAAAGCCTTGGGATTCGAACGTTCCAGCTCCTAAACGATCAGAAAAACGGAAGTGAGTGTTCTGGTTTCTGAACATTTTTTTGGGAAGCCGAATGTCCGGCGTGGCTTCCGCTATTGTTTCCGGTGCACCTGCGAAATCGGAAACCAATTGGAAGCTGTGCCTTGGTTTCCGAACATTTTGAAAGTCAAACGGACTTCCAGAATGGATTCGGTTCAAATTCTGAGGTACAACTGTATAGTCAGTCCTATCTTGAAACCTGCCCTATGGGTGTTTTTTGGACTCCAACTGTCAGGCAGGTTTAAGGGAGCGCAACTGGTTCGGTTGAGTTGCACTAGGTGTGGAGCTTTGGAGGTGCCACAAATATATTGTAGACAGGAAAGTGCAAGGCGGGTGTGTGTGTGCGTGCTAAATTTTGGCATTGCACAGGGCACCGCTGAAATTTGAGACCCCAAGGACTGTGACTGTCAACAGCTACAGCCAGCACAGCCAGTTGTCCGGAAAGATGGGAATCATAGAATCATGATGGAAGGGACCCTGTGGACCATCGCGTCCAACTCCCTCCAATGCAGGAATGTGCAGCTATCCCTTACGGGGATTAAACCTGCAATTTAGGTGTGCAACATCATCCGGAGGGCAACAGGTTGCCCATTCTCCATTCTGATACCTGCCAGGCTGTGGCTGCGCATACGTATCTTTAGAGCACACGGCTTCCCCCAAAGAATGCTGGGAACTATAGTTTACCCCTCAGAGAGCTACACTCCCTCAACAAACTATAGTTCACAAGACTCTTTGAGGGGAACCATGTCCTTTAGATGTATGGTATGGATGTGACCCCAGTCTGTCCCAAACCTTTGATTCCGAAGGGCTCCTGCGTTTCCGTCTCAACAACGGGCTGTCAGTGCAGACACACCGAGCTACATGGATCGATGGGTCTGGCTCAGCATAAGGCAGCTTCCTGTTTTCCTCTACGGTCCTTGTTGACCGGTGACATTGTTTGACTACTTCCAGAAGCTGCTGCCTTGGAGCAGAACGTTTCCACCTTGAAAGAGAAGCTCCAACGGCAGGAAGACACCATCCAAGGGCTGGGTAAGAGGAACACCAGGCAGCATTTCATACAGGCCATTCCCAAGATTCAGAACATTTAATGTAATTTATTTCACAAAATACACTGCTTGACTGTAAAAACTAACAAACCGGTATCTTGTTGCAGTCCTGCTAACTGTCCCAAATAATAGACCAGTGTCATTTTCTCTGTACTGCAGATGGAGGAAAGAGGGATCATAGAGGTATAGAACTGTAGAGTTGAAAGGGGTCCCAAGGGCAATCTATTCCATGCCCCTGCGATGTAAGAATCACAGTTAAATAAAGCTGGGCAGATGGCCAAAGAGATGTCAAAGAGATAAACAACTACCTAACATTTAGAAGACATCCAAAGGCAGCCCTGTTCAGGGAAGTTTTTTAATGTGTGACATTTTACTGTATTTTTAATCTTTGTTGGAAGCCACCCAGAGTGGTTGGGGAAACCCAGCCAGATGGGTGGGGTACAAATAATAAATGATTATTATTATTATGGCCATCAAACCTTGTTAAAAATGTCCTGTGAATGAGAGGCTGCCACCTTCCAAGGGAGTCTGTTCCACTGTCCTTTTGCCATCGAGAAGTTCTTCCGAATGTTTCGTCAGAAACTTCTTTCTTGTCATTTGAATCTGGTGGTTCAGATCCTACCCTCTGGAGCAGCAGAAAACAAGCTTGCTTCCTCTTCCACGTGGAGGCTGAGAGAGGGTAGCCAGCCCCCTCCCCAGCCTCAGGTGAATACCTGAAGGAGCGCCTCCGCCTCCGTCGTTCAGCCCCGACTCTGAGATCTAGCATTGAGGGCCTTCTGGCAGTTCCCTCCCTGCGAGAAGGGAGGCTACAGAGAACCAGGCAGAGGGCATTCTCGGTAGTGGCACCCACCCTGTGGAACGCCCTCCCATTAGACGTCAAGTAACTATACAATCTTTTGAAGGCATCCTAAGGCAGCCCTGTATAGGGAAGTTTTTTAATGTTTGATGTTTTATTATGTTTCTGGATATGCTGCAAGTTGCCCAGAGTGGCTAGGGCAACCCAGTCGGATGGGAGGGGTATTATTATTATTATTATTATTATTATTATTATTATTTTCATCTTTATTATTATTATTAATTGCCAAAGTGGTCTATAGCGGGGAGCCTTTTTCAGCCTGCTGAAAGAATGAATGGAAATGCTACAGCGCTTATTTCCAAGTAACTGTGTTGGATTGTGGCCACTGCTTTTTGCCATTTAACTTTGAATGTACAGCCGTACCTTGGTTTTCGAACGCCTTGGTACTCGAACGTTTTGGCTCCTGAATGGCGCAAACCCAGAAGTGAGTGTTCCGGTTTGCAAATGTTTTTTGGAAGCCGAACGCCCGACACGATTTCCGCAGCTTCCGACTGAGTGCAGGAAGCTCCTGCAGCCAATCGGAAGCTGCGCCTTGGTTTTTGAACCATTTCAGGAGTTGAACAGACTCCCGGAATGGATTAAGTTCAAGAGCTAAGGTACCACTGTATTTAAGAGCCAGCCTCTGGGACCAGTCTGACTCTTGCTTCCTTGCCTGAAATCTGAAATTGCAAACCACTAGTGTGCGACATGCTGCTCTTGAGCTTTTGTGCATTCCCCAGAGCGAGCGAAGCGCGAGCTGTTGCAGGAGTTAAGGGAGACGAAGGTGTGCAAAGCAGAGGTGGACAAGCTGAAAGACCAGCTTGGGGTCCTCACGAGCCAACTGGAGAGTACCAAGCAGCAGCTGAATGGGGCCATCACTGAGCTGGAGAAGGAGAAGGCCAAAGCTGAGAGCGTGCTCCGGCACAAAGAGGTGTGGCTGGGGGCATCAGGGTGGGCAACCTATTCTTGATGCTGTTATTTATTTCATTCATCTCCCACCTTTTCCTGTAAGGAGCTCAAGGTGGCTTACATACTAGTTCTCCTCCCCGCAACCCACCTTCAAGGTTGATAGGACTGGCCCAAGGTCACCCAGTGAGCTTCACGGCCAAGTGGGGGTGCGAAACCTGGTCTCCCAGTCCTAGTCCAACACTCTAACCAATACACCACCCTGACAGCAGCCCCATGGCGGAGGAGGCAGGTCGGATCTAATTCCCTGTTGCAGCACATAGGAATCTTCTTAGAATTACAGAATCATAAAGCTGGAAGGGACCACAAGGATCATCTCGTCCAGGATCCTCCAGCTGTTTTTTTTGGACTACCAATCCCATCAGCCTTGCCCACTGGTCCTGCTAGCTAGGGATGATGGGAGTTGTAGTCCAAAAACAGCTGGAGACCCAAGTTTGGGAAACACTGATCTAGTCCAACCCCCTGCAATGCAGGAATCCTTTGACCAAGGTGGTGCTTGAACCCACAACCCTGAGATGAAGTCTCATGCTCTACCAATGGAACTATCCCAGAGTGAAACCACTGGTCCATCTAGCTCCGTGCTGTCTGCACTGACTGGCAGCAGCTCTCCAGGGTTTCACGCAGGGAATCTTTCCCAGGCCTACTTGGGGGTTGAACCTGGGACCTTCTGCAGGTGAAGCAGGTGCTCTACTGCTGAGCATTGCAGAATGACTTTAACCTGTCACCCCCCACCGTTTCCAACCTGCCCCTTTGACGTGACCAATCGGCCGATCATTGGCTTTCCACCTTGCATCTGTTGAGTCCAAACTAACAAGATCTCCCCCTCTCGTGCTGAAGTCCCTGCAGACCAAGCAAATGACTCTGATGAAGCAGCTGGATAATTTGGACCAGGAGTGTGAGCAGCTGAAGACCAGCCTGGCTGACAGGGAGGAGGACCAGTACATCTTGAAGGAGAGGCTGAAGGAGATGCAGGAGGAGAAGTGGGAGATCCAGCACCAGCTGGCAGCCCAGCAGGTCTGTAGGAAGTGGGCAGGGTGGGGATGCCTGCCATGGGCTCCTCCGGCGAGACCCAGGCCATGTCTCCCCAGCGCAGGACAAATTGCACAGAGAAGGATGAGAATTCTCATCAAACTGCGGCGAAAAATTTCCTAGCCGTTTTGCCATGTTAAATTTTTATACGCCATAATCTACACCAGCTTTTGCCAACCTGGTGGCCTCCGGCTGTTTTGGACTACAACTCCCATCAGCCGTGCTCCTGACAGCCCCAGCATCCTATGGCTGTGTTGGCTGGGGCTGATGGGAGTCGTAGTCCAAAGAAAAGTGAGCATCCTTTCCCATCTGTCTCGCTGCAGAAGCAGACAGAGCGAGCGCAGAAGGAAAAGCTGAGCCTGGAGCAGCGTGTGTCTGAGCTGCAGACTACCGTCTCTGAGCTGAAAGAGCTGATTGAGGAGTTGAAGGACAGGGAGAGGCTGCTGGTCCTCTTCCCGGACCTTCACATCCCTGTCGAGGCACAGTATGAAGGTAAGGAGGCCAAGGGAAGGGAGGTCCCCTGTGCCAGGGGGAGGAGCTAATGGGAGGAAGGGGAGGGGCTTGGAAGTTGCACCTAAGAACACCATCAGAGTCTGGGTGCTGGATCTGGCCAAAGGGGACCCACCTGGTCCCAACATCCTGATTCTGCAGTGCTCAACCAGATGCCCCCAAGGGAACCCTGTAAGAAGGACCTGAGCATCTCTCCCTATCTGTGATTTTCAGTCACTGGCATTCAAAGGCAGACCACAGCTGTCATGGCCAATACCTCTCACCATTAGGTAACGTCTCCTATCATTTAGCAAAAACTGTTTCCCTAAACAAAAATAACAGGATCAGTGGCAGAAGGTCCCAGGTTCAGTTTCCAGGGCTTTCCTGCCTGAAACCCTGGAGAGCTGCTGCCGGCCTGAGTATGCAATATTGAGCAAGATGGGGCAATGGTCTAACTCACTATGAGGAACCTTCTTGTGTCCAGATGGGCTCCTGTTGCAGGCCAAGGCCTCCTTAGTAATCTGAAAGGGATAGTTTAGGGAAGAGAAAGAGGTTGCTGAGTTGAGGGTCCGGTCTTGACCCACCCCTGTTTCAATGCTGTGAGCCCGTGATGCCCAGTCCATCCTCGCTGGCTCTGTCACAGGCACTGGGGACGTCATGGAGGACATGGGCAAGCAGCTGCAGGCCAACAACATTCGTATCAGCATCCTGGAGGAAGAGAACTCGCGCCTCCGAACCGCAGTGGCCAAAATGAGAGAGGCAGCGCAGCAGGAAGGGCCTAAGGTAACACCAAAATGGGAAGAGCCATTGCGATGGGCGCAAATTGGGGGGTTGGTTGTATATAAATTGTTTTACAGTGGTACCTCGGGTTACATACGCTTCAGGTTACAGACTCCGCTAACCCAGAAATAGTACCTTGGGTTAAGAACTTTGCTTCAGGATGAGAACAGAAATCGTGCTCCAGCGGCGTGGCAGCAGCGGGAGGCCCCATTAGCTAAAGTGGTACCTCAAGTTACATACGCTTCAGGTTATAGACTCTGCTAACCCAAAAATAGTACCTTGGGTTAAGAACTTTGCTTCAGGATGAGAACAGAAATCATGGCGCGGCAGCAGCGGGAGGCCCCATTAGCTAAAGTGGTGCTTCAGGTTAAGAACAGTTTCAGGTTAAGAATGGACCTCCAGAATGAATTAAGTTCTTAACCAGAGGTAAAGGTAAAGGGACCCCTGACCATTAGGTCCAGTCGTGGCCGACTCTGGGGTTGTGGCGCTCATCTCGCTTTATTGGCGGAGGGAGCCAGCGTACAGCTTCCAGGTCATGTGGCCAGCATGACTAAGCCACTTCTGGCGAACCAGAGCAGCGCACAGAAATGCCGTTTTCCTTCCTGCCAGAGCGGTACCTATTTATCTACTTGCACTTTGACGTGCTTTCGAACTGCTAGGTTGGCAGGAGCTGGGACCAAGCAACGGGAGTTTATCCCGTCATGGGGATTCGAACCACCAACCTTCTGATCGGCAAGCCCTAAGCTCTGTGGTTTAACCCACAGCGCCACCCACGTCCCAATTAACCAGAGGTACCACTGTATAAATAAGTAAAACAGAGGTGTCATCCATACCTGAATCTAATATAGAACTCCCCTCGCCGCAGCTTGTTCCTCCAACCCAGCTGTGGAATCTGTCCTCTCCCCAAGACGGCGGGACGTACACGCCAACCAGGTGAGCGTTCTGGTTTGAAGCATCCTCCGACCATGAACAAAGAAAGGCCCTTCCTCAGCCCCCTCTTTGCTTCCGCTCCTTCTGCAGGCATCCCGCACATACGAGTGCCCAGGGAGCAGCGCTGAGGCCTCCTGCCAGCCCCAAGAGCCCAGGGAGCCCAGCCCCACACAGATCTAAGAGCACCCGCAATGCCTCAAAGAACGGCTCTCCCTTCCGAAGCCAGCAGTCAAAGCCGTCTGCGGGAGAGGCCGCCCGGAAAGCGGCATTCATCTTCGCCTCTGAGGAACAAGCCATCCGAGCCCACGCCCGGGGGAAAGGGAAAAGCAGGACCCCAGGCCACTCGGCCCGTTGCAACAGGAAACACCAGAAATAACAATAAAAAGGCCCTGCAGAGCAAGTTCAGAAGGCTGCCACATTTCCAAAGCAAAAGGGGGGGGGGGGGGCGGCGGCAAAGGGAGACCAAATGGCTGGACCTCTCCCGGGCCGCAAATAATCACCGGTGCAATACTGTTCCTGTGCTCAGGTGGTCATGCACCTTTGCAATGGTGACCCCTCCAGGTGAGCCTCACCAAAGGCTTTATCGGTAATTGATGAGTTCACTGTGGCAAGGATGCAGGAACCATCTTTCTGAGTCTTTTGCCCTGCTCTGAGTTGCCAGGTGTAGTAACCTCCCTGCAAAAAAACCCCCACAATAGCGTGGGGAATTTGGCTTCCATTTTAAAAAATCAACCTCCCTCCCAAAAACACCCCACCAATTTCAGTTTGTAAATGACAGAGAGGCGAGAAAGAGAGGATATTAGCTTCTTTCCCCTGAAATCCAGTCCATTGTGGTAGGATGGTCACCTGAGCACAGAACTGGCATTCTTTGGCAGGGTGAGGAAGGTTCTCAAAGTGTGACTGGACCAAAAGCAGACTAGGAAGGTGGGAGTCAGAACCTCAGCAATATACATGTCACAACTGTGATGGCCAGGAGGGGCTGCGGCCAGTGGAACTTCTCCCTAGATAAAGTAATTTGTGTGTTTAGCTCTCCCGCATCTTCCAACAGGAAATGAAGTGGTGGAGGGGATCCTCAGAGGGGAAGTGACCCAGTCAAGGATCCCCTGCAGAAAAGAAGCAGATCACTGTAACGCAGATTTCCAATTTTTCTTAGCTCCTTTTCTGACCTGGGGGGGGGGGGTAAAGCCAGGTGCTCTTCGTCTTAACTTGGGTGGGAAAGGCCAAGATCTCTCCCCTGCTAAAGGCTGTGTGTGGATTCTAGACAAGAACACACAGCAAAAAAGCAGAGTAAATGGAGTTCAACATCTGGAGAATCTCAATGTTGTTGTTTTTAAAAGCATGTTTCTAAACCTGTTTGCTGCAACTACAGGCCTCCTAAGCCCCTCTGCCTTCCAGCTGCATCGACTGCCTCCAGTTCCCCCTTGATTGAGGCTTCCTAGAATTATTTTACAGTATTTCTGAACCTTATAACTCGTGCTTCACAAGAACAAAGTAGCTTCCATTAATTACAGTTGTGGACATAATTAAAATAATACCATGTGCAATAAAATTATGACATCAATCAATCGGTATGAGACAACTAAACCTGGGGGGTTCGTGCAGGGGGATCATATTCTAAAAAGTGTTTTAAAAAAACAACAACCACCCCAAACAGAATCTCAACTTATTTGCAGCCCTGGGATGTGCTCAGGACAGTCCTCTGTCCCACCAAGGGATCCCTGCTGTCTCCTCCCCCTGTTGACAGAGGCCCCTGCAAGGCAAGTATGGGTCAGGCTGCCCCACCTGTAGCCCTTCCATCGCCAAGGGGAATGTTCTAGGCAGGGGAAAAGGCGGGATCGCAATGGAATGCTGCTGAGTCAAGCGTCTTGTTGCTTAGATTTCCCCCCGTCTTTTTATTAGTACAGGTGGCTCTTTACACACTCCAGCAGTGCCTCGAGTGCCGCGACGCTCTCCGGAGAGGGCTCTGCGGCCCCCTCCATAACCCCCTGCAGTCTTGCCCAGCCCCTTCTCTCTAATAAGTTAGTATAAATAAAGCAAGCATTTCAAATTCCCCACCCTCCCCAACCCTAAGCAAGCGAAGCCTCTGCTCATCAGGAACAGTGCAAGCTGGGAAGGGGGGGGGGGACTTGCAAGGTGGCAAAACAAGGTACAAGCAGAGTTTCAAAAAAACCTCAGCACACACATACACCCTCCTCCCCAGGTTCATACTGCACAGATGCTCCACCAATGGTGCAATTGATTTAGCCCAGCACAGAAAAGGCCAGAGAACAAACACATTATTATTTTTACACACACACACACACGCTTCCCATCTCAAAGGAGCCCCAAGTTCCAAGAGAGTCATTTCCTCCATGTCCCGAGCAGCTGCCATGGCGTCCAGACGCTCTGGGGAAAATTGCTCTCTCCCTTGAAATACAAGCAGATTGATCCGTAAAGGCGGGCAATCGTCGTGCTAACTGTCTTGACAGCAGTTTCCTAGGCAGGGAGGGAAATAAAAGAGAAGGGGGTATTTTACTAGAAAGGCAGAGATCCCCCAGGCCATGAGGCCTGTTGGTGAGACAGTGCTCCGGCCGCTATTGCTTAGTTGTGGTCCTTGTGGTGTCGGGTGTCGTGACCAGTGGGGTCATGTTGGCTGGGAGTAAAGAGTCGCAGCATCTCAAGGGCTGCAAGTTCCCCAACCATGCTCTAAGGGCCACAGGGCTGGGTGAGGTGAGAGGGGGATGTGCAAGATGGATCCCAGGAGGGGAAGTGAATGAACGGTTGGCATGGGCAGCAGAAAACAAAATAGAAGAAGAGTGCCTCTGATAAAGAGCAAAACTCCCCGAATGGAGAATTCAATTGCTTGCTTGCTGTTCTTTTTAAAAAGACCCAAGAGCAAAAGGCCTGAGCCTTCAGAGAGAAAGCTGTTTTAAAGAAAAGAAAGACAGACCGACCAATACCAAGGCTCAGTGCGTTTGCTTCCTCTACCCGAGAAAGGAGGCCACTTCCCCCTTTTAAGGGACACACACTTAAGAAATGAGGAAGTAACAGCAAACATCATTATGGCTTTCCATCCTCCTGTTCTGGCGGCTGAATGGGAAGGTGAAATTCTGGGCTTGGTAGGTAGGGCAGAGTGGGGCTCCCACCTCGGCAACTAGATCACCAAAGCCAATTCTAGGTTGCTCTTCTAGCTGCAGTAATCTCTGGCCATTGCGAACACACAGGAGAGCATGAACTGAAAATACAAATTGTGGGCTGACATTTGGGGCTCAACCCAAGTTGTGATGCTGGAAATGTAAAGCAATAATAAAGACTGCCTCTGAGGATATGCAGAGTGCCTTTCCCTTGCTGCCAAGTATGTCAGCCTCCATGCAGCCAGGATTAGAGGATGCGACTTCCAGACAAGACTCAAGACGGGGCAATTCTCTGCTGTCCGTCAGCGCCAAGGTGGAGCACTGGAAAGGGAGAGGGCAGCCAACTAGGTCTATATATGGTGTTTCAGCTCCCAAGTTTGTTTAACCTTCCCAGCCCCACGTCTGCAGAAGTGGCTGGTGAAAAGCAGAAGTGGGAAGATCTGGGCAGCAGCTGGTCCCATGGTGGGTGGGGAAAGGGGCTTACCTAAAATATTGTGTTTGCAGAGGGGGCAGGTCTGCTGCAAGAGGAGCCACGGATCCACACAGTCCCGGTGAAACTCATGCAGGCATGGCAGCACCCGGAGACACTGTTGGGCAGATTGAGACAGTTTCAAGAGCTGCATGTCCCACTTTGAAGAGCTCAACCCATAGAGACAGGGAAGAAGGAACGAGTCACCCCCCAAACACTGGCTCCCATTTGGAAAAAGGGAAAGATCACCATATGGAGAAACTGCAATGTAATGCACATTAAGCAGGGCCCGTTACCCGATTAAAGAAATCTTAAGTTGGTTAATTGTGTGGGCTTGTCAACTACTCTAAGGGAAGATCTGTAACTTAGTAAGAGAGCACAAACTTTGAATGAAGAAGGTCTGGGTTCACTGGTCTGGGTTCCCAGCATAACCGATTTAAGTGGTCAGATAGCCTTTGACAACTTAATGCTCTCTGTCAAAGATGGGGACAAGATGGATCAATAGTCTGATCTGTTCCCTGTCTTATGTCTCTTTCAAATTTGCTCATGGCTGGGTGGGTGGAAGAGCCTTTATCGGGCAGCACCCTTCTTTTGTTGTTACATTAAGCAGGCACTAAGTTCTAGCAAGCACCACTGCGGAAGAGGCTTGCGGCCTGAAGGTTTTATAAATGCATCCCTGAAAACCTGGGTATCTCTTTTAAATCTGCTACCTGATTGAGGACAGACCACTTCTTTCTTCACACAGCGCATAGCTGAGCTATGGAACTCACTCCTGCATGAGGGAGCAATGGCCATCAAGCTGGATGGCCTTAAAAGGGGTTTAGACAATTTCATGGAGGATCCGTCTATCAAAGGCTATTAGCCACGATGGCTATCTTCTGCTGTTGTGCTCAGGTCCTGCTTGCAGGCTTGCCCCAGACATCTGGTTGACAGATGTGAGAAAAGAATCTGGGGTCAGACTGTTATTTGGCTTGATCCAGCAGGACCCTTCCAATGTTCTTATGTTCATTTTTAGTGGCTAAAATAACCTTTGAATCTATTAATCTATGTGGCGGTGAAGTCTATGAAAGGTTGCAGCTGCAATATTAAGGCACACAAGTCGGGAGGTGGTGATGTGCGAGAGTTTGCGCATGCAGGGCTGTGGCTGTGCATGCACCGCGTCTGACTAGATACACCATAGGCTTCCAACTCCACTCAGAGCTTCTAGATGCAGACTTTAAAAACACAAAGGATGCAGAAGCCCTCCCACAGAAACCCTGCTGCATCCTGCGAGGCACCGAGACGCGCCGGCCTTTCGGCAAGCGCTACCTGGTTCTTGTGGAACCGGTCCAAGCAGATGGCGCAGCTGTCGATCTCGTGAGCCCAGCTCCGGGGCAGCTTCCCGGGGTGGTAGCGCCGAGTCTTCAGCGCCGAGAGTCTCTGCACGATGTGCTGCTTGAGATCAAGCTGCAGGAGGAAAGGCCAGGGTGAGCCTCAGCCTGAAACCCAGATGGGAGCTTTCTGCCAGGGGTGAGCAGGGCAGAGAGCAAGCTCACCTCGGAGTCCTGGTCGAGCCGACTGTGCCGAGACTGTCGCTGTGCCTGCATGATCACGCCTGTGCACAGGATCAAGGCAATGAGCAAGATGGCGTTCCACAGCTGTTGGAGATACTTCTGCAAGGAGGGGACACACACACACACCCCACATAAGAAGTATGGCCCCATCACATACTACGGTTCTAGGTCAGGAGAGAAAGGAAGTAGACCAAGATGGCATCAGACAGTTGTCTATTACAAGGTGGACTGACCCCGGCACCAGGTCTACCAATGCAATTTATACAGCTCAAGATGTTTTCCATGGGCATCTGGTTGACAACAGTGAGGACAGGACGTTGGATTAAATTGGGCCATTGGCCTGATTCCAGGAGGCTCTTTTTACATTCTTATAGCGATGGTGCAGAGGGGTGCATCATTTTCATTTTAAGAGGGGGGGGCACCAGAACCGCCACTAAATACGAGGGCATTTCTTAACAGCACAGCAAGAAAAACTCCACCCGTTGATAGCCGTGCAATGCGCTTCCGGGTACTGGAATACTGTTGAGATACTGCAGTTCCCTGGAAGACAGCCAGGTGAGGTGCTGATGGGACTCCCAAGCACTATAAAATGCCTGCGATTTATGCAAACACATGGCACGTTGAAATGCAGATTTGAACATTTCCCAGTCAACATACCCCAGAACTTGTCCTATGAAGGGAGATCTTTAATCTAGAATTTTAGCCCTGCTGCTGAACTATAGCGTTCCTAGAGATCTTTTGAGGAGAGCCACAATTCTGAAACTGGTTTCATATCAGAGTAACATCAGTGGTGTGCATCTGCAAAGCCTAGGAGATGTTAAATAAGCTAATATTATTTTAACTTGAATGGACAGTGTGTGTGTGTGTGTGTGTTGCCAACCACCTATAACAGCTTGCTCCTCCATTGATTGATTGATTGATTTTAGCAAGATTTAATAGCATCTCATTTTTACAATTTTTGCTTTTAGCAAGGAAAAAACCCTGAAAATGCACATGGTCCATGTTTGCAAAGCGCCAGTTTAAAAAAGAGAGAGGAAAGCATGCAACAGCTGATGCAAGAACAGATCTTACATACTTCCTATATGAGTTGGGGTGGGAAGACACTAACGGAATACAAGATTTGCTCTCACTATCCTCTTGGAAACCATTTTTCCCAGGAGAGTCCGAGCTGAATGCAAGTACTTTTTAAAGACACACCTACAGCCCTACCCCGTCTCTGTGTCACAAAATGAAATTCCTGCACATCATTTTGTGCAGTACTTTTGCCATTGGCGTATAACAAATTAATCTTAATTATAGTAGACGACTGCTGCTTTCATTTCCTGGGCAGGGAGGCCCTTCACAGAGCAGTTGGCCCAATTTGTCTATGGCGCAGGGATCAATATGGTTTTAACAAGAATACCCATCGCCTTCGATCCAGCAAGGGGTACCAACCTGGACTCTCGAGCTGTTCTCTCCTGTGCAGATGACTCCTTGCCACTCTCCATAGAGACCGCCCCGGGACAGGCCACAGGTTGACCACAAAGTCAAGGTCACTCCCTTATAAAGAAGAAACACACACAGAGAGAAAGTTTTCAGGCTGAAGTCCAATAATGGAAACAGACAAAGGGGAGGCACCCAACAGGCAAGAGGACAGATAGCAAATATTTAACCCATTGGATGACCCACCCACGCATCTTGTTCCCCTGCTGAACAATGGGGGAATTGGGGGTTTAAATATGTACTGTGCCAACTGGAAGATAAGCTCCCATTTCCCTTGAGGATTACATACCACGTTTTCCAGTAGCACCGCCTGGTATGTTATCTTTGCTGTTGCCCGAAGACCTCTGCGGGCAAAAATTAAGAAGAAAATTAAGAATTGTCAGATCAGGGGTCGCCAATGCGGCCCCTGCAGGCACCAGTATGTCTGCCAGGACCTCAAAGGGTGTCCACAAAAGGTCTCTTTAAAAATACCCTGGAAAATCCTCAATGCATAAGAGACACCAACCCCATCCTTCTGCTCAGAACAGAGGAAAGGTGCAAAGAGCTTCTCTCTGTGAGAGAGCACTGTGGGGATGATGGGGTTGCCTTTCCCCAAAGATGCCTGCCAGGCTCCATCCCTAATCATTTTGCATTGCCAGGCCAAGACAGCTGCTTTCTAGGAAGCTGCTTTCTGCTTTCTCTGCTGCTGTGATTGGATGGATGGGAGGAAGGATAATGGCACCTATTGATGTCATTTCCTGCTTCATCTCTTAATTTAGCAACGTTCTCCATTGCTTTTAAATTGCTCTCATCAGCTGCTCCGGATCCTTCAAGAAAGTAAAACAAGCCAACGTTGACCTGCCTGCCCGAGCCAGCAATGGGAACCTCATGTAGGATCTCCTGCACTTCCCAAAACCCAACCAGTCTCACCGTAGCAATGCACCAAGGAGCTTGGTAACGTTTTCTGAAGTCTGGACAACAATCACAGGCTTGGAGAGGACCTGGGAGACATCCAGCTGCAGCAGGGAAGAGGAAAGCGAGAGGTTAAAGGGGCCGCTGGGAGGGCTGGTGGCTCTTTCAGGCCAACTGAGGTCCACCCTTCAGCCAGAAGGACAAGGAAGAGGGAGGGGTTCTGCTCACCTCACGGATGGCATTCTGATTCAGCGCGAGGATGAGCAAAGCCGAGGCCCCCAAGACAAGGGCACGCTTCATCTGCAGAGGGAGAAACCGCAGAGATAAAGTAGGCTAGTTTTTATATACCGTACTGGCCTGAATTTAAACCGCACTTTCCCCCCCAAATTCCGACCATGAAAAGATAAAGTGTGGCTTAAATTCGTGACCTTACAAAAACTGGCTTTTTTACGATATCACTGCTAAAACTGACACATGGAACGGGTGTGAGTGCCTGCGGAATTTTAAGGGAGTGGCTTATATTCGGGTATTGCCTTTTTCTTTTCTCCCCCCCCCTTTGAATTTTAAAGGTGCGGCTTATATTCAGGTGCGGCTTATATTCGGGCCAATACAGTACTATACTCAACCCAGGCAAGCAAGAAGCATGATCGGAGCTCAAGGACAAATTCCAGCTTGGCAAAAGCATTTCTGGAGGGTGTGACATGGGGCCAGTGAGGGGTGTGGCTTTGTGAAGTCTCAAGGGCCAGTCGGAGAGACCTGGAAGGCGACATTCGGCTCCCAAGCCTGAGGTTCCTCACCCGTGCCTTATACCGATAGTCTCTTGCTGCCTTTGCAACACACGAGAAAATGTATCTCAAAACACAAGAATGTTTAAAACTCCAGCAATCTGAGAAGTACTCGATTCTGGGGGACACATCCGAGGAATGTGTTACATAACACCTCACTACTGACAGGGTTGCCATATAGTTAAATGTTCAATGCTGACCCTGTCTTGAGAAACAGCAATTTTCCCTCACTCAAATAAGAATGTAAGAAGAGCCTGTTGGATCAAGCCAATGGCCCATCTAGACCAGTATCATATTTCCACAGTGGCCAACCAGATGCCTCTTCAAGAAGCTCGCAAGCAGGACCTGAGCACAAGAGAATTGTCCCCTCCTGTGGTTTGCAGAAAATGGTATTCCAACTGCAGCATGCCTATCACGCTTGGTAGCCACTGATAGCTTTCTCCTCCATGAATTTCTCGAACCCTCTTTACTATGCGCTACGTGAAAAAGCACTTGCTCTCTTTCACCTGTACTGAATTTTCCAAGATGGGACTACAAATCCCATCATCCCTAGCTAGGACCTGTGGTCAGGGATGATGGGAATTGTAGTCCCAAAACAGCTGGAGGAGGGCCAAGTTTGGCCATGCCTGCTCTAAACAAAGCTAAAATGGCATGCAGAAGGTCCCAGGTTCAATCCCCAGCATTTCTAAGTAGTGCTGGGAAAGTCTCCCATTTGAAATCCAGGAGGGCTGCGGCCTGTCAGTGTGAACCATAATGAGCTGGATTGACCAATGGTCATCTGATTCCGTATATGCAGCATCCTAGGAACCTACCCCAAAAGAAGGAGGTTGGGTCACAGCAACAGGAGGGAAAATAGGAGATTCACCTTGTTGACCACAGCAGTGGTAAAGGACTCTTCCTTGCTGCCTCGTGGGAGATCCGCCTGCTCCTCGCCCACTGGGACGACACCAATCCAACTGTCATCATCCTTCAGCTTGGGGTCGGTGTCCCCCACCTAGAGAAAGAGGTGAGCCCTCAAAGTTAGGGTCTGTAGCCACCCGTGGTCATGACCAGCTTGCCAACACTCCCAAGAGGAAAGGGATATGACTGGCCACTCTCTCCGTAGCCTTTAGACTAGGGTCTTCACTTAATTGATGGGGAAGAAAGGGGAATCCCTAGTGAGGCAGCAGCTGTTTGGTTTTTGGTGGGAGGGACCAGGGGGTTCACAGTAGATATTGGAGGGTTATCACTTAACTGAGGGGGAGAATAGAGGGTTCATCTGGGGCAGCAGAAACCCCTCTTACTGACAGGGAGTGCAGACTCCAGCGGGCCTATCTGCAGGGAAGGGGATGCCATTTGACTGACAAGTTGCAGAGGACAACCTCCAAGGGGGTTCTAGCAGATATTGGAGGATCACCATCACCACTCAAGTGAGCGAGTGGAAGGCAAAGAGGGGTCCACCCTGACCTTTGACACCTGAGATGGGAGCTTTACGGCCCACCCTATTCCTGTGACTTGTTTTAATTGTTTTCAATACAGTATTGGATTTTAAATTAGGGTAGCCTGCCTTGGGGGTCCTGATGCTGAAGGGCGAGTTGCTGTCATTATTATTATATTACTATTATTACTATTTACATGGAGCAGATTCCTACCTAATCATGGGGTCTGTTGGGGGGGAACAGTATTTGTTGCTGCTATTATCATTATTACTATTATTTAACAGGAGCCGGTTCCTACCTAGCCCTTTTGTTGGGGGTGGGGGGAGAGGCAGTTGTTTTTGTTCATGTTGAGCAGGTTCCTACTCAGCCATTTTATGGGGGGGGGGGGAGAGAAAAGGGTATTTGTTGCTGCTGCTGCTGCTGTTGTTAACAGGGAGCCTGTTTCTACCTAGTCCTTTTGTTGGGGGGTGGGAGAAGAGACAATGGTTGTTATTACTACTACTACTACTACTATTATTAATATTACTATTATTATTATTATTATTACTGCTACTAATATCTGCAGGGTGCAGGTTCCTACCCAGCCATGGGAAAGCGAAAGAGTATTTGTTACTGTTATTGTTTTTATTACTGTATTATTATTTACAGAGAGCCTGTTTCTACCTAACCCTTTTGTTGTGGGGCGATGGGGGGAAGAGAGAGAGAGACATACAATGGTTATAATTATAATTATTTGCAGAGAGCAGCAGGTTCTTACCCAGCCATTTTACTGAGGGGGAGGGAAAGGGGATGGTATTTTGTTGCTGTTATTCTTCTTATTCCTATTCTTTACAGGGAGTGGAGGGGTTGGCAAGAGCCCTGAGGGTGGATCTTTAACGGGGAAGGGGGGGATCCCCAAACAGATCTGGAGAGGGGAGGGGGGTTCATTGAGAAGGGCGACGGGGGGGGGAGTGGGTCGCCCCACTGCGAGAGGGTCGTCGGGGGGCCGCCGCTCACCAGGACGAGGCTGCCCCGGATGGCTTCCTCCTCCGCCGCCTCCTCCTCGCCCTCTTCCTGAGGCCGCTTCTCCCCGCGCTCCGGCTCCGGCTCCAGGCCGGGCCTGCCCAGCAGCGCGCCCTGCAGAGTGTAGCTGCTGCTGCCGCCGGGGCCGCTTCCCTCGGCCTGCGCCGGCTGCTCTTCGGGCGCCGGCGGAGAAGGAGGAGGCGGCAAGAGCAGCACCTCCACCTGCGCCTGCCCCGCCGCCGCCGCCACCAGGAGGCCGCCCAGGTGGCTCAGCAGGCACGAGAGCAGCACCGGGGCCCGGCCGGCCGAGCCCGAAGCCGCCGCCGCTGCGGCCGCCGCCATCATCGCGTCGTCGAGCAGCAGGCCCGCCTCTCCTGCCCTTCTTCGCCCTGGAGCGGAGAAGGAGGAGGAGGAGGAGGAGGAAGAGCAGGAGGAATCCGCCTCCCTTGCGGAAGCAAAGGCCCGGGAAGGGGAGCCCAGGCCGGGCACAACGAGCAAAGGCTGCCCGGGAGCCAGACGGCTTGCAGAAGCTTCCGGCAGCCAAGGGAAAGGTCTACTCGGGAGTAAGCCCGGTGTAGAGCTCAGCCGGGCTTGTGTTCTCAAGCAAAGAGGGCGCGCGGGATGGGCAGCCCGCTGGAAGCGCAAAACGGTGCGCGGCTGCTGCCCAGAAGCAAGACCCTCGCCCCCCCCCCCCCAAGTTGGGCTTGTGTAGGATGGGTAGCCTGAAAATGGGGCAGATCTTGGCGGTGCCTTACTCGGAAGTAAGCCCCGTCGAGGTCGGTGGGGAATGAATCATGCGCGCGATCTGGGCGCAGCGGCAGCGGCAGCAACCCTTTTCCTGTGTTGCTCAGGAAGTGAAGCCGTGCGCGCTTGCAAGGCGACTTGCTTGCTGTCAGGTGAAGTGCTGGGAGCTGCCTAACTACCGTGGTACCTCAGGTTACATACGCTTCAGGTTACAGACTCCGCTAACCCAGAAATAGTACCTCGGGTTAAGAACTTTGCTTCAGGATGAGAACAGAAATCATGCTCCGGCGGCGCAGCAGCAGCAGCGGGAGGCCCCATTAGCTAAAGTGGTGCTTCAGGTTAAGAACAGTTTCAGGTTAAAAACGGACCGCGGGAATGAATTAAGTACTTAACCCGAGGTACCACGCACAAAAGCACGCACAAAAAGAGATCACAGCTGAAAAGGCTGGCAGCATTCAGATCATTTCAACAGGGTAAACAAGTTTTGATGGATTCAATAATGGAAGACTGAATGGTATAGTTTTTGTAAAGTATGCAGGGATTTATATGATGTGTAAAATGAACCATGGAAAGAGAAGGATGGATATCTTAAGGATGTCAAATGAATATTTGAAATTGTAAAAAAGAAAATTTAATTAAAATTATATACCTGTATATATATATATATATATATATATATATATATATATATAAAAGGATGATAAAGAATATAAAGGAGGACTAGGAAATGTTTGCTGAATATTTTCAGATCCAGTATAAACAAGTGAATAACCTAGCAGGTCTTGAGTAAATCCAGCAGAATAGAAGTTAATGGGATTTATAACCGGTGAAGAAATTTGAATATTTCTTCAATATGAAGAATTTGGAATATGCTGTTTAATAGAAAAATAAAAGAACCGGGGAAAAGGTGGAAGGGAAGTCACCGCGTATTGAGTTGTATGTCGAGATTGATATGAAAACTGATGGGAGAGGATGTGTGGGATGTGTTTTTCTTTTCTGTCTCTGTATTAAAAATGCAAATAAATAAATAGGTTTGATATTAAAAAAAACACCCAAACAGCACAATCCTGTTGTCTACTCAGAAGTAAGCCTCAACGGGACTTGTTTTAGAAACTGATCTGGGACTTTTCGTTAGGGTAAAACATTTTTAAAAAAATATCACAGATTAAAAGCAATAGGGGGTTGCATCCTAGCTCAACAAACTGGCTAGGGAGGAAGCCCCATGGGCTACATTGAAACTTAATTTTGAGTGAGTAGGACTCACGAGGTCAAATGAGGTTTCTTTTTATTTGTGATGTATATTTCCCCTGCTTTGGGATAGACAGACACCAGCAGATGCTGGTTATTCTCAAAATTTGCCTCAGAAGCTCAGTGATATATATTAAACGCCCCCCCTTTCTCCCATATATTTTCATTCCACCAAAAGCAATCAATCAATTGTTCCAATTGACACAATCTTCCTACTATATTAATTCCACTGTATCAATATTATATCATCTAAAACACTCTGAATGAGAGAGTTGGAGAGAGTCTAGCTAGGTTGGATTATCCTGAATCAAGAAGGATAAATACCATACCAGGGCTCACCAACATGGTGCCCATATGACCAGATGGCTGTTCTCCTACTGAAATTAGGCTTCAGAGAAGTGATTGTACCACTGCTTGGTTGCTGTGTGTGTGCTGTGTCCCCAACAGTTTCTCCAGTTTGCAAATGTCCCATGGGCCCAAAAAGGTTGGTAACCACTAACATAGAAACATATAAGATTCTTAACTATGGAGCCCCCTGCTATGGAGCTGTTGTGGAATATATAACATTATATCCCAGCTCCATCACTGAGATCATCTGGAGAAGCATCATTGACTATTCCCATCATTGACACTGAGGTCCAGTGCCGAGGGCCTTCTGGCGGTTCCCTCACTGTGAGAAGCAAAGTTACAGGGAACCAGGCAGAGGGCCTTCTCGGTGGTGGCGCCCGCCCTGTGGAACACCCATCAGATGTCAAAGGAATAAACAACTTTATGACGTTTAGAAGACATCTGAAGGCAGTCCTGTTTAGGGAAGTTTTTTAATGATTGATGTTTTTAATGTATTTTTAATCAACTGTTGGAAGCCACCCAGAGTGGCTGGGGAAACCCAGCCAGATGGGCGCAGTATAAGTTATTATTATTATTATTATTATTATTATTATTATTCCCCCAGATTGGTGAGGCCTATCCGACAACAGCAAGAACATCATTTAGTGTCATTGTCCCAGGCCTGTAGAATCTTCTGCCAATAGAGATTCAGCAGGTGTCTTCTGATTTGACTTTTAAACACCTGCTGCCATGCTTCTGCAAGCAATTAAGGATACCTCATTCTGCAGTAATTAGCTGTTTTATGTTACTAACTTTTTAATATGGTTTATTGTATGGCTTTTATGAACTATTGTTGCAAACCGCTCTGGTATTTTTTAAAACGAATGACAGCATATAAATATTTTATCAATAAATAAAACCTTTGGGTTTGGTTAAAGGTATTATGTATTATGTACATGGATCTTAAGAAATTGCAGTGAATTTCAGAAGAAACTTCTTAATGCACCACCATGGCTTGTAGCTGAAAATGACGTCAAATTGTCCATTAAGCTGAAGAATTGTTTTAGGTTCAATTATCGTCACTATTATTCATACTTGTTCATCATTGTTTGCAAAATGCTTCAAAGTGACTTACAGAGCATTAAAACAGAAAACTTCTCAAACATTTAAAAACCCTAACACAGAATAAAACATAAGAATATAAAAGTATTAATCCATTAACAAAAATAAAAAGACTTGTGCTCCACTAAAAGGTGGACCAGTCCACACTCACACAGTGTTATGATTAAATTAATATCCAGACTGCTGGATAAACCGGCATGTTTTTGCTTGGTACCTAAAAATGGACAGTGTTGGTGCCCGGCGAGTTTTTCTGGGGAGAAGGTTCCAAAAATGGTCTCCCATGCCTTATTGGGGCCTTTTTGACAATTCCACCTTCCCATTCGATCCCAGGGAGGGATAAATGTGTCAGGTAGTAGATGGGTCATGTGAGGGATTTGTAGGGGATTGGAAGGGAATTAAATCCGAGCCTGATCTTGGGCGTGCAGTGCAGGATGAAGCGATAACAACTTAGCAGAGTTGCATTAGGAACCAGTGAGATTTAGCTCAGCGGGCAAAATCAATGAGCTCTCCACGTGAAGAAGGCAAGTGGAAAGACAGAGGCAGGCAAGCTGGTACAGCTATCCATGGCTAAGCTACTAGCCCTGGTGGCTATGTTCAACCTCCATGGTTGGAGGCAATTTGCCTCTCAGTTAAAGTTGCTGGGAATCACAAGTGGGGAGCTGTTTCTTACAAGCTAACAGCTTGATTATCCTTATGCGGAAGGCCCCAAATTCATTCTCCAGGTCGGGCTGGAAGCGTTCCCTGACTGAAGTCCTGAAGTCACTGTAGACAGTATTGAGCTAGATAATAATAATAATAATAATAATAATAATAATTTATTTATACCCCGCCCTCCCCAGCCAAGACTGGGCTCAGGGCGGTTAACAACCAATAATAAAAACAAGTTGAGTAAAATATAATTTAAAAGATTAAGATACAACATTAAAACATTAGTGTGCAATCTCTTCATAGGAGGATCAAGGTTTCCCAAACTTGGGTCTCCAGCTAGGACTACAATTCCCATCACCCCTGCCCACTGGTCCTGCCAGCTAGGAGTGATGGGAGCTGTAGTCCAAAAAACAGCTGGAGACCCACGTTTGGGAAACCCCGAGCTAGATGGACCAATGGTCTGGCCCAGTATGAAGAAGCACCCTGTATTCCTAACAGTCCTGCAAAGTGGGTCGTCATTGCTCTCCACCCTGCAAGCTTGAGAGCTTGAGAGAGCAGCCTGGTCCCCTCCAGATCTTTGTTGTTGTCGTTTAGTCGTGTCCGACTCTTCGTGACCCCATGGACCAGAGCATGCCAGGCACTCCTGTCTTCCACTGCCTCCCACAGTTTGGTCAAACTCATGCTGGTAGCTTCGAGAACACTGTCCAACCATCTCGTCCTCTGTCGTCCCCTTTCCCTTGTGCCCTCCATCTTTCCCAACATCAGGGTCTTTTCCAGGTAGTCTTCTCTTCTCATGAGGTGGCCAAAGTATTGGCATCTCAGCTTCAGGATCTGTCCTTCCAGTGAGCACTCAGGGCTGATTTCCTTAAGAATGGATAGGTTTGATCTTCTTGCAGTCCATGGGACTCTCAAGAGTCTCCTCCAGCACCATAATTCAAAAGCACCAATTCTTCGGCGATCAGCCTTCTTTATGGTCCAGCTCTCACTACATAACTCTCATCAATCATCCCCAGCCAGCAGGGCCACACTGACAGGGGTTGATGATGGGAGCTGAACTCCAAACGATTTGGAGGGCGCCACGTTGGCAAAGGCTGGCCTACTACCTTGAATCGGAGGCCACCTGGTCACAGCTACAGCCGCTCAACTGAGCTGCCAACAGAAATCATGCAGGTGTGTAAATCCCCCATTGTGGGAAGAATTTTGAGAAGGGTGGGAAAGCGATGGACGTGTTGGAAACCCAGAAGAGAAGTAACCCAATAGGCAAAAGTTCGGGAGAAGGACAAAACAGAGGAGTGGGGAGCTGTCT